CCTTTGTTCTTCCGGAAACCATATGGATCGTTCGCTAACCTAGCTTCTATCATCTAACTTCCAAAATCTCTCAGAATTTTCCCAGGCTCGTATATTTGACCTAACAATTCATGCAGAACGTTATTTATTTAATCTCCTGCCTGTTGTAGGAATTCTGAGTTTAATTCGCCTGGGCCTAATGCTTTGTTTTTCTTCATTGTTTGAAGTGCTTCTTCAAATTCTGATTTTACAGTTCCTGTATTTACATTTGAGTCAAAGGCACCGTTGATTTGGTTTTCAACGAGTGAGTCGGTGTTTTCTTTTCCTCCGGTAGTCTTCTTCATTATCCTTCTTCTCTATTATTATTATTATATATATATATATATATATATATATATATATATATATATATATATAAAATATTATGTTTAATTTTTATAAAAACATTTTTGAGTTTTTTTATTTTTCATATAATATGTATAATAATAAAAAATTGAAAAAGTCAAAATTGTTATTATAAAAATTATACATGATATTATGTAGGAAATATAATATAAATGTATCGTAATGCACACCACTAACAACTAAGTAAAAAAATTATATTAAAACAAAATGACGAAGATGGACGACGATGTCAAATATCTATCAAGTTGTTAACATACTTAAGATAATATGAATAATAAACAATTTGATAAATTATAGTAACAAATTTTAATAATATTACATAACAATGACTAATTTTAATACGTTTCTAGAACGAAGGCATATTAAATAGGCAATATTAATACTTGATTGTGTATAATATGTTATAACAGCTTCGATTCGGAGTTGATAGTTATTGCTTTTACAATAATTTTTATTCTTTTTTTTTATTTGGATCTGTAATCACTATATCATGTTCTAAAACGCTGAACCGATTTCTTCGTGTTACAGCTCTTTTTTATCAGAAATTGTATCCAAAAGAGTACAAACATTTATTGTTTGGTCTTTATTAGGCCAACCATTTTAAAAGCACTACATACTATTCAAAATATTCAAAAATGTACTTATTTATCAACTCATAGTCTACTTATAGTCAACAGATATTATTTACATACTTTGACAAATGTTTGCATTATTTTGTTTTTTTACTAAAAAAAAGAGCTTAAGGACTAAAAATTATGCTGAAGGTAAATATAGGTAGGCTATACCATGAGTATTTTTTTTTTCAAAAATTTATAGTCAACATTTGGTTTTTTTAAAGAAAAATAAAAGAATAGGGGGGAAATTACACTTTTGTCGTAGTAAAATTCTAAGCTGCTATATAAGAGACAAGAGTGAATAAACAGGCAACAGTTATCTGAAAAATAGTTCCGTGATGTTGTCAATTTCGAAATAATTGGAAAACAAAGACAATGAACTATTATAGCCAGACGATGACTCCAATTATATCCACCCTAATATTAAAAATTCAGTTTTAAGCTTGTGTTTATCGATATTTTGTAATTCTACCATTGCTGATTCCCATAGAAACATTTATTTAAAAGTGATTTTTATCACTTTCAGTTATAATAATTATTCTTTTCGATCTGTGATCTTTTACGCCTCAATATGCTCCTTCCCATCTTCTTATCTTCGACCATACTGTACTGGCTTTTTATTTTATTATCAAAGGTCTATTTGTCATTAGTGTTTGAGCAAACTTCGGCATGCATTAATCTGTTATAAAATTATCTAACGGCAAAAATTATTATGTACCAAAATAATTTTCAGGTAGCGTATTAGAATAAGATACATTTTTTTACTATTTTCAAAACACACTAATCGTTAATTAGACTATTAAAAGTTATTGCCGTGCACTATCAAGACCTTTGTTGTTATTTTTATTTATAAATATAAAGTATAATTATATTATATAAGATAAAAAACCTGAAGTTGATCCTATAAAATATTGGTTTTGAATCCGAATCGATTGTTACATAATTGAAAACGATTGAACCGGAATCGTGATTTTACATATTTAAGGAACCCGAACTCAAACTTGAACATGTATTTAGAGGTACAAAATTGTACCGTTAAAACCAAATAATTTCCATTCCCTGATAATGTGCATGTCAGATTAGTACAAGTAAAATTATTAATACTAATAGATATAATTTAAAACTAAAAATAAAGATTAAGCGTTAAAAAACGTGGTAGTTTTTGGATTTTTCATTTTATTAACGTTACTTCATAAACACTTAACGATGAGTTAATAAAATGTCCATCAGCTTGCTTAACCTTGCAAAAATAAATAAAAATTCCACTGCTACGACATAGACACGTTGGCGGTATTTCATTTGGGTCGTAGCTTCGTGTAAACGATGGTTGAGTGAATCAAGCCCACTGGTATGTGTCGCCGGGTGTCCATGGCACTGCGGATTAATAAATACGCGAAAAGGGAATTCCTTCGCTCAAACCCTGTCGGTAATGTTGTGCAGACATCTTGTACATATATCACATGCGAATGCACCTAAAACAGTCGTACCATGAAATAGGTGTGCGAATACGAATGTTAAGTACACCACGTCAATGTACTTATGTGCTGTGTTATAACAGGCGCACAGGCAGGCGACGCCACGCAGATGTGAGAAGCTTTTAGCGTTATGGTTGATACGATAATAAATGGGCAGACCTGTCGACCGGCGGGTCAGGTATACTTACCGAATAAAGGTATTTGTCGATTGTGTATGTACACTTATATTATGCTTACTGTCCCGAAACGACCAACTTATCACCTCTACTGCGTATGCACTATGTCATAAACGTTTTGCTAACAACAAATATTTGATCATAAACAAAGTTTTATTAAAAAATTCGCCACAGCATACCAGTCGTTATATATCATGTAAGGTGATGTACCATGTGACAAAAGTTTGTTTTGAACCAAACTAAGTATCGATTTGATATGACATTCAAAATTCGACTGATTAAAATGAAGATTAGGAGGGTAACGCACAAAATAAATTATATTTACTGGGGGGAACCAACAAAGTCATTATTAAAAGACGTAAGCACAAATGTTTTAATCTGTTATAGTAATCTGATTTAAAATTTTTGATCTAAGAAATATTAATCTAATAATCCAAACAACTAGGGTCAAAACGACAATAAACGACAATAAATTAGGAATATGGGAGCAAAATTAAATAACATTCTGTAGATAATAATACAAATTAGTTGTCATCTTTGCGATTTGTACTGGTAAAAAAAAAATAGCATTATATTCATTCGTATTGGGTCCGAGTGCCAAATTTAACTAGCTTTTAAACAGTTTTAACTAATTACTTTTAAGCAATATGAAAATATTATTTTAGAAACGCAACCTAAGTCCCCGAAAATGTCTTAATTCAACTGGCGTCTTGTGCTGTTTGATTCAGTGAAAACTCCCTTAAGTACCTGAAATAAAATAGAACTCGTATAAAACATGTTTTTTTTATTGAAAAAAATAATTTAAATGGTATTAATAGTGCCAACAACTTACTTGGCGCTCCTACTTTTTACGAAACGACTTACTATAATTTTAATAATGTAAAGTGCTAGCTAACCTGTTGTTAGTCGAAAAATATTTATATCTTTGTGATATCGGTTTAGCGTCACATGCCATGTCATCGCTGTTGTCGATTATAATATAGTAATCGGCAACTTGAAATAGATTCAGGATGTCGACCTTCGGGATAGTGGTCGTTCGGGAACACAGATTCGGGATAGTGATCGGGAATCTTACAATATTATAGCACATTAGAGGAAAACAAAATAATAAAATCGTAGTCATCTGAAAGGCTAGCTTCTAATACCCAAAATCGACCATTTGTACAATAATATGTATATATATATACGTACAAGCTGACCCGGCAAACGTTGTTTTGCCATATAAATTATTTCTTTGTAGGCTGGTTCGCACATCTCAAAAAAGGGGTTGGTGGTAAAAGGGTAAAAATGTAGGGTTGTATACAAATACTGTGACACGAGAATTGTATATATATCGAGATATAAACATTTTGTCAAAAAAATTAAAATTTTGGGGTGGACCACCCTTATTATCACTTAGGGGTATGAAAAATAGTTTACGTCTTATTCTCAGACCTACTGAATATCACACAAAATTTTATAAGAATCGGTCAAGCGGAGGAGTTTTGTTACAAACACTGTGACACGAGAATTTTGTATGTATAGCATAGAGCTAGGTGAAGGGTGCGGCGACTAAGGTAGTGACGTCTAAGTTGGTTGATTGACGACTTACGTTGGCAGAGAAACAAGCGATTGTTAAAAAATCGACGAACACCTCCGCTGTTACTTTTTCATTACATTAAGTTTTTTTTCCCCCAAAGACTCAAGTACGTCAGTATACACATTGATTTCATCGCGATGGCCACTATTACATTACACAACGCCAGCGGCTGTCGGATGTCCATTAAAAAATGATTGTTTCCAATATCGGTTTCAGGCTTTTATTCCGCTTTAATTAAAGTTTGACAAACGACATTTATTCGTGTGCGACTCGCGCCCAACAAAAGTGATTAAAGGGTTTCGGAGGACCTTGACTTACGCACACAGTACCTATATATTTACAACTGTGCCTTGACAGTGATGTAAAAAAGAAAAAATAATTCTTAGAATACATTTACAAAAAACATTAACGGAAGTCAATAATTTGTATCCATTACCCGATTGATAAATAGTTTATTATACCAACCATGACGTCTATTATTATAAAAAACACACACATTTCGGTTAAACAACGCTTTTATTTTCACTTTTCCCACAATATCCCTAAAAGCATCAACACTGCAACAGACAGATATAAATCGTAAAATAAAATATTATGAGAATAAATAAAAGTAATTTTAATAAAAAAATTTTAAATAAACTTGAATTCAAACTATAGCGATTGTCTAAATACAAATATTATTTAATGATTGTAAATATGAACTAACTTGTTTATTTAAGTTGTTTAATTGATATTATCAAAATATTAATTTGATGTTATATTTAATTTTTAGACCTTGGATATCAATAAAAATGACCTGGAAGAAAGAATCGTAGAAAACTTTTACGTCGGTAAGCATTGATCATTTTTAGTTTATTAGTTAAAATAATTGTTATTATTGACTACGAGGATCTTATCACATTGTTATAGTTATAGTGTGTGCCTAATATGCACTGACCAATAAGTACTAACTTTTAGTATTAAAAAATTTCAAATTTTGGTTTTTTCGGGAGACTTTTAAAAAAATCCTCAGGCTAAATAAAAATAAAAAACTAATATAGTTTTTAGATATAATAAGGGGCTACAAAAAAAAAATGAATAAACTTTTCAAGTGACCTAGTATAGTACAGGTCTGATCGAGTCCAACAAAAAACATTTGTTTACACTCATATTTTCAAATTACCGTAAACAACCGTCAGTCATGATAATACTTATAACAAGTATAAATAGGGGGGGGGGGTAGTTAATAGTACGTTTTGAGCCCCATGGCTCGACGGGACCTAACTTTAATAAAAATTGTGAAAACATTTATAGGGCCATGCAGTTTTAACAAATATAAAAAAAGCACGACCATTTCGACAATGCGCACACGATTTGTTTTAATGTGTAATTGAATACACCCACATATAAAACAGCTTGCATTCCATATTTTTCGAAACGTCATGTGTATGCAAATAAACATGGTCAGAGAGGAATGGGGAATTTCAATGTGCGTATGTTTATATTATATCAGATAGGTAGATATACCTATATTATTGTTTGCCGAATCTCGGCAACATCTGTTGAACTGGTGTGCATGGCAGAACACGTTTTATTAGAATGAATTAAAAATGTCAAAAATAGCGTTATATTTAATAGTTCGGTTAATAAAATAATCACAAACAACGTTATAAGGGCTATTTACAACGCTCATAAGTGATAACTAGTAGGTTTCAAACAGTCACCCAAAGTGGAACGAAAAGCGCAAAGGATAATAAATATTTGACGAAAAATGATCTAGTGTCCATTTTTAAAATGCCAACTAATTTTATGGCGACAAAATATAAAGTTTTTCTAGTTATAATACTTTTAAAGTTTGCTCGTATGAGATAACGGATTACTACATCTATCACCTTGTGGCCATTGCAAGCCATTAGTGTTTACTTACTCGTAGTTATTACTTTAATTTATTTATACAATCTAAACCGCTTTATAAACAATGACTTGATTTGCGTATTATTTATAAATACCGGATGATTCTTTTAACGCCTTACACTAGTTTTCTCTTAAAATAATTCATATTTTGTAGTTTTTATATTTGAAAATATTGTTGTATATATATATACAACAATATAGTTGTTATATATATTAGACAATATTCTAATAAATATATATATATATATATATATATATTAATCGTAACGTATATATAACATTTTTTACAACTTTTTAAATTTAGAATAATTTGCTGTACATTTTGACTGGTCGATAACCAGTTTCGAAAAATTGTTTTTAAAGTTATTAAAGTTTAAAATATTGGACGGGAGGATGGGTGGGAGTAAAGTTAGTTTTAAGACAAAACTAGTTTAGGTCGTTAAAAGAATCATCCGGCATATATAGGTCTTATTTTATGAGAATTAAAAAGAACCGTCAGTCGTGCATACTTTTTGAAAGTTGGGAGAAGCTGCATTGCGGCTATAGGCACTTGCGTGACCTGGGTTACCTGCCAAGTTCTTATGTCAGAAATGCTGTCTTACCAACGACTTTTGACTTGGATTCTTGTAACTGGTGGTGGATGTTTGTTTTTTATTAGTGTCTGCCTGCCACTGTGTGTTGCTTAGAGAACTTACCGGCGGCGAGTATTTCTAAAAAAGACTATTACTAGTGACTATTTCACTTGCGGTGTCTCCTACTCGAAATAACGAATTAACAACTGTAGTAACACTCGAGCCGTAATGATATTGTCGATTAATTATGTATTTCGACTACGAATGGGAAGTTTCAGTAGGTCACGCAAAAAGACGCCAAAATTGAAATTCCTGGTGAAAACTATAAACAGACCGTAATGGAATAATGGAAACGTGGTAATTCAGCGGTGTAGGTACATTTCACTCAAAACGTCACGGAGTGACATAGTTTAAATTGGGACAGTGAAAAATATCAGCTAATATAAACTATTATTGACCGTAAGCCGTTTAAACATAACCGCCAGTATACGTTATTCGTGTGCGTGAAACGCGCTTTTATCCATTTATATTGCACTGGTACGCATGTGTACTATATTGTATATGATATTATACTTATGCATAAATAACTATATAATCTACATGGCGTGTATTTATATACATATTTAATTCAGTTCGCCGAAGGCATTGACGAACCCTTGTGCGTGTCACTGATACATTAAGCGTGTCGACAAAAATCGTCTGATTATATATTTTATTAATGTTACAATTGTACCGCAAGGGAATAATATTCTAGTTTGGAAAGTTTTTTTTCTACCCTTGTACTTTATTTTACTATCTGAAATTCGGCGACCGATCGATTGACGGCACCTGAGGTAATTGAAATAATTGGTGCCGGAGCACGGTTCTTCTTCGTGTCGCCTAATGTTGTCCGTGTTGTTCGTTACTTTCAATGGCAATAAAAGTGGGGAAAAAAACCGGCGATAACAATCATCGATCATAGTGTATTAACGGATTGTAATAATACACTATGACCTAAGGCCTAAGTGTATTACTCGTCACTTTGGCCTTTGGGTTGCCTAAATAATATAAATGTCGCTAGTTCTCAACACACTATCTTTTTACTATAACGTCCACTTCTATAAGCCAAAGTAAAATATTATGTATGTCCATAAAACCTTATGTCGCAATATTTTAAAATGTTGTGTCACAATAAAAAATGTGATCAATGTCTTAAAGGTGACTAGTTCAACTATGTTTTATATTGTTGGCAACCGAGTGTGAAAAAAATAACTGGCTTGTGTTTATGATTTGAATCTGATTAATATTTTGAAAACTATTTCTAATAGAACATGACGGTATGGTCACATCAAAAAATGTGTTAGTCACGATTTCTGATAACCTATCAGAAATATCTATCTTAGTAATAGGATTGTGTTGGTAAAGTTAATCATGGGAAATGGGGTAGCGAGTGAGGGGTATTGTCAATGCCACAAAACGGCTTTGCGACCCTTGGATTTTAACGAGCTTACGACTATGGCACGTTCCCTCAAAATCATTTTTTTTTTGGCTATGCAATTTTGTTAACTGAACCAAATTTTCAATGCATGGGCGTGCATAATATACAAAACGATCGCAAAATTATTTGCGAATTGACCGAAGAGGAAGAGAGGCTCGAGTAGCAGAAAAAGTCATTGACACCGTTATCGACAAAACATTATACCGAAAATTGTGCGATGAACTACAGTAATACGGTTTTGATGGTTTTGCCAAAAAAAAAAGATATTATTATTCTGTATCTGTCCAATCCACACAACGTACATCGAACATACTAATACTTCTATCCCTGACGGATAGGTTAGGTCTCTGTCTATCAAGGTAAATGCTGTTATTATATTATGTTATAAACGTTTCAGTGCATTTTGGGTAAATTGATTCCAAAACGAGTACTGACCCATGTCGACTTCTCTTTGTTTTCATGTAATGTTTGTAGTAAATTTGTTATACATAATTTATAATTGTATTCGTTGGCTATACAAAAAAAAAATCGGTATTCATTTTTCAATTGCTGACTTTTAGTACTCGGGGTTAGTGATTCTGCAACATTTTGCACGCACAAGCGAGAAATTAGGTTTACTGTCAGTTTTTGTTTTACTTCGCCAATATTTCGTATGCGGATCAAGTACTTGGCTAGGACAAGACCTAGCCTTAAAGAAGGCTCAGATCAACAACCTCTTACTCCATTCTTATTCTCTTGCTGTTCTTTTTACACCTCATTATCGTTATTTTCTTTTAAGTTAGCTAACTACTATTGCAATGGTTATAAATCTAAAAATCATTATCCTTTATTTTGACTCTTATGCAATCAATAGCATTAAAACATTCAGTACAATTTAGTTTAAAAAAATACTAAATTACTATGATTTATTTGTAATATAGTATAGATGGTGATATTTTAAAAATGCAATTCAACTAGCTTGCCCTTTATAATGGTAATTCAAATATTTTTTTCCTAAAGTTTTTTTTAAACAAGTTTTAAATACTTTCTATATCATTGGGTTTTTGGGATTCACCATCAACATATACAAATGCATAATTATGTATTATAATTTTGTTTGTTTCTGGTTGTTAAGCATTAAGAACGTGCTCAAACTGTCTTGTTCAAAGGATGAATCCAAAATAGAGCCCCAAAGGTTCTGTTTTCCGGATGGACGAGAGGTAAATAAGTGTAATTTATAACATATACATAAACATTTAGTGTTGACGATTTTTTTTACGGCATGCTAAATACTTGTCAAAACATGTTTAGTTTTATTGTTATTATTTTTTTCAGAGGGTTAACGTGCTTGAGCCCTCTCCAGCAGTCCGGAGGGGGCAGGCTGACCAGGGTATAAGAAGTGCACCCGACCATGTCCATTGCTGACACCGATTCTTCGTTCTCCAGTGAAGAAAAAAGCCTATTCCGTCCTTTTACTCGCGAATCGCTGAGGGCCATTGAACAGCGCATAGCCGAAGATCATGCAAAACAGAAAGAACTTGAGGAAAAAAGAGCTGAAGGGGAGGTGAGTCTCTTGAGGCTCGGTCAAACAAGAGTCCTTTTAATATTTTTACCCTTCGTTATTTTTTTTCTGTTATTTAATTTGTTTTTAAATTAAAGAAATACAATAGTTGTCATAAGTTTATGGCAACTGATTTATAATTATACAAGCCCCTTTAAAAGGAATTCAACTTTTAAGATAAATCTACGCCGGGTTTGAAAAACGATCCAATATTAATATTATATGTTTTATTATTTGAAATACAGCCCGTGCCATGGAAGAGAAATAAAAATAAAGACGTAAGCAAGTAGAAGTAAAAAAAAATGTAGGAAACACAAATAGTTGGGCAACATAATTTTAAGATAGAACTGATATAATTGTATAATTTCAAAATATTAGTATGTACATATTACATATTTATATTTTCTTGCTACGATAATTTAGGCGAATGTATAAAAAGCATGCTATCACTTAGGTTTATGGCTATATAATACATGATTTACTATTATAAAATGCATATAAATATAAAATATAAACAATATATTTTATATATATATTATACATCATACGCAGTATTAGGACTAATGTATCGGCAAATAAGCATTAGTAAAAATGTAAATACAAAAAATGTAATTCCAATAAATTATATACTACTTGTAATTGGTATTATAATATAATAGAAGTTTAACGTACGTTTCACTTAGATTCATATTCATCATAATTAATACATCACAACATGGATTGATACCAGAATTGATATCAGTGCAATGGAGGGAATCACTGTTTCTTCAAATCTAAACATTCAAAAGATGTTTGAACTTTGAACCTATTTTATACGTTTTTATAGCAAAATGTGGTCACTTAATGCAATTTTAGTCAAATTGCTCATCTAGTAATCCATAAAACATTTATTTTTCAACTTTATCTATAACATATTATACAGTATACATAATACATAGTAGTAGTAGTCTCTAGAAATATAATCTGCTAAATTAAATACGCCAATATATTATTAGCACGTTAAAAAATAATATAGTTAAACGCACTATCGCCACTTTTAAAATGTAACTCCTACTTACAAAAAATAAGTACTCCTTAATAGCGATAGTTATTGTACTTATTTGTAGGGATGATATGCCATTAAAGAAACGTTATACATACTTATGATATTTAAATTATAATATAAAAGTACTCGCTAGCTGAAAATTAGTTATAATCAGTTATAATATAGTTTCTTCACAAAAGACATTCATCTATAAACTTTATTAGTTATAATATATTAATAAATATACTTTTATATAACTATGGACCTATAGTCAGAAATAAAGAAATGGTTCATATCTATAATATGTATTTGGTGAGTTTAAAACAATATGTCTAGGTTTACCTTAGATGTGTTACAATCTTGGTTAATTCTGAATTTTTGCATCGTGTACATTTTTTCTCTTCTAAAATGAATCAATTGACTGAATTGCTTATCAAACCACAATAATACATGTTATTTAAAATCGGATTAACAATAAATTGAACCAATTCAATTTGACTTCCATGCATCTTTGAAGAATACAATGATTATTATTCATTGACGTCTTGTAGTTTTATCTAATTTATTAGATATTATCTAATTTATCACACATCCAAGCTTGGCTTGAAATAACTGATACTTAAAAATACTGATAAATTTTAGACAACTCTGCCATAATTTTAATAGTTTGTAGAAAACTTGTTATTAGAACGTTAAAATAACTTTATTACCATTAACCATAGTTTTAGTTGTATTTTGGTATGCTAGAGTGATCACACAAACGGTATGTATAAATATATTTTATAAAAAAAGTGTTCTTTGCAGATTCGGTATGAGGACGAGGACGAAGATGAAGGTCCCCAGCCGGACGCCACTCTTGAACAGGGAGCGCCTTTACCGGTTCGGCTAATCGGCACGTTCCCGCCCGAATTAGCATCCGTTCCACTCGAAGATATCGATCCTTACTATCACAATCAAAAAGTACATGATCTTTTAACACCTAATACCGACATTAAACCCGATTTTGACCCATGTATCGTTTTGTGTTTGTTTTGTTTAGACATTTGTAGTAATTAGCAAAGGAAAAGATATCTTCAGGTTCAGCGCCACCGACGGTCTTTGGGTGCTAGATCCCTTCAACCCCATCCGGAGAGTGGCCATTTACATATTGGTCCATCCGATATTTTCCGTAACAATCATTTTTACTATACTTACAAATTGTGTGTTCATGATAATGCCCCCAACTCCAACTATCGAAGCGTCTGAGTAAGTGGATAAACATTTTTATTTCGATTACTTGATAATTATTTTTATGTACTTTATTTTTGTCATTAAACTATAACTTTATGCGCATTCAAAATGTAATTAATATAAAATAGTTAATTGTATTGTATATTTGTAGGTCCCTATAGGTATATGTAATAATATTTAAAAACGACATTTGTATACTCATAAATATCGTATCTTATTCGATATTATAAGATAGACTATTTTATTATAATTATAATAATTTATCATAATTATTATTGTTACCGAAATATTATATTTAATTTTTTGTGTTAGAATCTTAGCTTATACATATTATTAGATCGCTAGAAAAAATGGTAAATGTTGAGGATAGTATTATTATGTGTACGTAGTGTTAGGAATAATGATTGATTTTTATTTTTATAATTTATGTTTTATTGTAATCTAATCGTTTCCAGAGTAATATTTACCGGCATCTACACATTCGAATCGGCTGTGAAAGTAATGGCCCGAGGTTTCATATTAGAACACTTCACCTATCTTAGAGATGCATGGAATTGGCTAGACTTCATTGTTATTGCATTAGCGTGAGTAGTAGAAGTAGATTTGTAGATACCTTTACTATAGGACGATAACAATAAATATAACATAATAAGTATAATAATGGTAGTCAAGGGCAGGTGTAACGGGGTTGGACGTTAAGTAGATAAATAATGTACAATAAAATTACGATTTATAATGATTTTTTCGTGTTTTGTTTACGTGTATTTATTTGATGGTAATACCAATGTGCAATAACAAATGATAATAAAAACGTAGAGGAAAAACAATTGTTTTCCAAACTACTTATTAGATGTTGTTACGTTATAGACGTGTCTATTTTACTAACTATTTATTTTAATATTGTTATACTAGGTAATTGGGGATTTTATTTCTCAAAGTATTGCAATACTCAACTTTGTTTTCATAAATAGTATATTTTATTAAATAGAAGTTTTATTCGGAGTTTAGATTTCATAGCCGACAATACTATTTAGATTAAAATATTTATAAATTCTAGACAAATTATATTTTAGTAAATTATTTCTTTGACATTAGTACTTATTTAGTTAAATTCCTTATTAATTATGAAGGTAGGTAATCTTAATTAATAATCAATTGGTTTAACGATTTACATTTGTATTATATTGATATTGTTTGTAGCGCGTGTAGTTAAATTTTGTAATTTTCAGTTATGTTACTATGGGTATAGAACTGGGAAACCTAGCTGTTCTCCGTACATTTCGAGTACTGCGAGCGCTCAAAACTGTAGCCATCGTACCTGGTAATTATTAGCATTACTTACAACTGCTCTACGTGCCTAACGACATTTTGTTTTTTCTACACAAGGACTGAAGACTATCGTCGGAGCTGTGATAGAATCCGTGAAAAACCTCAGGGATGTCATAATATTAACAATATTCTCTCTGTCTGTGTTCGCGTTATTAGGATTACAATTATATATGGGTGTTTTAACGCAAAAATGTATTAAAGAGTTTCCCTCTGACGGCTCGGCTGGTAATCTGACGGGGGAAAATTGGAAAGCGTTTATGTCGAACAAATGTAAATAAACAATTATTTCTTATTTAGAGATGCGAAGCAATATGGTAAATTATTTTTTATTCCGTAGCAAACTGGCAAACCGGCGAAGAAGATGACTATCCATTGTGCGGAAATGGTACAGGGGCAGGGTAAGACAGAATAAATTAAGTCACTACTCACTGATAATAAAAGTAGAAGCTTTTATAACGTGTTTTATTCTTTAGCCAATGTCATTCCGGGTACATTTGCATTCAAGGTTTCGGACCAAATCCAAACTACGGGTACACTAGTTTTGATACATTTGCTTGGGCTTTGTTGTCAGCGTTTAGGCTAATGACTCAAGACAACTGGGAAGCCCTGTATCAACAGGTTAGAAAAATAATTTTACAATCTCAGTTTAATTACATTGATATAACGTAAAAGTAGTTAATCTTGTTCTTTAACTACAAAAGTTCTATATCAATTAAAACACATGGTTCATCAGTGAAAATGTATATTATCTCATAGGTTTTGAAAGCTGCCGGGCCGTGGCACATGTTTTTCTTCATTGTCATAATATTCCTCGGTTCGTTCTATCTTGTCAATTTGATATTAGCTATCGTAGCAATGTCTTATGACGAGTTGCAAAAAAAAGCCGAGGAAGAAGAGGCGGCTGAAGAAGAAGCGATCAGGGTGAGATATTTATGGATTTACAACTACATCGGTTACGTGATAATACTGTGAGTGTGTATATTTTAAGGAAGCGGAACAGGCAGCCAAAGACAGAGAGATTCGGAGGCAAGCTCATGAGGAGAGGGTAGCGGAACGTGCAGTGAGAGCTCGGACCGCTCACCATCATCCGAAATCGCCTTCGGACTTCTCTTGTCAAAGCTACGATATGTACGATGGTCAAGACAGGGGACTCGGCGACGACAACCATCGTGAAAAAATGAGTTTGCGATCGGCGTCGGTTACGAGTCAAGACAAACATTCAGACACTACAAGTATGGGCAGGCAGGGTGGTAAAACGAGAAAGGCAAGTGACAACAGCACATAAGCCCGATAAGATTTATAGGTATAATATGCTGTTTCCGACTTTTATTAATCTTCTGCGTTTCCTTAAAGACAAGTCTAAGCTTACCCGGGTCACCCTTCAATCTCAGACGGGCGTCACGCGGAAGTCATCAGCTGACCCATCGAAATGGAAGACCGAGATTTACCGGCGTCGACACTAAACCGTTAGTCCTGAATACATTGCTGGACGCCGAGGTAATATTTATTGCCAAGCCTATAGGGTGTAGCATAAAAAACGACTTAGTTTTTGATAAAATCAAAATACTGACTAATCGTTGGTCATTAAATTATTTTAATTTCAATAATAAATATATACATTTTTGTTGAACTCGATAGTTTACACTACCTTAAGCGGTATTATTGTTCGAAATTATTTTTTAACGTTACGAATATGAATTAAGTTTATCATAAACTTGGATACATTTCCAGGAGCATTTACCATATGCGGACGATTCGAACGCGGTGACTCCAATGAGCGAAGAAAACGGTGCCATCGTCATGCCTTTATCGTATACCAATTTAGGTTCAAGACACAGTAGTTATACGTCGCATACATCTCGGATTACCTATACGTCCCACGCAGATTTGTTCAAACCGCCCGTGACCAAAGAAAGCCAACTGAGGTCAAGATCAGCCAGAAATTATAATTATCCTGCCGAGCAGAGATATTACAAAGATGTAAGTTACACAAAACGAACCTATTAATAAGTCATTAACTGATTACAGATTACATTCTAAAATAGATATAAAAAATAGTTAACTTGTTCTTTTTTTACCGGGGTTAGGTCTTACTCGTTTATCTAATACGAAAACGTATAAGTAATTTTAATAATAATATTTGATACACAATGTAATTAATCTAACAAATCTCACATAAATTAATAGGGTCACGCTTTTATGGTATTCAAAATTTTAGACTTGGGTTTCTTGTCACGTGCAAAATAAGCGAGTGACCTAACAATATGGTAAAAAATTTGTCAATAAATCACCTGTGCACATTATGTTGTGTTAATATTCTAAACTAAATCAAATTAAAATTATAAAAAATATTGTGATCCTTATTTCGAACCATGGAAACTTTTTTAACTAGTCGTTTTTAATAGTCGCTTAACAAAACACATATTTTATTAACTAATGTTATAATTGTATTACATTTCAATCAGAATGTGATAATTACGACTCATGTACGATTACATTTTCAGGAGGAATATGATTCTGGTTCAATGTCCAAATCCAAACAGCAAGTAGACGAATGTAGTTACAACGAACCGCAAAAGCACGCCATTGTCGACATGAGAGGTACGCTTGTAGATTTTTTAACACCTACTCACCTATCCCTGTAATTGTTTGTACCAATGCTTGTCAGTAAAGTGAATCATTTGATTTCAGACGTTATGGTCTTAAACGATATTATTGAACAAGCAGCCGGTCGACAGAGTAGGGCCAGCGAAAAAGAAGGTACGATTCACTTCTGCGAACGTCACGTATTTATTTTGTTAACTGTTTTGTTATCATCTACGTGTAACTTTTCTCCAGCTGTGTGTGTGTGTATGTGTGTATAACCCCATCTATGATCTATCAGAAAACCAAACGCTGTATAAACAAATACTCGCTAGCATCCCTTATTGACTTGCATGAGTTAAGCGCATACTATTATCTAATATCTTTCAAAGGACCCGGTAGTAATCACAATTATTGTTGATATTAAATAATAAATGTATTATGACTATTTGGTCATCTTTATCCAAAGAGCACATGGGAATATTAATACTGTACATTTAATCGACACAACATTTTCTCGTACATTACTCTTAATATAACTAACTGCTTACTCAGTACTTTGGTCTCTATGCATGACTTTTATTTCATCTCTTCTGTCTAATGTAAAACTATGGAAACTATTGTCCAAGAGTCTTCAAAAATTATTAGTAATTTCATTATCTTATCGTAGTGTAAAAGCATTTAAAAACGCTTTTTTTAAATTGATCATAGTTAAGTTGTTTTAATAAAAACTACAGTTACTTATACTATAAATACTAGCTTGATTAACTTTGTATAATTAGTTACGTATTTTTAGTAGAAACCGTTTGACAGTAAATTTAATATTTCTTCTTTACAGTAATATGCTTAGGTTTTACGCAATGTTATTTGTCAACCTTTTTTTTAAATTGCAATACATTTAGTTTGTAGTTTGTTAAGTATTAAGTATTGTGTTATAAATTGAATCCCAAAAAATACTACAAAGCAATTTTAATTATTACATAGATATATAGAAAAACATAAATTAATGAAACACATTTTAGCAGTAATATTAAATATTATAATTATTAAACTAGTAAAACAAATTGCAGCGAGTAAAATTAGTTTTATATTCAATTAAACTACAGTTTAATCATAGGTATCTAATATTAAATCTACACTATCCATTTTTCATCATTTCAAAATATTTATAGTTAAAATTATAATATAAGTAAAAATCATCAACATTCTCATGTCTTTCAAATAGTTTTAAGGGAAAGTAATAAAAATACTTTAAAACCTCATATGACTTAGTTTAACTTTAACGTATTAAATGTGTATCTTAATTACTATATAAACATAATTTACTTGATATAAAGATGTGTTATTATTCAGATTTTTTTTACTGTAGTGTTTTAAATATTTAAAAAACTTGAATGATATAAACTTAGGCATCTACCGTTTCAGTCCGACTTTCAGATCCAAAATCCATTTTCAAAGAATTATTTTCTATCAACTATAAATGATTACCCAGCCATAAATAATTATGGTACTTTCTAAAAAAATAACTATTGGGAAGTATAAAATTATAATTTTAATAATAAAAGTATACAATTTATTCAAATTTTAAGTAATATTTTAAGGTCTAATTTTTAGTACTTTACGCAAGCAATAAGATAAATATTAGTCGTTTTTACTAGTAGAACTAGTGTTTTTAAATAAATACTCATTGGAAATCATTATTAATTACATTACTACGATAAAAGCATAATATTACAATCTATTTGAAATAAGTATTAAACATTTTTTTTGTGTATTTTTATTTGTTATTTATGTAATCTGTTGCAATGCAGAGCAATAAGCATAATATATGTAGTATTTACAAAGATCAGATTGACAGAGCGAAGAGGCCTTCTAGTGAAGGAATTTTAATAATTTACCAAAAATATGTCGAAGACTAGTAATTTGTTATGTTTAAAAGTGTAGATTTAATATGCATATTTATTTTTTTCTACAGACTCTTGAATAATTATACACATGAAAAAAGCTTAAATTGTAAACTAAAGCATAGTTTTAATAAAAAAAAGTGCTGAGATAGTAAATGTATGTTATATTAATAGTAATACCGGGGGGTACTCTCGTGGGTGCATGGGGTACAGTGTCCACGGTGTACGTGTTTCCCACAGATGAAGAGGCTGACGAAGGAGCTGAAGAAGAAGAAGACGACGAAGACGAAGAGCCAACGTTTCGCGAGAAATTTCAAGTATGGCTATTGAAGTTCATAGATACATTCTGCGTGTGGGATTGCGGTTGGCCGTGGCTTATGTTTCAGCAAGGACTGGCGTTTATAGTGTTCGACCCGTTTGTTGAGCTTTATATCACGCTATGCATCGTCGTTAACACGCTGTTTATGGCTCTCGATCACCACGAAATGGATCCCGATTTGGATTTCATTCTGAACAAAGCTAATGTTGTAAGTGTGTTAAAACTATCCGACTAAACCACATAAAATCCTCGAATAAAACATGTGCACATTGTCTTAACTTCTATACAGCAAAAATGGTATATTAAATGCGGTATTTGTTCCACCCGTGCAATTACGTCATCTAGTTGTCCCTGATATATTTTGTCTGATCGATGCAATTGATTTCTAGTTTTTTAGCGCTACGTTCGGCGTAGAAGCAGCCCTCAAACTTATGGCTATGAGTCCAAAATATTACTTCCAAATGGGTTGGAATATCTTCGATTTTATCATTGTCGTACTGTCTGTGGTAGAGTTGCTGTCGGCCGGCTATCAAGGTCTTTCAGTTTTGCGGTCTTTTCGTTTGGTAACTACACTATTTAATATTATTTCAATAAAGAATGTTTAACAACAAGTGTATAATTTCTAAACAATTACAGCTCCGAGTGTTTAAGTTGGCGAAATCATGGCCAACATTAAATCTGTTAATATCGATTATGGGTCGAACGATTGGCGCATTGGGTAATCTTACGTTCGTGTTGTGCATAATTATATTTATATTTGCTGTCATGGGCATGCAACTATTTGGTAAAAACTACACAGGTAACACTGTTATAATTATTTCGCTAACAAACTTCTCGTTTATGACTTGATGTATTTTTCGTTTAGAAAAAATGTACTTATTCAAAGACCAAGAGCTCCCCAGATGGAACTTTACCGACTTTCTTCATTCATTCATGATCGTATTTAGAGTATTGTGTGGCGAGTGGATTGAGTCTATGTGGGACTGTCTGCTTGTGGGCGAACCAACTTGCATACCGTTTTTTTTAGCTACAGTTGTCATCGGTAACCTTGTGGTGGGTACCTAACTTATTAATCACACATTTAAATAGTAATATTTAAAATTATTTTAGTTATATCAACGTGGAAACCGTTTTTATTGATAATTAATATTTAGTTATTATTATGATATTTACTTTTAATGTACTTGATTTTTGCTATTTTTTTTTTATTATAATTTATATTACATCTAAAAAAAACTTTAAGCAACTTATGGTTATATATGTATATAGTAAATAAATAAATATTTAAACTCTTCGTCGGTTAGGTTAGGACAGAGTCCGTCGTTAGCGCTGAAATTCACAACATTGTTGCCGAAGTGCATAAACGCATAATGTGTATTATTTTTATGTTTAAGGGTTTAAATATTCATTTCTTTACTAAACAATAAATTCAAAACTAAATATATTTAGCGAGCTGCCTTTTATTAAAGGTTTCCATTCGTCACGATTTACTTATCCGTAGATGTATTTAGGTATATAGAATTGTTTTACAACAATTCAAATTTTAAGATATCATTGTATTTTGGATCTGTCTTTTTTTAATAAAAAATATCTTACCCCCCAGTGTTTAGCCATTTGTAAATTTAACTGTCAAAATTTACCTATTTTTTCATTAAAATATCATTCAAAATTTTATATACATACCAAGTAGATGTGACTGTATGGCGAGAAGTTGGACGATTAATAATATTAGAATATATAAAATAAAAAATTTTAATGCATAATATATTTTTTTTTAAAACGTGTTTGTAATTATTTAGGTGCTAAACCTTTTCTTGGCGTTACTGTTGAGTAATTTTGGTTCATCGAACTTATCAGTACCTACTGCCGATAGCGATACGAATAAGATCACCGAAGCATTCGAACGCATTGGTCGGTTCAACAAATGGGTAAAAAATCTATTGCTGAATTTCCTGAAAGCGCTCAGAGCAAAACTTACCAATCAAATATCAGTTCAGGCGTCAGGTGAGGCCTGCCTAAACTACAGTTGGGACCAAGGTTAATCCCTTATTGCCTTTCAAATGATCATATTATTGTTTTCTTTTGTTTTGTTTGTCATAGCTATGAAAATGTTTTATAGTTTTATTGCATGAAATATTATATTTCAGTATACATATTAATAAAAAAAATTAAAATCATTAATATCAATAAATTACCAAATACAGTTTTGTTATGCTACTAGAACAACTAACAACATTATATAATAAAAAAAACAATTATGTTTATAAAAATAATAAATCATTTACTTAGTAGATAGTATATACTTAGTATATTTGGCACACGTGTAATATTTAAAACCTAAAGGTCTATATTTTACGCTGCATTGTAAACATGTTTTTGTGTGTACGATTCCAATGTAATTTAACTCTTATTTTTACATTGAAATCATAAGTACGAAAATAGTTGAATTATGCGACGTACAATATAGACCACTCACCGAAAAAAAAACATAGTTGAACTAACTAGGTGTGGATTTTTTCTGTGTTGTGTTTATTTAACTTTGATTTTGACAGTTATAATACATATTTTATAACTTACAGGTCGCAACAGAGAAATCGATTTAGATGCTGACGACGTTATTATAGATGGCATGATGTCCTATAAAGATAGTAAAGACCAAATAGAAGTGACTATTGGTGATGGCATGGAACTAACTATTCCGGGTAAATACAAACAGTTAAAATATACCTATTTCACCGAATCATACGATGAACGAAAAATTTAGTTGGTTAAATAATTTAGGTACTTGGTAGTATATTATTATAATACGTAACTTTTATTTTTAAGGTGATGTTAAACAAAAAAGTAAAACAAATCAAGTTGGGAATTCAATAGGAAATCATCAAGGAAATACTTTTGGAAACAAATACAATAAAGAAAGTTTCGATATGGACAGTGTAAAGTAATACAGTTATTTTTAAAAATTCTATAAAAAAAAATTTAACAAACTTTACAACAAATATGACCATTTGTATAATTTAACGCTTAAGGGGAACGAAAAGCGTTATTTATTATAGGGCAACGGATAGGCAATATTTGACAACACTTGATTTGGTTAACATTTTTGCTGATTAATTTTAAGGTGAAAAATATTTTTTTAATTATACAAATTCTAAAGTTATTTTCCACTGATTTATAGCGAAAGTTTAATAAAAAATTACTTTCGTAGAAATGATTATCTTATCTATTGGACGGATTCAAATTTTTTTTATGTAAAGCTTACTATTTTTTCTATAGGGGGGTAAAAGGCAAATTTTTGATTTAGCTATTAGAAAATTAGTTAGGCCTATTAGAAAAAACTAAATAATAGTAAAAATATAAACGCTTATAGTAAAATTTGAATAACAAAAATAAATAATCAGCCTTTTAGACCTCATAGAGAGAAAATGTTAAACTTTATAACCAAAAACAGGTTTTTTTCGAAATCGGTTTGGTAGACACTTCAGAAAGGGACTTAGTCTTTTTATGTTTATTTTTATAAAATTTGGCGCTTTTCGTTCCTTTTAATTTTGATCTTCTACATAAAATATGTGTGATAGTTATGAAATTTTTTTTTTTTTAACTTAAATTTGTATTCAAATAAAATTGTTAACAAATCATTAAAAATAAATTGTTTACAGATGCTAGCAGATATTTAATTGGACTGTTGTCTGTTAGTCACTTCAGTTCACAGATCGTCTACATCACTATTTAGGAAAACAGCTCACATTCTTTTGGACGTATTATAAAAAAAAAATGAAGAAAAAACAATAATCGAGCCAATGCAAGAGCACTGAAAAAAATTAACCAATTTCTAACTTCATTATTAGTATTTCGTACTAGACACGATGTGATTGTAATTAATGAAACGCGCAGAGTTATTGAGAGAGTAGTCGACAATTTGGTACAATTAACAAAAAATGTTAAAATTAGTAATAGGAAAACAGGTAAAATTATTAGCTTACAAGAATGACATATAAATATAATGTTTTTATATATAAATGTATATAAAAAAAACGCGGTAACCCATCTTGACAACTCTGTGCGTTGCAAGCCGGTACAGTGCAGGAAATTATTTTGAGAATATTTGCGTACATACATTGCACGTGCATTTTCAAAAGCCAATGGTTGTTTTTAGGTAGGTCTGTGATGAGACGTCGAAGAGCTTAAGCTGTATTCGCTAAAGTATATTTACAATATTATTATTATCTTATGTAAAATTATTATACATTACGGAACGTCATTTTGGTAACCTAAACAATAGAAAAATTGTTTAAAAAAGTTAGTATTTAAGCTCAACATGCTTTTTCGATAAATTGTATCACGATTTGTATGTTTTTCTAAAATACACAAATAATATTGTAGCAATAGCCTGTAAATAATTAAAGAAAAAAAGTGAATAGGTTAAATAGTAAATACGTAAAACAATATATCTAATAAGGCTTTATTCAACCAACTATTTTTTAAATTAACAAAACAATAGTATAATCATGAAAAATAAACAAAATAAAATACGTCGTTAAAAATAAAAATTATCTGTGATATTTCTAAATTCGTCGTATCTGTGATTGAACTTTAGTTTTTTTCATCCGTTTTTCAATTAAAAGATTTATTTAATTGTTATTTTTCGTTCATGGACGAACATTTTTTTCAAGATAAAATAAATTAATATTTAATGTACATAACAAACGAATTAATTTGTAAAAAAAATTAATAATAATAACATGAAATATTTATTAGTACTTAGTTTATTAAACTACTGTCTAAACACTAACATACCTATATTATTTTAATTAAGCTTGATTCTGTGTTGCGTTTTTCCGATCCTCTACGATATTGATAAGTAAAAATATAGGATTCAAATTAATATGTGAACACCAATATAAAAATAACATCAAGCGCTTTAGGCAAAATTTAACTTTAACGATACATACTTTGTTATTTTCTGTAGCTAAAATTGTTATTATCTGTTAAGTTTTTAGTTGTATGTATGTTTAATTTATTAGTTAAAACGGAGTTACCAAAATGACGTCGCTTTTGCTTTAAGAGCATTCAATAGTATCCATTTTATTCCTTTAAAAAAAACAAGAAAAAACAATTTAAAACAATAATAAATGCTTGACTCAATCACTTGAAAACGCACAAATTTTGTAACGATGCATTTTTATGAAGAAAAAAGACAACCAATTAAACTTGTCCTATAATACGCACTGTTATTTATAGATTCGGAATTTGTAATACTGTACGGTTATGTTTAAAAACCGTTTTGTTACACTTTTGAACGTTGTTGAAAGTTTTAAGTTTAAGAAAATATTGTAAAAAAAATTGTTAATTGATGGATGATAATAAGTATTGTGTAAACAAATTTATTACGGACGATTTTTGCTTAAGGGTTAATACAATTATTATTTTTCCGCCTACTTTTTAAGAAACGTTATTATTATTATTGTTTCGGGGTAATTTTTACTAAAATGATAATAATAATTATAAAAAAATTAATTCAATTATATTGTTATCTGCTGTATCTGAGACGAGGACAACGCTGAATACTGTAAACAAAATATGTATGCGACGTTTTTCGCACCGGCATGTCCTTCCCTCTTTGACGGTACGAAAATTGTCGGATAATATTGCCTACGAATATTTTTTAACATTGTACATTTCATATTTTGCAATAATTTGTTTGTCTCTTTAATAAAAAAAAAGTTGAAAATATATAATGTGTCTTATTTTACAACTACTATTGCAACTGCTTATTAGCTATTTTGATACTTTATTGCTTACGTTCAATACAACATAAAATCAATAAATGTAGGTGAATGACAACAAACCTAACCTAACAGGTTTAGATATCGAATTAATATCTATGCAATTTCGTATTAATTTTATGAAAACTAAAAAAAAGATTAAGAAACAACTTAAGATAACCAACCGTTTTTTAATAAGTAAAGTGTAGTCAGTTTTTTAATAAAATAATTAGCTAAAATATTCAAAGTGGTATAATAATATATCAAAAAGTAATCCATATTTATTACTTGTTTCCAAATCCTACAACGCAGTTTGTGACCGGAACCTAGAACATGGGATCTTTAACAATCTTAAACGATGTAGGATGGATAGTACTGCGATATAAGAAGTGAGTTACAAATGTTTCGAAAGCATAAAAGTCCTAGTGAATAACAATACAGAAATACGAGTTTGTCTATTCAAAATTGTATTGTTCGTCGTCTGAAGAAGTAAACACGTTCAACTTGTTTTAATATTTTATAATTTCTTATAATTAGTCAAATGAAACAAAACATTTTTTTTTTAATAGTATATAATAAACACATAATCGAAATGTATAAAAAAAAGTTAATTATCACTTTATGTAATATATAAAATAATAATTAATTTTTTTATTAAGCTTAAGAACAAAGTTGGTACAATAGCTTCCGTAGAATTATAACAAATTATAATTACTATGTTTATAATATGAACAAATATTTTACAAAACATTAACAATTATATAAATATTAATGTATTTCTTAGTGCGTTATTTATTTTTAACAATAACCAAAGACCAATTAAAATATTTAAAATTAAAAACATAAGCTCTTGTACATTCTTTATTTTCTTATGAACTAGAAAATAAAGGCGTAAACGTTTCATATCACAGCATTCATTATACAAAAAGAGAATATTAATGTAGTATATTATTATTTATCATGATGAGGTGAGGAGGTTTATCCTTATGAAGTAAGTGTCAAATTTTCAAACATTATTGTGGAAAAGCTATTAAATATTTAAGCTTCAGCCGTACACCGACTGCATAATTTAACGATAATTATTAGTACTGATCTTTTGATAGGAAACAAATGAAAAAAATAGAACTGCGCGTCCTCTTAGACGTCGGCTAATTTTGAGCTTTTAGACGATGACCTCGAATGGATTACTACCTTGTGCCCGTTTTTGGTGACAAATCCATCGCTTTCCACTAGTACTGCTGTCTGACGGCCATCTGGTGACGTAGCCTCGTCACCGCAATCTTCGGCTGCCTGGCGCTTTTCCTTAGCAAACTTTAGCCAAGTCTTTTGTATGATTATCGCACAGTAAACCTCACGCATACGCCACAGCGTTGAGCTAATTGGCTCGTATCCCGCCTCTTCGGGCCTCGTTTGAATTTCGCTGATTTCGGCAACGGTCTCGATAATGGGATTGCCCTTACGCGCAAAGAAGTCCTTGGTTAGCGCGTCCAGGATATCCACGCAGTAGATCAGGTCACCCTTACATATTGGTATATCCATGGACACGATTTTGTACTTATTTGGCTTGTGAATCTTAAGAGGTGGCTCCAATATATCCAGAAAGTCGGACAGCTGGTCGTATTGGATGTACCGGGTGCCGTCAGGGTCAAAGTGCTGCCATATCTCGTAGTACATGTCGTAGTCGTCGTCAGTTAGACCCTCTTGGACGTCTTCCGTTGCCTGCGAGTAGTTTTCCAAGATCACTGCGATGTACATATTGATCACGATTAAGAAATTGATCACTAGGTACGAGAGCAAGAACGCTGTGCCCACAGTCGTGTTACCGCAGCTTCCCGTGATGCCCATCTCCAAGTTAGGCTTAATGCAGTTGTCTTCGTTGGTTATTCCATCCAACACGGCGTCCCAACCCGAAGACGTGGACAACTAAATAACACAAATAAATACATGCTTCATTGATAAAAAAAAAACTAGTTTGAATTAAAACAACACTAAGGCTCACTCACCATAAACAACAGAATCATTGACTGACCAAACGTACGGAAATTGTAATCTTCATCCAAACCCCCATGACTAGATACGTTCATGAAAAACGACATGCCGAATATGGCAAATATGAACATAACCAAAAACAGTAGCAAGCATATGTTGAAAAGAGCCGGCAATGACATGGCCAATGCGAACAATAGCGTTCGGATACCTTTCGCTCCTTTTACCAAACGCAACACTCGTCCTACTTTGGCCACACGCACTACTCGCAGAAGGGTTGGTGATACGAAGTACGTCGAGATTAAGTCACTCAACACTAGACCTATACATTCAAAGTTAACAGGTTAGGTGCCTAAAACATTTTATTACACGATTGGCGATTACCTGCTAACGATAGTATAACCACGACGAAGTCGAACAAATTCCACGGTTCTTTAAAGTAATAATAACGCAATGCGAATATTTTTAGTAAACATTCCGCAGAAAATATAGCGATAAAAATTTGATTGAGTTTTTCCAGTACATAAGTGAATAATTGCGTCTGGTGGTAATGGTCTAAGGTCATTGTCAACATATTGAGACCGATAAACAACATGATGAGCATATCAAACTTCTTGTCCGTGACTATTTGGAAGACGATCGATTGTGGTCGCCACTTAAAAATAAAATTAATTTAAAATACATTATACTCGAATTATAATAAAACGGAATTATTATTTATTACCCTAGGCCTTGGTATAGCTTTTAGCGGCTTTTTCGAACTCATTTTTTTCATAGCGTTATAATATTTTTTTTGATCTTCCGTCATAAACATTTCGAGAGATGCGCCTGAAAATGATTTTTATTTACCATAATATCTATTAAATAGGTAATGCTTTATTTATACTATTTAATGAGGCTGATATTAAAAAAGATTACCAGTTTTTTTCTTCTGTTCGTTGAAATTATCAATTATCACTCCGATAAATAAGTTGAGAGTGAAAAATGAACCAAAAATGATAAAGAAAACAAAATAAAAATACATATAGTTGTTTATCTCACGTATTGGTTGTTTTCCATGCATCTGAAACCAACAATAGTACATTTTGTATCCGTAATTAACTTAGGTTAACGTTGTGCCAAGTACATACATCTCTCGAGTCCACGGCATCTCTCATGATTTCCATCCATCCGTTAAATGTAGCAACTTGGAAGAGACAAAGGTATGCATTTCCAACGTGATCGAAATTCATTTTTGAATTTTTCCACTCATAATTTTCAGCTAAGCAAACGTTTTTATCAGGAATAATTTCATGGCTAAGCGTTCTACCTTCTGTATCAACACACTGTAATAGTAAACACGTATTATACTTTAGGTAATTACATTTATAGTAATAATATATTAACTAAATAACCTTATAATATTTTCCAGCGAATAGCTGTACGCCCATAATAGCGAATATCAACCAAAATATCAAACACACCAAAAGTACGTTAAAGATACTCGGTATCGCTTGCACTAGTGCGTTCACCACTACCTAAATAGTAAAATTTGTATTAAACGCAAATTATATTTTCTGACTTAGACCCGTAGTTTCAGTAGTATTTAACTGGCAGATAACAATGGTTAAACGTCGACTAAACCCAACTGGTAGATATCACGTTTTTCGGTCGAAGAAATTGTTTATCTGTTGGATAAGGTGGTTCAATTGCTTGGTACCTTTTTTCCCGGTTAACACACTAACTGAAGAATAATATAATAACATAATATGATTAAAAAAAACGTGTTATTATTGTTTGCACGATTTTTTTAAAGTATCTTCCAATGTTCCAAGATATATCGTGTATATTTTTTTAAATGATTAATATGAAACACGTTGATTTGTTGTGTGACGATGACAGCTAAAGAATATTTAAATATTTAAATTACCAACGTAGACCTTACACTTTTTGGAAAAGAGGTCTTTGTTGCTTAAAGTCGTTATGAGGCAAATTTTAAACTTATCAATGGCAAAATAACGACACAACCCGATTTGGGACTATTATAAAAGTTCTGAAAAAAATTATGTTCCTATTATTGTAAAGTAGAAGTAGATTAAATTGGTAACATCTAAAAAACAATAAAATAATTTAATGGAGCTACTAGTAGTAAAATATGATAATTAGATGTTTATATTATATTATACAATTGAATAAATCTTATTTTTATGTATGGCTTAACACTATTTGATAACAAACAATCTGTTGGTTACCGTCCAAACGTAATCGACAAATTTTGTATCATTATCAACAAGACTCATTACTTTAACACAATTACTTTCAACTAACTAACCACAAGTTATCTAACAGTTGGATGAAAAGTGGTAAATGGCAAATGAAATATCTGGAGGTTAAACTACCTATTTTTAATTATCTGGTAGTTAGTTATCTACCAGATAAATGGAGTACTAAAAATCCGGGTCTTAGTTAAAATTAAAATTATATTATCATAAGTCGTTTGAGAATTTCTAAACACTATACAATACATACATCATGCATAAAAACTAGCCTATAAGCTATAAAAAGATACCGAACATGTCAAAAATAAATTACAAGCAGAAATATATGCAAAATAGGAGAATAACTTATTTTAGAATAAGCAGTATTTTTTATCCATTAATATAATAAAAAGAGCTTTATAATAATCATTCGATCTGATGTGCCCAAACTTTAGTTAATTAAATTTACATTGCGTAGCAGCTAAATTGCTGGCTAATGCCTAAAACTTAAGGAATGATCAGTGACATTACTATATCTTGTTTTATCGTTCATTGTAATTAACGTAGTCCTAAATCAAATTAATCAATGAAAATGTAGTCTAGCACTACGTTGTGGACAAACTAAAAACATTTCAATAATATTTATAAGTTGGATCTAAATAAAACTTATTCTTTAGCTTAGCGTTTGGAATAATACCGGAACTAAAACAATTATGTAAACCACAAAGAAAACTGAATCCAAACTTGTGTTTAAATTGTTAACCACGTACCCTCATGCCCTGCATTCTAGCCATAGCTCGTAGTGGTCGCAAAGCTCTTAGAGTTCGCATGGTTTTGAAAGCTTGAATTCCACTCGCTCCCAACAAGGCAGCCACAAAATTTATCAAGGACACCTGTGTGAAGTAGAGCCAAAGAAAATGCACACATAACAAAATGTATACACATATATCAACATTTTTAGCGCAGCAGTGCATCCCCACATACAATTAATACAAATATGCATATGTCATACGTAAATGATGTATAATGATATATTATTATACGGTAAATAGTATATCGATTTATTAATCGGTAAAGGTTTTTTTATTTGTATCGGCCGTCCATTCTTTAACCAAATTGACGTGTAACTTTTGTTGTACAATGCGCTTTGGAGCGAAAATATAAAATCATGAGCTCATAGCCAAGAGCAAAATTGCAGATGACCGAATTCATCATGAAACAATTAATGCACACGCATACGCACACAAAACATCTCAGGCAAAAAAATAAAACACTGCAAGTCAAAAAAGATAGGTAGTTGTTGTGTAGCGGCTGCGATATGGCAATTTATGACTATTAATAATAATCGTATATTATATCGGTTTCGTGGCTAATAGAAAGAATAAGTATCAAACACATTATATACACAATGGAAAAAAACACAAGTAGGTATAGTGAGATCCAAATCACAAATGTGCCTTTGTAGGCTCGTACTTACTCTCATACCCTCCCAACGGGACACCGCTCTCAGAGGCCTCAAAGCCCGAAGAGTCCTCATCGGCCTGAATGCCGGTATATCTGCAGCCCCTGCCCATATCGTTGCCAAGTTTACTAACGACAACTATAAGACAAGTCATTGACGTACGCCATAATGTTATTATGAAATACAGTGCAATATTTCAACGGAATGTACAAATCACGATGATAATATAACCTATTAGAAATATAACCCCCTAGCACATAGCTTGCTGCTTGTCCCCTTATTATAGTTTAGAAAATGTTCTAAAGTGATCATGAAAAAAAAATAATACATATTAAAATGAATAAAGCAAGTATTGTTTACCATAACTATTATGAAGTCGAGCCAGCACCAAGCATTTGTGAAGTAGTTGCGAAATCCTAATGCCAACCACTTGATCAACATCTCTAAAAAGAATATCACAGTGAATATTCTATCCATGTAATACAGAATATCTTGAAGTACTGGTCTGTGCTGCAGATTTACATCTTCTAAAGCCTGGAAACAAATTCCAAATAATTTTAATGTGTTTAATGTAATACATACGCGTTATTTTTTCATAGATACTATAAAAATCTGATCTCTTGTACAACGTATATCTAAAAACAAACAAGTTTAATTAAATAATAGTTTATAATTACCAAAGCAAGACTACTTAGAAGAATCATAGTGATAACAGCGGTTTCAAAATATTTATTTTCGATGAGCTGAAATGTTTTTAATCTAAGTTGAGTCCATCCCAACCAAAATGGGGTTTCTTCATCTCCCGCCAAAAATGGAAATTTCTTATAACAGTTTGGTGGGAAACAATCTTCCGGATAGTCTTCCTCTTCGAAAACGTCCTCTACCATTTCAACAGGATATTGTCCTTTACATAATTCTTCTTCGTTTAGTTCTTCACCAGTTAATTCATAATTTTCCTCCATTCCTATTTAGATAAAATTAAAAACAATTTAACAATTATTAAATTCATACATAAGACGAATGAATAAATGAACTAATATGAAATACCTGTTTGATCGATCTCTTCTTTACTAGAGTATTGTTTTTCTTCAACACTGTGTAAACTTCGTTTGCTCCCTTTATGACTTTCACTATCATAAGGGTCGTGCTCATGACTTCCGTAAGATTTTGCACTGTTGAAATAAAGTTTTCTTTTAATACAAACATAACAATTACTAAACACATCAATAATAGTTCTGAAAGAGAAAAATTATCAAATGCTTTGTAGCAAACTTGTAGTCGATTTTCAACAAATTTTAATTTTAAAAAACATTTTTGAAGCAACTTCAAACATCTAAAACTAATTATTCATGTCTCTGATTTGGTTTTGATTCTTTAGTTTTCCCATGACCCATGGAGTTATGTGTTAATAACTATGTACATGATTATAATTTATTGTTATAACACGATTTATTGGTGATAAATTGTTATTATTATTATTATTATTTATTAAAGGCACCCGAAGATGAAAATTCAGGAGGAGCCGAATATGATTTCGGATTTTGTAATAGATTTTGCGAATTTGAGGTATTGGATATTATATAATCTTTTTTCACTTGCAGAGAAGCTAGGAGGAGTTGTCCCCCCTGCCACTCCTTGCGGGTGCTCGTAATATTATGTATTATGTTATCGATCAGCAACCTGCTGTTGTGATATATCCACGATTAGAAAATAATTAAAATAACCGTTAGAAAACCATCAAGTAAAATTAATTTATATAAATTGCATTTACATAGAGTAATGGCAATTCAATATTGTTTGGCCGAACCAACAAATTACTTTGAAATAGATTTATTCAAATACAAAGTACGCTAATTTTTCTTTACTGTGCACTAAGACACATAATAATAATATTACGGTTTGTGTTGTATGGCATAGTGATAGTCCATGTACATATCGGATGTTAGGGGCTTGCCAATTGCGTAAAAATCTATATGAATGGCGCCACACTTGTTAAGGTATTATTATTGACTGACAAATAACGTTCGATATTTAATACACAAAACTAAAACAATAACATTCGCAATTTTGTTGGTTTTTTATTATTAGTACGTTTATTTTATTATGCATTCAGATGTTGTAGTTTATCTACCTAATAAGTAATAGCCATATTATTGACTAAAACTGTACATATTTTTATTTGGAATAGTTGACCATAAAATATTTATTGTTCATCTATAGTATACTAATAACTAACACAAATTTGTCCCTTACCTTTTAGTTTCATAATCGTATTTGTCTTTGGTGTAGCAATTTTTATCCGTATTGTTTTGATGCACACCAAATGAGTTGTACGAACTGCTGGTCTGTGGTTTCCTTTTTTTGTTTTTGTCTCCTCGAATGAGTAATTCCATACCATCTCCTATAGTCACGTCCAATTGTTCTTTTTTGTTTCGATAAATAATACCAGCGTCTAAAAGTTCTTCTATTCACCAAACAAATGTAAATTATTTCATAAGCGATCGAGAAGACAACAATTTATTATACCTAATACACTAATATGTATAACTTACCACTACTGTACATGCTCATTGCAGTTTATGCAAATATTCCGATCATTCACATAAACTATAAAAAATTATAGTTACATTGATATTTATTGTAAGTATAATAACAAACTAACAAAATAAAATAGTCATCACGAAATGGAAACGTTGTCAGCGTTAACCTACATTATGAACTGTAGTGTCCGTATTATCGATTTGTTCGCGCGTGCTGTGGTCGCTTGAGCGCTCTCGTTACATGTCCTAATCACAAGACATATGAAAAATCATATGATATCTATACTTATTGCATATTTGAAGATAAAAAAGAAACGAAAAAAATATTTCTATAAAAAATATTGATACGTAATTCAATTTTTCATAAACATTTAATTATCTAATAAAATAAGTAATTTTAAAAACAAAATTATTTTTCTTATATTTTATCTATCATCAAACATATCCTATAACTTCACAAAAAAAAAACTAACCTACAGTTGTACACTAAGTGGTGCTTTAGGAAAATTGGAAAATTTAATATAATACGAATTATATTAAATGTTGATACATCATAAGAAAATCATATTGCTGGTTAGGATAATGTTTTTAATATAACAATTTGTAAAATGCATTTATATTTATAACAAAATTTAATACTGAAACATTGAAAACAATAAAATTATAAAAATAAACTACTAATGTACAAATTACAAAAAAACAGATCGTTGAACGTTTTAAAAACAATTTATTCAATAAAATCAACTAAATAATTTTAGGTAAGTTAAATTATGCCTTCTGGAATGGTATAAAATATTGATCCTAGAACAAAAGGTTTATACCGTTTCTAAATGTCCAACATCAAAAATCAACATTTTTTAAATTGTCGCTAGAAAACATTTTAAACTCTGTACAACATGTATAATATAATAAAATTGTCTTCCTCTACTCGTAAACATTGCTTTTATCAGCTTTGATATTTAATTATCCTTGGTTGTTTCAATATTTCCAAATCATCTCTATTAGCACTAATTTTTCCTGATGTAAACGTAACTATTTAAACTCAATTAACAATTTTAAAATAAAATATTAAGTATTTAATTTCGATTTAATCAACTAATATTAATATTAGTTATAGTTATGTTATAGACTATAACATACACTTTTCTTAATCATATTGTGTATAAATAATAAATATATATAACTTATGTGTTTTCCAAAGTAAGGTGGGTAATACATATTTATTGAATTGCCATTTTTATAATTTGAGGGTATTAAATATTTGTTTATATATCCTATAGTCATATTTTAAAACCTTTTTAATACAAGGCCTTTTTATTTTATTAGAAAGCAAAGACCATTATAATAACATTACAGTCGGTCACGTTAAGTATCATACATCATATCAAAATACAAAACAAATACTTTATTTGTTGTTTAATTTTATTCCAGGAAATAATATAAAAATATGTATTATTCTAATTATTTATAATAAACAAATTGTACAAATAATTTTATTTTATTAAATTTAAAAAATATATAGTTGTATCTTTAAGATACATATGTAATGTATGTAATTCGAATTTTTTTACTTGGAAACGTACAAATATAATTTTTTATATAATTAATATTCATACATTTTACTACTCGTACTGATAAACCTATTAGGCAATTGATGTCTTGCGCATATTTTGTGGATCCCTCCGTTCTACTTTCTATTTTAGGCTCTTAATTATAAGATTATTTTGTAAGTAGTTACTTGTGATATTTGTTAATTTGTAAATACTAAATTAAAATATTGTGTACATTGTACATCTCATATTCAATAGTACATGCCCGTGTATATTAAAATTAAAAATAAATCATATTATTTTGTGAATTAAATAAATTAGCTATTAGCAGTGTTGGGCACTTTTTATTCTAATAACGAATAACAAATAATTTATTCGAATAATTTTGTTATTCGACCAAATCTAAGATGATTTATTCCATTAATAATTCGTATTATCTTGCGAACTAAACTGTATTATAATCAAAGAACAAATTTACTTTACTGGACACCTTCTTTTTTATCTGTAGTACTTTAATGCTGATTAACAAACCTGCAAACATTTTATTTCGCGTAATAAAATGTAAATGAGGTTGTAATAAAATAAAAAAATTAAGAATACAGTAATTTGTTCGTCATGGACCATGGTAAATTGACCCATATGTAGACGACGTCGTTGTCATAGCAAGAAGTGAATAAGTGTGAAATCCTTTCTGTGTTATTACTTATTAGCACAAATTAAGATAACGGCGTATGATAAACCACTGTTAAATTAGCCCCCGAAATAATTTAGGAATGTGCAAGAGGCATCTTGCACATTCTATCTTACTAGTAGAACTTACGCTAATGTAGTAATGGAATATAACTGATAAATTGATCACCGTAATTACAATTATGTACTGACTCCACCCACGCTAAAGACAGTTTGGATGATACAGTATCGGTGTCATTGCGTATTGGTGGAAAAATATGATTAAAAATTAACGAATAAGAAAGGAAAACCAAGTATATCTAAGTATTCTTAGAATAACAAAGATGGATTGGTCATATACCTACTCACTTCCTCAACGAAGAAAACACAAACGAAATAGTGCAAATTTACAAAGAATAATACAATACAATGTAAAATGCTTTGCTCCTTGACAGGTGTGACAGAACGCTTTTTGTATACTTGGCTGACTATTCAACCAAATCTATTAAAAGTTGTTACCCAAAAAATAGTATAGTTTCGATCAGTCAATTGACGTAGAACCGGGTGATATGCAAATTGGGAAAAGTAAACAAGTTTGAAATTATTTAAATAACATGGTTAAGTTGCTCGAGCGTATTAAACTGAATGTTTTTTTCTGTCGTGTATTTGGATTGGGATTTCAGCTTGAAAACTCAAATACAGCAATTCTTGAGTATTGGCTATTATTTATAATCAACGTAATTTATAGCTTGTACTATGTATTTCATGAGATTTTTCATATACGACACACTTTACATAGAATTATGCCACTTATGGATATAATGTCATTATTAACTATAATCCGTTTCTACTTAAGGTCTATTGCCCCGATATTAGCGATAAGCTCAATATTTTTAATCAAAAACAATATAATTAAATCAATACAAACATTAGACGACCTAATACCGTCGATTGAACAAACTTCGTTGTCGTTATACTGGTGGTATTTCTATGGCTGGGTTATATTGAGTGTTGGTGTAGACCATTTTCATTTCCTTACATTTTGGATAACTTCGCGTTTCGGAACTTACACTATCTTCGATTTGCTTAACATTACAATATTTAACATTTGGATATCCATACCACTGGCTCAATATACAGTCTTAATTTTGTTGATCCAAAATGGTATCCGTAAAATAAATGATGATGTAACATCGTTAAAAAAATGGAAATCGTATCGGACAAGATGGAAGAAACTAAAAAAGTTGGCCGAATACCTTACTAATTCCGTGTTCGGTTTTGTCATCATTGTCTCTGTAATGTACAATATGGGTGAAGTATTTTTCTTCACATTTGTCTTCATTAAAGGAGGTAGTAAGAAATACCTTACATGTGTTTATTTATTAACGGCCTTCAATCGAGCAAGATTTATGGTACAATTATTTCGGATTTGTCATAACTGCAGAATGGAGGTAATGTATCACTACGCTACAATAATGCTAACAATATAAAAATCATGTTTTTTTTAATGCTAACTGAACTACAAGATACTTTTTTCAATTATTAAATCAACAAAGAATGGCCAATTATTATTGTTTATATTAAGTAATAACACGCGTAATCGGTTTTAATACCTCAAGCATGCGTGAAAATCAATATAAACTCGTAATAGCAATATAACACATCAATTAACGATTATAGGTTTTAAGAACTAAAGAGATCTTAAGTGGTATCAAAACAACAGAGAGATCAAATATAAAAGCAGTAAGAATTTTAATGTTTAATATAAAGAATATTTTAATTTATACTATGCTGTCTGAACAATTAACTTGCCTGTTTTTAGGTACAATATGCTTCACTATATATATTACACGCAGATTTTAAACTCACGCCTTGTAATGTTTTTGAATTGTCATTTCCACAATTACTGAATGTAAGTAAGATAATTTTTATTTTATAATACTCATATCATAAAATCAAACAAATCGTAATTTGTATATAATATTTTAGATCTTCGCAGTGATTTTGGTTTTTGTATTATTTCAAGTTCAAATGAAACTATTTGATGAAACTAACAACAGTAAATAACCCAACTGTTAAATAAAAAAAAATAAGTGAAAACGATTAATAATATGTAAACGATTATAATAAAACATTATTGTATAATTTCAATACTGTCATTTCAAATAGACATTTTAAGTACTAGATATATGTTTTAAATATTTTTAATTAATTTGTTAAATTATTTTTATTGTATTCTTTTTAGTATTTTAGTACCGCGAAATATTTTTAAATATGATCAAAGTTGACTCAAATATTTTATGTTAAAAGACTTTTGCTTTTAAGTAACAATAAACAAACGAAAAATTCTGAATTGAGAGGTAGACAGAGATTTAAATTTTAGACCAATTCCAGAAATTTATCTAACTGACTAATCACATTTTTTTAGTAAAAAAAGGTTTTAATTTTTCTATACTTATTTATGTGCTGGTACTACGGTTTGGGTGTTGTATTAAGGTTTATACTTCTGTGCCATACAGCAAAGCTAATGGGAAATATATTCTAGAATAAAGACCAGAATATATTATAGTTAAGGGTACTGATCAATAGTCCGTTTAGATTTATACCTGTTTTTCCCAATTAGAATATAGAAAAATAATTTGGTTTTATTTTCAATGAAAAATATTTTTTTAATTTCAAAAAGAAAAATTGTTTGTTATCGTGTTCTTAAATTGCTACAATTACAACTGCAATTTGATACGTCGCACGGAAAATCACAATCGTCTGAATTTTATGCATAAAATATTTTTTCTTCGATCTTCCGGTAATCGCTAGCGTTAAAATTATGAAAAAGGTAGAATGTTCACAATTGTGTAGCACTCACTAAATAAATATAGTATTATTGAAAAAATCAAGCTATTGTTATACTGACAGCAAGCAATACAAATGAAGTTTAATACTCGACTAGAATTTCTTTCCTAAAATAGTACCAACAATCAGTGTTGTTGCTACAAGTCGATGATTTACTACCATGTGATGCCCTTCATAAATACATAAATAAAACAAAAAGTTAAGATTTTAATTAAGCATGGCTAATTTATTCAACCGTGTTAAACCAACTATTATTTTTTGTACAATATTCGGACAAGGAATACCATATTCAAATACAAAGAAATCATCGTGGGAATACTGGCTGTTGTTAATGACAAACATTGCCATAAGCTCCTATACTACTTTGAGTATGTTAATGGAAATTCGAAAAATTGCAACAGTAATGAAATTAATTAATGTAATTAATTTTTTCATAAAGATTCTGACACCAATAATATCGATTATTTCAATGTATTTAAACAGAAAAAACATCTATAACATCATCGAGTCGTTGGACAACCTTTTACCTTCCATTACAAACATTTCTTTGGTATCATATTCGTGGACATTTTATTTATGGGTATCACTAAGTGTTGCAGTACCTTACATAAATTTCTTTGCTGTCTTGATAACTGCGAATTTTAAAATACACACTATTGCAGACTTTTTTATCACCTTCTTACATAATATTTGGCATTCAATACCAATAGCTCAGTACACTGTTATTATTTTACTGATTCATCATGGTATACGGACAATAAACGAAGAAATCACGACAATTAGGCAATGGAAATCCTGTCGAACAAGATGGAAGGAACTGAAGAACTTGGCTGAATACCTTACCACTTCAGTATTTGGTTTGGTTATTATCTTGTTTATATGGTGCTCAATGGGTGATGTACTGTTCTTCTGTATTGTTACTTTTCAATCATTCAAAGCAAACATGAATTTCCGTTCATACGTATTTATCCTTACGTCAATTAGTCGATCAGGATTTGTCATATTAATATTTCGGATTTGTCACAATTGTAAAAAAGAGGTAATACTTTACTAACATACTAATATATAATATAAGTACACTTGTGTCACAAAGTGCGTGCGAAGAAAAGTAGTTAGGTCATTTAACCTACATTTTTCTAAACAGCAAATACAAATTTAAAAAAAAAAATACGCGAGATCTTAGGAAGCTATTTTTTTTAGTTTTACATTATTCATATCTATGTCGAGTCGTATATAACTTTTTTTAGTATACTTACTATTTGATGCTTCATGTACATTGATTATAATCTACCTCGGATTATATAAAAATAATCGACTTAGTACATTATGTACAATGGAATTGCTTTTATGTATAAAACGTATAAGTTATCTTAAAGAACAAAACATTAAGTCTCTTTGAGCATGGACACTTAAATTATTATGAACTACTGGCTACTACATAATTTGTACACTTCATTTTTGGTATTTATAACATTCTCAGGGAAAATAATTCACTTTTCACTTATGTTTTCTTAATGTTAAAATATTAAGGAATATATATATTTTTTAAATAATACCGTTTTCATATATATGTTGTAATTATTAGGAATTCTAAATTAGAAAATACAATTTGATAATTTTATGCTGATCTCCTTTAACGAAGTACCGTTTTATACTATCCATTAGGTATCCAATAATTTTCGTTTACAGTTCAAGTCTAAAAGCATTGGCTTAATAGTATAACACTATAACGCTTTAGTAATTTTCAACGAAAATTGTTTTACTTGCTATTTTTTGCATCTCTGACAAATTATCCGCTGTTTATACATTTAATAAACTAATACTATAGTTTTTAATTTGTATATTATTTTTATAGATAATAAAAACTATAATAATTCTAAATGATGTAAAAACAAACAGCGTTTCGGATTTAAAAGCAGTAATATATTTAAAAATAATATTTAAAATTTTGTATTAACTTACGTTTTTCTTAGGTTGAATATGCTTCGCTGTACATGATACATACCGGTTTCAAACTTATGCCATGTGGTATTTTTGAGTTATCATTTAATCAATTGTTTACTGTAAGTACAATAGTCTTACCAATATTGTAATTATTTATTTGAGCTAAACATTTTGTTTTTAACCTTTAAGATATTCACAGTGTTGGCTGCTTTTTTAGCGCTTCAAATTCAAATGAAATTATTAGATAGCCAGGAAGTAATTATTTTGGATTTTTAAAATCGTTCTAAAAATGATAATGTTGGAAAGTGATATAAACTTACTTTAACTAAAAAAAAACTCAATTATGGAATATAGTTAGTAAAAATGTATGATAACCTACACGTGTTTGATTTATTTAAAACTTATATATTTTTAAATATTGTAACAAAAAACAAAAATTATATTGTATAATGTGATGAATATAAAAAAAATGACACAAGGCTATTTTCGTCAAATCATAATAATATATTAATATGTATTAAAAACTATATAACTTTAACAATTTATATTTTATGTCAACATCAAGTTTTAACAAAACATAACATAATGGAAAAACGATTTTGTTTTTTTTTAACTTTTCCAGTTTATGGGGTTTTTCATAGTGTCTGCGGCGCTTATCGAATCCTTATTTCCTGCGGTCTTGCCTTTGGTAACCATTGAATTGCCTTTTTTTTTTTTTGTAACATCTGAGGCCAAAAAATTAATAGTTACCACCACACTATACCACTCGTAGCTATATTATATTAAATACATACATAATATGTTTTTGTGTAATAACTAAGAGTCCAAGGAAAAATCACATGACACTCGATAACACAAAAATACATTTTTTCTTAATTCAAAATTGTTTTCCATAATCAGACAATTTTTTTACACATTTTACATAGGTTATACATATACAGGGTGTAAAGTAAAGTTTTACCGAGCTCCAAATGAGACATTTAGGATGCTCTATGGATACAGTAAATGGTATTCATTATACTCTTGATTTCAAATTTGAAATAATTTTTTTCGTAAGATCATTTTTTAATGCGATACGAGTTCTATTTTAAATAATTAAAAAAAAAAAATTAATACCATTTTTTGTACCCATAGAACATTCTGAATGTCGCATTTGAAGCTCGGTAGAACTTTACTTTACACCCTGTTTATATAAATACAAGCACAACATTTTGTACAAAAAATAACCAAAACTTTTAACTTAATCGATTTTATCAGTTTTAAAAATGTATTCTTTATAATCTTACAAGCAATTTTCAAACTTTGTAATTTAAAAAATACTTCTAAATTAATTATATAAACAAATTTTCTGTTTTTAATAAAAAAATATTTAACCTGAACCAATTTATTCAAACAGCTCTACAAATCACCAAATTAAACTATTTGGTTCCTTGAGGCACCCCTCCGTACGACTTTTAAATCGGGAAAACAAAAAAATTCAATACAAATTTTCTATTTTTAAGAAAGACTGTATTTCTATTAAAAACACGTTTTTTTAACATAAACACGCTATAACTTCGAACAAAATGATCAGGTCATGTCAATATTTTATTATTATTATTCAATAATTTTATTATTTGAAGCATATTTAGTGATCTTATTTAGTTTTTGTATGATTTTTTATTTTTTTTACGTCAATTTTGGATACACCAGAATTGCGAAATGAAAACACTAATTTTTGGTTGGTATCGTCGTTTATCCGAACGGCATCTTGCCGCCGCGATGTACGAGAAAAACTTGTGAGAACGTTTAACGGCTATGAAATAAAATGTTTACTATCATATATTATTTTTGTAAAATTTAAAATATTGTAGCTCAATTTATTAAGGTTATCTTACAGAGTAAAACGTAAAACGATTTTTATCAATTTAAAAAGGCCAATTTGTCTACATTACAAAATTTAACTAAAAATGGATTTTATTAAGCCGGCTTTTAAAATGGCATCAAATGAAAACATATATTAGTTTTTTGTATTGTTACATAATAAATAGATCGTTTAGTAATAATTTTATTAGGAACGAATCATATTTCTAAATGCTTGCGGTGTGCTCTTAAAATGTCTAATAAAATAAGTAAAAAAATTAAACATAATTATGTTTAAGAATTTATAATGGTAAGGTTTATTAAGTATATACATTTATGTTTTGATGTTAAAAATTGGAGTAATAAAAATGCAAAGCATTTTTTTTTTTTTTTTAAATATAAAAGCAGTCCTTAAATCTCAAAGTGTTAATACAGGGTCCGGCATTGAAACGGGATGATTTCAATACTTAATTACTATTTAATGAATGAATAAATTTTAATTTTAATAAATATAAAGTATAAGAGTTACAATTTTATGTTCAATACAAAAAAATATTATTTTTTATGTACTACGTTTGCCAAATGACCTCCATTGTTATTTATGCATTCTTGTAGGCGGAACTTAAAGTTTTGCAGCATATTAACGGCTTGCGATTTTTTTTATGAGGATACCTTAAATCAAAAGTGTTTGAGGCCAATCCACCAAGAACTATCCAAACACTCAAACAACGCATTCGGGACGATATTGAATCAATTTCCATTAATATGCTGCGAGAGGTCATGCAAAACTTTAAGTTCCGCCTACAAGAATGCATAAATAACAATGGAGGTCATTATAAATATTTTGGATTGACAGCTTGACAATAGCGTAAAAATGTATATTTGTCAAGTTAAAAAAAATATATAATATTCAAGATAGAAATATTCCGACGAATGTAGATGAATAATTTATTGTCGAGTAGATTTTTTTTTATAAATACCGAAAATACAATAATATTACGGAATTTCGCATAAAAATGACTAAATTTCTCGAACGTGTTGAGCCGACTATTATTTTGTGTATTACTTTTGGATTAGGATTGCCATATGCAAATACGAAGAAAGCATCGCTGGCGTACTGGCTGTTGTTAACGATTAACATTACAATAACTATTTCCACTACATTGGGTGCTTTTTCTCAGGCTCCTGAACCAAAAGCGGAAGCCATGGTTTTTATTACTGTGGTCAATTTTTTGGTGAGAATTTTGACACCGCTTTTTTCGATGATTTTAATGTGTCTCAAGAGAAAAATTATTTACAATACCATACGATCGTTAGACGATCTTATTCCGTTCATCGAACACACTTCCTTATCGCTGTATGCATGGTACTTCTATACATGGATATTATTGAGTGCTATAGTGAATTATTTAAATTTTTTCACTGTCTTGATGTCTACTACTACTTTCAATAAATATTATATTGCGAAATTCTTAACTATTTTTTTACATAATATGTGGCATTCAATACCACTGGCCCAGTACATGGTTATGATTTTACTGATCCATCGTGGTATACGGGAAATAAACGAAGAAATCACGACAATTAGAAAATGGAAAGCACGTCGAACAAGATGGAAGGAATTGAAGAACTTGGCTGAATACCTTACCGAATCCGTATTTGGTGAGGTTTTAATTTTATTCCTATGGACATCCGTTGGCGATGTGTTATTCTTTTGTTGTGTAAGTTATCAGTCATTTAAATTAAACATGGATGTCCGTTCATACGTATTTATACTCACATCCATTAGCCGTTCAGGAATTGTCGTACTACTCTTTCAGATCTGTAACAATTGCAAAAATGAGGTAATTTTTTACAAATATATATATATTATATTAGATCAACCAAAAAAAAAAAAATATTATTTGAATTTAGGGTTAAAGAAAAAAACCGTCAATATTTGAACTAAATCGGATAATATTTTGAAGGTACTCAAAGCTATTTCGTATTTTCCATTTGATTGGCACGTGTAAAAGATATATTTTGTTTTTTTTATGACTATATCTTTTTCAATCTTTAAACTACAATACATTGCATTGGAGTGAGCTCGTTGGAAAGATGACGAAAACAAACTCTTCTTTTTTAATTAAGCAAAAACAATTTGTACCTACATTATACATTTAAAATTAGTTTTTTTTTCTTATAATTACATACATGGCTTGAATTAGCTTGTAAGGAAGCCATCCATCAAACACTCATTAAGATAAGTTAAGGTTTATAACGTTTTGATGTTATCGTTTTATGTTAATAAGTTACGGTTTCAGTTAGTTTGAGTCTACGTGTACTGTGTAGGGTTGTCAGAAAATCTAGTCATGGACATACCTTTTATCAGAGGGTTTGAATTTGAGTTTAGTTTTAAGTGAAATCTAGAGTAGTGTATTTTGACAAGTTCATTAACAGTATTTATTTGCAAGTATTTAAGTTAGTTCTTGTTTGTTAAATACCAAGCAGCACCAGTTAACATCCGGAGCGAGATGTTCTGGAACGCCTATATTGGTTGGAAGTTTGATGGCCTTGCTGGCCCCCATTTTGTATGCCATACGACGGTACTAATCTTATAATTTACTTGTAGATCAGCATTTTAATTTTAGTGTCAGTTTGGACTTCAACCCGTAGTGGGCTGAAGAGATGAAGTCTAGCGTTAGCTTTTTTCCTTTTATTCTTGAGGTGGAATCCTAGGTCAAGCGTTATTCTAAAATTATACCCTGGTATTTTGTTTCATTCTGAGTAGATATATTGTATTGTTGAGTTTAATGGCATGTTTTAAGACAGAGAGCAAAAGTAACATGGCTTGACTTATTTTCGGTGATTTTGATCTTCCAATATCTGAACCACGACTTACAATTAGTGCTGTTTACATACGCTTGGAGGTGGTGGGCATGGTGACATGATTTGTTTATAGTCTTTTTTTTAAAAACTAATCAATAAATAACTCAGTTTTATGAATTCCGGTAATATTACTTTTTGAATTGTCAACCCTCATTTAGGTATTAATATAATTTTAATTTTTGTATTATGTTTGTAGATCAATAAAACTATAATGATACTGAATGATGTAAAAACAAATACCACTTCGGATTTAAAAGTAGTAATATATTTCATAAATATTATTATAACTTATAACAACATAAATAGTAACAAGGCAACAGAGTCTAAGCGACAATTTTCATTGTTTTCAAAAAAGTTTAAGAAATGCTAATTTTTATGTCTCTTTAGACAAAAGGTTTGGACAAGAGATCTAAAAACAAATTAAGTAAAAAAGTATAATACTTTTCAAAAATATTTTAATTTCCCCCCAATTTTTTTTTTTTTTTTGTTTCCTCTTTAAAATTCTTCTTCTTGGGTTTTCCGGCCATCAAGACCATCCCATCACACATCCAATCCTCCAGCCTTCCCTATCCACTATCCTATTCCCTATCCTCTTTTAAATAGTGAACTTATTTTGAGGTTAACGAAGGTTATTCGCAAACGTATATTTTAAGTGATTCTTTCAACGCTCGTCGCCCCACATAAATTTATTCTTAAAAAATTTGAAATTTTGTAGTTATTCATTTTGAAAACATTTTTGTTTATGTTATATTGCATTAGAGTCAAAACTCAAATTTTTACCTTTTTTATTATTACTTAAAGCTTTATCAACTATTGAAACTTAAATGGTAATGTATATTTAATTTAATTTTTAAATTAAGACTATAATACGCTGAAAATATTGACTGGTCGATAACCAGTATTGAATAAATAGAGCTTTAAAGTTATAAAAGTTAGGACAGGAAGAAGAGTAGAGAGTAAAGTTATTTTTATCTGAACTCGTCCTAATATTTAATTAACTAAAACTATTTTTTTCAAAACTAGTTATTGAACAGTCAACATTTTCAGGAAATTACTCTTAATTCAAAAAGTTAATTAAATAGATACGGTACCATTTAAGTAAAAAATATTTCAAAAGCTCTAGAAAATAATAAATAAGGTACAAATTCAAATACTGTCTAATATACATGGTAATGATTTTATAGTAACTCATAGGGGTTAAAAAGAAATTTAAAAAAATATTTTTCCTAATGTTTTTATACAATGTGATCTCAATTTTTCACAATTTGTTTTTTTGTAAGCAACTTTTGAAACTTAAATAGTAACGCATACATTTCATTAAATTTAAAATTGAGATAAATGTACTAAAAATGTTGACTGGTACAATTCACCCTGTATTGTAAAATAGCATCTAAACAAAAATATTTTCGTAGGGCGCTAAAAAAATCAAATGGTATGCTACATCGCTTAAACCGTTACTGAAGCTTAGTCCTTTTATCCTTCTACCCATCAATATACTTACAGTTTATATATATTTTTAGGTTCAATTTGCTTCGCTGTATATGTTACATACAGGTTTCAAACTTAAGCCATGTGGTATTTTTGAGTTAACATTTAATCAACTATTGACTGTAAGTATAAGAGTTTTAATAATAATCTAATTATTCATTTAAACTAAATTTTTATTATTTAAGATATTCACAGTGTTGGCTGCTTTCTTAGTGTTTCAAATTCAAATGACATTATTAGATAACCGGGATTTGATATTTTTAGATTTTTAGAATATATATTTTTCAAAATAGTAACTTGAATTTAAAATGTTTTAAAAAACTAGGTATTATATAAGTGTCTGAAAGTCAAAGTTTTGATTTTATTTAATGCTTTACAAATTATATTAGTAAATAACAATTTTTCATTATTCAAACAAACCATATATTATTTAGTAATGTTACTTGTTAGTAAAATATATCATAAATTATACTTATTTGTTTTTATTTTATTTTTCTTAAAATATTAAAATGTATCGTCATATATATAAGTATCCCTTTGCTCGCGCATATTTAGTATGTTTCTCACGTTTGAAGCTTAAATTAACGTTTCTCACCCAGTAATATACAATTTAAAAAAAATACTTGAACCATTTTTTATTTATCAATGATACCATATATCTCAGAATATGATATATTATTATTTTTAATAATAAATCGAATACTAAATAAACTATTATTAATCATAAATATGTATTCTTTTAATTTAATGCCGTGAATTTGGCCCTGGCTTGGGCAGAACCCACGATGTCAGCGGAGTTTCCAATTGTAGAGGAAGGTAAGCTTTAGGTATTTGGTTTTCTACGCTCAAAAGTTGGTAATTCTGTACAATTGTAGTTTGCGTGTGTTAAAAGTTTACTTAGCAGTAAAACCGTAAGACTACATATGTAAGCTAAAGCTGTTCTTCAGAAAAGTGCGTCTCCTGATACTTTTATTACATACTCATTTATTACAAATTCAAAGTTAGAATCGTATAAATAATTCTTGTAATATTTTAGCTAAGTCGGCAATAATAACTAAGTTATTTTTTATTATTTTACGGCTTATTTGACGATTTCAAAAACTCAAATCACTCTTAATCTACAAATTGTAATAATATGTCAGTAACGTGGTGAGACCTTTATAGACAAAACAAAAAACGCACCACTTAATAGGATTGATATCAACTTATTAAAAAAAAAAAATACTACTTATTAGTTTTTTATCTATATACGAATGCAAGGTACTCAGAAATACACCTACCATGGATTTATAAATTGTATATAAATGAATGGCGTACATTGTCATGCTATATTCTGTTGACAACCCGAAATTGTATGTGATTATTTACTACATGTGTTAGAACTTTGAACTGTCTTATAATGCATATCAACATTATTTGTATTGTAATATTTTTGACGTGTACAGCGTATGCCGTTTCCGCTGAAAATGGCAAAATTCAAATGGTTGGTCATCAGTAATGTTTTTGCTTTTTCTAATATATCAATTCAGTGTTCAATTTTTTTTTTTTTTTGTAGAACAATGATCCTTCTACGGGATGGATCTACCGTGGTCCCCTGTTGGTTGACGGGCTACCAAAAAACTTTGACGCCAGACAAAAATGGCCTAAGTGCAAATCTATTGGTCTGATACACAATCAAGGCAACTGCCATTCCAGTTACGCTATATCGGTAGTGTCAGCGGCTGCTGATAGAATTTGCATTGGTTCCAACGGTACTTTGACTCCCGTCATATCTCCACAGCAAATTATTTCTTGTTGTTACTTATGCGGATACGGATGTAGGGGCGGTTCGGCCTATGAATCTTGGGACTTTTACAGACGACATGGGTTTGTTTCCGGCGGCGATTATGGCACAAATCAGGTACTCATATCAATACAAATTCAGTCATGCCCCGTGAAAATAATTAAATTAGATATTAATTTTCATCATTTCGGCTACCATCAGTATTTAATTGTTTTTTTGTTGTGATAACATGACGAGTGTGTACAATTTTACAATTATATCAAATTTCTTTGTGTTACTACCATATTTTACTAAATTGTTTAGCATATACTAATGTAAAACAAAACATTTAGGGTTGTCAACCGTATAAAATTCCACCGTGTAAAATCCAAAAAGAAATTACAACGGAAGACTCGTGCACACTTCACAAAACGGACGATACACCACAGTGTGAGACAAAATGCTACAATACTCAGTACAAGACCGAGTACAAAAATGACCTATACAAAGGTACTTTCATTACATACTAGTAGTTTATGTGTACAAGTTTTGGAATTTTCATGGTTATATTTCTTGAAATTTTTGTCAACCCCAAAAGGTTTACCAGCTTATCAAGTAGATCCATACATAGCCACAAAAGAAATATTTGAAAACGGTCCCATAACCGCATCATTTTACATGTATAAACATTTGCTTGATTATAAATCCGGTATGTACCATTTATGACACTATAATGTTTTTTTATAATATATATATTTCATGCGTTATTACAATTTATTTTAAGGCGTTTACTCGTTCGATTACAACAGTAGTAGACATTACTTTCATCGACAGACCGTTAAGATCATTGGATGGGGAGAAGAAAAAGGAACTTCGTATTGGCTTGCAGCTAATTCGTTAGGATACGAATGGGGAAATAACGGTACATTTAAAATTGCAAGAGATGAAAACGGATGTTTTCTGGAAGAAGAAATGTATGCAGCAATGCCTTTATTATAAAATAATATAGTTTTTTTTATTTTTCAAATGTCTGCATTTCTAATGTAGGTGAAACCATAAACTGTATAAACAAAAGTTATATACAATTATTAATACTTCAATCGAAATTTTATGTTTGCTTAAATAAATTTATTTTAGTTATAGACTATATTAACGTATTTATTTATTCCTATAAGATTTGAACTTAGTTTTATTAAAATATTAAAAAAGGTAAAATTTTACCTTTCATCGCAAAAAATGTCACACTAGAATACTAATAAAAGCATATACGCGTAGCAGTGCTCTCAACATAAATGTTACTTACGTTTTCTTAAAACCTAACCCCTATCATTTCGTTTTATCTACCTACTCACATACTTCACACTGTACTTTATAAATCATAATTTTTCCTCTTCCCTTATTTTATCTTTGGTGCCATCTAAAAAAGATTTTAAAAATTATACATTTTTAATATAACTAGAATAATACCGTAAATTTTAAAACCAATGTTAAACCCCTTAAGATACCTGAAAAATTAACTTTACTTGATATTATAATTTTTAAATTTTTAAATCGATAACAACCATTCAACTTTAAATAGTCTCTTTAACCTTGTTCTAACTAAACAAGAAATACAAAATCAGTACAGCGTGCAATACAAAATATATACTCATCAGTATTCAAATCTTGTGTTTCATTTCATAAAACAATTATTTTATATATTGTAGGAATAATGTATCAATGAAGTATAGGCTATAGCAGTGTTCTTCGCAAATAAATTAGGAATAAGTTTTTAATATTTCCAACCCTAAGCAAATTAAAGGTTAGTATTAAGGGTTACTATTTCAGAGTTTTTATAAATTTGTCTTTCAAAGACCTAAGTAAGTGTCCATAGTAGTTAAAAAATAAATTCCTCTTTTAAGCGGCTATCTAAAAATAATTAGTACAATAATATAGTAAAAAATTGGTTTTGTTTTTATTTTATTTCTTACTTTACTACCTATTGAAAAAGTTTAAAAAACTTGAGTTAGTTAAATTTCCAATAACATTCATTAAAATATGTGTGAAGTAAAATATTTTTTAATTGTCTCTTTTAATAACGAGAATTCCCATCAACAAAATACTATTAAGGGACTAGCTAAAATGTATGAAATCAGCAAAATTAATGGATTGAAAGAACGTAGGATACAAGCGAGAAATCAAAATAATAAGCAACGTGTGGCAATGTGTTTATATGACTATTTTATTTTGTCATCACTGCAAACCAACGTCAAAAAAATATGAAAAATATAAAATATAAGTGTTTATCTACATTAACCACCCCTTAATGGCCTTAACAAAAGTAGTTAAGAGGATGCTGCTCAGGCCATTTCTAAGGACTTAAGTATAGGTATTTTTTTCGAATAATCATAAATTAGAGTTTGAACTATAATGTATACTTAGAAATAGAATAAATTACAATTTTTTTCCCATAAAAACTGCTTTGCGCGGGACAAGTATGTGAGGCCAGTATTAACAATGAATTTATAAAATTTTCACAACGTATAGAGAAGAACTTTATCCACGGGGTAACGTTTTAATTTGTTTGATATCTATACTTAATATTTTTTTATAAGCGAATTAAAAAAAAAAAAATAATGAATATTTACGAATGAATAATTTTAATTGTGCTGAAGTTATCAAAAAAAAGTTTTTCAGCCGAGTCTGCAACCACAAAAGAGCTAGCACAAAGCTAGTGTATTAAAACGTCAAGTTTCTGGCTAAAATTGTAGTGTTTATTATCTGGCCAAAAGTAACTTAACATAGAGAATTAAACTATTTTGAATTTATTATTTAGTTCTAATTTGAACGTTGAACGTACAACATATCTCTTATCTCATATCAGATAACAGCGTAACGCTTTTTTTGGTGACACTTTTTTCGTTATGCTTTTTTCGGTTATTTGCCACAGCTAATTCCACCCCAACCCCATTCCCACCCCAACCTCATCTTCATCCCCATTTCTTTTTTCGTTGTAATTTTTTGGGTTATGTGCCAGAGCTAAGACATGAAAATGTCAAAAACTAAAAACGCTATCCCGTAGAAAAAGTTCTTTTCTATCCATTGTAAAAATTGTATACGGCTACTCTAAATACCGCCCTCAAAATTCTTGTCCCCCGCAAAACCATTTTTCGTGGATAAATTACGGGTATCGTCCGCTTAACACACTACGCCTTACGGTAATGTCCTTCGAAGATTTTTTTAGACCAGAGACTTATCTTATTCTAGGTATTTAAAGAAAAAAGCTAACCCCCGCCCTCCCCCACCATAGATATTGTGTTAGTTATTTTATAAAAAAATCTATACATCACAAATATATATTTTAAAAATATGTACTGTTCTTATTTATCTATTGATTTTAATAATATTATGGTGTTCAAATCCAATAAGTTGTATGTTTCAATAGTTGTATGAAACAAGTTTTCACAGTACTTTTACAAAATCAGAACATGTCTTATAACCATAAGTAATTTTTTTATCAAAATAATTTGAAGTAGTTATGTTTAATTGATACATTATTAGTCTTAAGAGTAATCATACTAGACACCAGATAAAGGCGATTATAAGGTAAATACTTGTATAGCTTAATAGTATCTTTATTTGTGTTGTCTATACGCGAAATAATATCCTAAGGGTACTTCATAAACATACAAGGTGTATTGAAAAGAAAAAAAGTTAAACCTAATTAAAAATGTGAAAATATGTAAGTACTCACATTGTTTGTATTTGTTATTAATGTCGTAGATAAGATAAATACAATCAATTGAAAATATACATTAAATACTTTAAAAAGAAAAAAGTAAAAGCAGTTAAGTTAGTATTGTTTTTTCCAAGTTCGCACATACTTTGCTATGTCTCCTCATTCGAAATTTGCTACCCTGGTTTTTTTCTTAAGCTTTTGTATGATATGTTGTGCACATTTTCAGCCACATCACATTGTCGAACACGTAAATCATTTGGATGTACCATGGACGGTAAAATCTATTCATAAACCTAACCTACACTAATAATGACACATAAACTGGTTAATGAAACAGTTTTGTAACTAAATACCATAGTATAATTTATCTAACTACTTTTTTTATTTATTCGTATGGTAATCTAACTACTAATAAGTACAAACAAATAAATCTATAAATATATGTGTATAGAAAACATTGAAACTATAATGGAAATGTCCTCAAAGCATATGAAAGCTGTACACCCATGTTAATTTTAGTATAACTGTATTGACGCATTTCTAGGCTGACATCCACGATTTTGATTGGACCAGTTTAGACAAATTTGTTGGAACACGAGGTCATCTACAACAATTGGATAGGAAATCGGCATTTTCAGAATTATGTAAAAAAGAGGAATACAAAAATGGAGATGAAGGCAGAAATAATGAATACGAAGATTTTGATGCAAGAAATCATTGGTTTGAATGTGAATCCATTTCTCATATATGGAACCAAGGAAATTGCGCCGCGGATTGGGTACAGTCATGTTTTTTATTGTAAAGTTATATTTTTTTCGAGAACTTGATTAAGCATACACATAAAAGACATGTATTTAAAAATATATATTATGTGGACTAATATGCCATCGCAACGAATATGTTTATTATAATATTAACATGCCGCCAAAAGTCATAGCCCCTCGATGGGATTTATATTTTTGTTTGTAAAAAGTGATTTCCGCTGTATTTCTTATTTCATATACACAGGCCATAGCGGTAACTTCAGCTATTAACGATCGGATTTGCATCGCGTCTAAAACGAAAATAAAAGCTCTTTACTCGCCACAAAAGCTACTGTCATGTTGTCATAATTGCGGGGATGGATGTAAAGGAGGCTACTCCTATAGTGCATGGCAATACTGGACAAAACGAGGAATTGTGACGGGTGGCGAATTTGGAAGCTCGGAAGTAAGAAATATACAATATTTTATAATATCTAATGTGGAACCGTTGTACGATTACTTCAATAAATTTTAATTTTTTGTAATCAAGACGCCAATAAAGTGATTTATAGATATAACAACTATTTGAAAAAAACATTTATAGACATGTTAGTTAGTTTAGCTATGCATGCCGAAAATAAACTAATTTCAATAACTATAGACATTATATGAATTTTATAGCTTAACATAAATAAGTACATAAAATAACACTTGTGAAAAAAATACAACAAAAACAATAATTTAAATAAAAAACTAAATTTATTGACCGATATTTGATTGCAGGGCTGTCAACCATGGAAAATAGAGCCTTGTGATCATAATCAAACTAATCAAACTTCTATTTGTGGCAAGTTTTTATCTGAGACTCCTCAATGTGATTTGCATTGCTCTAATAAAAACTACACAATACCATTCAATCAGGATATTGTTAAAGGTACCTTTATTCAAATATTTAAGTAAACACTTAATTAAATACGTGGAACCCATACCAAAATTAGATACCTATACAAATCTTGAATTCGCGACTTTTGATTAAGTTAACAATTATGTAGTTATATACAATGTTTACATTTTTACTTATATAGTGACATGACTATACATTTTGAACGTCTGAACCTTTTTTTTTTTTTTTTAAGTGCCTAAGGGCATTTTTATTTAAACGATTAAAAATCTTTATGAATATAAATCAAAAGAATATTAATACATACATATGAGTAAAATATATCTATACATATACAAAACATGTGTGGGGTTCTACTTCCAGTGAAGTAGTCCCATTCTTAATCTAATAATTAGACTGAATGGCTTCAGTCGTTTGAGTCGTCTGATGTCTTGCGATTTGTCGAGGAGTTGTATGGCAGCTATATTTGAGTGAAGCTCCAGTCTTTTTGCGTGTTTGCGGGCAAACCGGGTAATTTCATCCTGCACGGATGTTATTTTTAGATCGCGGTGGATGATGTCGTTCTTATCATACCGATATGCTGCAGCAATGGTACGAAGAGCGATGTTCTGGCAACGTTGGATGAGTTCGATATTAGACTTACTGGCGCAACCCCACAGTTGAATACCATAGATCCAAATCGGTTAAACGATCGATACATACAGGAGACGTTTGCTGGTTAGGTCTAGCTCGGAGTGTCGCCCAACTAGCCAATACAGTTTGCGCATTTTTTCTTTGATTTGCAACTTTTTCTGGCGTACATGATGTTTCCAGTTAAGTCGCGAGTCAAGGTGCATTCCCAGATATTTTGCTGATTAATTTTGTGGGATTATCTGTTGATTTAGCGTGACTGGGATTTATGCGGTCTTACGTAGCGTGTAGTTGACGTGCACCGACTTGTCACTATTGATTTTTATTTTCCAACGCTTTGTCCAGTCGTAAACGTTGTTGTTTGTCACTTGTAGGATCTCAGTCGCAGCTTGTTAGTCCTTATTGGTTGACAGTATTGCCGTGTCATCGGCAAACATAGCTATCGTTGTGTCGTCATTAGTTGGAATATCAGCTGTATAGAGTAGGTACAAAATAGGTCCGAGAACACTACCTTGAGGTACTCCAGCTGATATACTCTTCCAGTTAGTGGTCGCTTCTTCGTATCTAACACGAAAATGTCTTTCAGTTAGATATGATTTGAGAAGTGCACACCACGTATGTGGGAGCTGCTCTTGCAGTTTTAGTAATAAACCTTTGTGCCAAACTTCATCAAAAGCTTGGGCCACATCAAGGAATACACCACAGCAGTAATTTTTCTCTTCCAACGCCTTACTGATCACGTTCGTTACGCGATGAACTTGGTCGATGGTCGAGTGTTTATGGCGGAATCCAAACTGGTGATCTGGTATGAGTTGTTTTGCTTCAATAAGTGGGCTAAGACGCTTAAGAAGAAGTTTTTCGAATAGTTTTGACATGCATGGTAGAAGCGATATCGGCCGATAAGAGGTGGCTTGTTCGGGCGGTTTCCCAGGTTTGAGCAACATAATTACCTCCGCTCTTTTCCATTGCTCGGGAACAAATTTCGTTCGCAAGATGGCGTTGAAGATGTGAGTAAGGTGGATGATTGCCTTCTCAGGTAGCTCTTTAAGGATGCGTGGGCTGATCTCATCGTATCCAGGTGCCTTTTTCGTGTTGATGTTGGTATCGATTTCATAGGCTACTTTAAGTGGTGTAAAGTGCCGTATGATTTCTCTTGTAGAAATGAGTGGCCGACATTGAATGCTGTCAAGTTCAGAAATTATGTCGTTTGGCTGGAATACACGTTCGAGATGATGTCCGTATACTTCAGCTTTATCTTGTTCACTGCGCGCCCAAGTGCCATCTTCCTTTCGGATGGGTGATATGAACGCGAGGTCTTTTTAATCGTCTTGTGGCTTTCCATAACGAGTAATCGGAATCGGCTGTTGCAGATAAACCACACAAATACGATTTAAATGTTTCATTTTTCACTTCTTTGATTTTATCATGTAGTATTTTGCTGACTCGGTTCCATTCGGTTTTATCGAATGGGTGTCGAGTTCTGTGCCAAATTCGGCTTGCTCGCCGCTTTTGTTGAACAAGCTCTCTGATTTCTTTCGGGTAGTTGAACTCGCGGTCGTTGCCTTTTTGAGCTTCAGGTGTTGCCGTTTTTGCCGCTTCAACAATGTCATTAGTCAGTTTATGTACTGCCATTTCAATGTCTGTTGACGATTTTAACCGCACAGAAAGAGTGATAGCTTCTTCCAGAGTATTTTTAAACAGGTCCCAGTCTGTGTATTTGTTTGTTAGAAAAATTTTTCGTTTTTTCATAATGACATTTGAGCTTAACGATAATAACACAGGGATGTGGTCGGACGTTAGCTCTGTTAGTCCTTCAGCTTCAACATAATTAGAGGAGATGCCTTTAGTTACGAAGAAGTCAAGCAGGTCGGGGATTTTCTTAGAATCGGTTGGCCAGTAGGTTGGCTCTCTAGTAGAAATTATTTCAGCGTTTATAGTGTTAGCTACTTTTAGTAGAGCACGCCCTTTCGGGGTGATCAGTCTTGATCCCCAGTGAGAGTGCTTGGCATTGTAGTCACCACCAGCAATGAATCGGTCTCCTAGCGTTTGGAAAAATGCAGTAAATTTAATTTCATCTGCACCTCCTTGCGGTGGGCAATAAATAGCCGTAACCGTGAGGTTATTATTCCCATCTTTAACACGACCACTTGTAGCTTGTATGTACAGTTCTGAGTATTTTTCAAGCTCGAAATGCTTTATGGTATCTCTTATGATTACAGCTGTACCTCCACGTGCTCTACCACTCGGGTGTAAAGTTGTATAGATTTTATAGTTTTTTATTTTTAGAACAGTCCATGATGTGAAGTGTATTTCAGATACAAGAGCAATGTCAATATTTTCGCTGTTTAAGAAGTTTTCAAGTTCTTGTTTACGTTGTACTAACCCGTTGGCGTTCCACGCTATGATCCGTAGTGTACAGTTCATTTCTTTTTCTTTTGCGCGTTGTTCTTAGCTTTGGACTGGTTATTATTTTCTAACCTATCCAATCTAGAAGTAACATTGTTTAGCGTTTCTGTAACTGAACCTTTTCTGAAAATATTTTGGTTGCGCTACTCAAAGTCAATATTGTATTAACCATTAATAAAAAGTAATTTTTAATATATCCTCAATCTATCGTTCTTAAAAGTAAGCGAATACTACATTTATCATACAATTCTATTGCTGTAGGCTTTAATCTTGAATAGTAGAAAGTTGAAGCTGTAATGTAGTTTATATCACCTAGATTTACATTTTTTCTAGTTATGAAAACATTAACGTTTGGTTTTCGTTTATTACAGGCAAACGTGTCAGAAAATCATGTTCATGTCAAGTGAGACGTGAAATTAGAAGGCGAGGCCCTGTGACAGCTACGATGCGAGTATATGAAGATTTTCTAACATACAAAAAAGGTAAAGTCGATAATTATTTTTAAAACTATGACAAAAATATGATACATTATTAAAACTTGAATGGGGTATTATATTTACACTATTTACACACCCTGCGGTTACTCCCATTTGGATATCTTGACTGGTTCTCAGTTTACGGGAGAACGTGGTACGAACAACATCGAACCAGAGCCCTGAAGATGGAACATGCAAGTGTTTCGAAACGTTGGCGAACCAGTCAAGATGGGAGTAACCGCAAGGCGCGTAAATAGTGTAAATATGAACATATATTAAACACCAAGAATAAAGATGACTTAAACTTTTTATTATTTTTTAAACTGTGACAATATGATAAATATTAAAAAACGACTATATTTTTTTATGTCAAACCACTCAATTGTAAATTTAAATAGTTATTTGTATTAAACATTTTTTCGTAGTTATAATGTTTATTATGATTATACAGTAATATGTATTATAATATTTTATTTAAAAAAAAAATGTTTTTTTAATTTATTAAAAAATATATATGTTGTATGTTGAATAGGAATTTATCAGCATGTTACTGGAAAGTACGTAGGATTGTTAACAGTGAAAATAATCGGTTGGGGCATCTATAGAGGTGTTCCATACTGGCTGGCAGCCAACTCTTGGGGAACGTCTTGGGGAGAAAACGGATTTTTTAAAATTATACGAAATGAAAACGAATGTTTAATTGAAGACTATTTGACATTCGGAAAAGTAATATTATGATTTCACACAGGCGGAACATTTTAATCAAATATAATCACAAACCTACTGTATTAAGTATAAATAATAAAATGTATTGTTATCATGATGATCATGCTTTGTAATATTAGTAGGTATATTAAAAACTAATAAATTTATTACTAAACAAAATTGTATTGATTTTTTGATTAAAATCTGAGGAATGTAAGAATACAGTAAGATTTTTTGTAAATCTTAAAATATAATTTACTGTTTAATTACCCCTCCCTCCCAATTGTTTTTTTGGATAACTCGAGGAATACTTATACACAAATAACGGGACTTAATACACATTTCTGTACAAACGGTTGACGTAATAAAAAGTTCAAATTTCTAAATGGGGGGGGGGGTGGCAGTGAAATAGACCCACCATTCTGCTTTCACTATTCTTGCTTTCTTGAACTTATGTTTCTGAATTTAACATTGAGTATTTTATCGAAAATATAGCTAAGTGAATCCGTGGATAGATAGTTTGCATCAAACCGTTTAAAACACTGATTTATTAATCACTGTCAAATTATTATTTTTTTATTTGAATATACACTTCGTATAACGCTAAAGTTGGGTGTGTCTGCAACTTATATGTGTATGTTTATTGTACAAATCCGTACTTAATAAACCTGTTATCTATTCCACTTGATGTTAATTGATCTTAAAACCAATATTTCATAAACATAATGTAGTTTCTTTAGAAACTTAACCCGCAAAGAGCAGTTTAGTAATGATGTCATGATGCCTCGCACCATAAGTATTTTGGTAATATTTTTATTAAGCAGTTGCTGCTTAACGACGGCATCTGTTTACGGAATCGTCGGTAATGAAACCGAACAATTGAGCAGAAGGGTAAGAAATAATCAACATATCATTTTTAGAGAAATTATATTGTACACCAGTATGATTTTTAGTATACTATTATTAATTTATGAAATTTTTTTTAGGCTAAAACCAATCAAACGATAAAAAACAGCAACGTATTGAATACAGGATTTTGGGATGCTCTCGGGTTACCAAAAAGTTTTGACGCTAGGGAGAAATGGCATTTTTGTCCATCCATTGGGTATATACACGACCAAGGTAATTGCAAGTCAAGCTATGCCATTTCCGTTGCTTCCGCTGTCGAGGACCGCATTTGTATCGGCACAAACGGCCAGTCAAAACCTAAGATTTCCGCTCAGCAAATACTGTCATGTTGTTATTTATGCGGTAACGGCTGCTACGGTGGTGTCCACTTTGAGTCATGGTACTTTTACGCGCGGCACGGATTCGTTTCTGGTGGCGATTATGGATCAAGCGAGGTATTAATCATACATCAACCGTTTAAATAGCAACAATTTTGAAAACGATTAAAATTTTGCTTCGTTCGATTCTTCGCAGGGCTGTCAGCCGTACACAATTGAACCGTGTCAACACTATCCGAACGCCACTGAAAACCCGTGCTCGGCAAAACCGTTTTACACGCCACAGTGTAAAATCAGTTGCGACAATCAAAATTACGGGACAAAGTATAGAATGGACAACCATAAAGGTATAATTTTAAAACGATATATAGTATACTAAAATGTCTACCACGAAATTTTATTAAAGAAAATTACCGATTTTATGCATTCCTCGAAAACATGTACCCCACGAGGATTTTACCTGCAAAAATTAAATCCTGGTGGGACACCCTATATAATCATAACTTATTATACTTTGGCAGGAAAATTCTACGCGGTTAAAGGCTACAAAGCCATGAAGGAAATTTATGAAAACGGACCGATAACTGCGCAGTTTTACATGTACGAAGATTTTCTCAGTTACAAATCAGGTACGTCATAGATAGACTTTTTATGCCGAAATCGGAACACAAGTTGAATTAATTTCTTACACTTGAAGGTGTATACTCGTTCGATGGATCCACTTCGCCGCGTTATATAACTCGTCAAGCTGTAAAAATAATAGGATGGGGAGAAGAGAATGGGACACCATACTGGTTGGCGGCTAACTCGTTTAACACCAACTGGGGAGAAAATGGGTTTTTCAAAATAGTAAGAGGCGCAAACGAAAACTACATCGAAGAAAATATGTACGCTGGAACGCCACTATAACGTTGTGTAATCAAATTTATGATAATACATATTTTATGAAGTGACTAATTGCAAAATATATTCATTGTACCAGCTAATTTTCTTTATTATTCTATTATAAAGTCGGAATTTCATGTAACATGCGTAGGTATTGAACAATTTTTTCAGTTGACAGTTTTTTTGTTCAAATCATTTTGTTATGATAAAAATAAATACATTTAAAAACGACTTAGCTTTCTCCTCTAGTTATTGATTTCAAAAATAAGTTTCTTAATATACATTTTGATTCAATTTAATTTTCGAATTCCTTTTATCTTTTCTAAATCGTGGGTTTTAATTGTGCTAATAGTATTAAGTCCTATGTATAGTTAACGAAATTTTCACTTACGTGTATGAGCTATTATTAACAAGCACGAACGAATTTCAATCTATATATAGACCTCTGTAGATAAAAGAAGCTTATACAAGAAACGTTCTGTAAAAATGATTTACTAGTTTTTATTTTCGTGATTTTTTTAATATCGTTAATAATTGGTTAATAAATACATTAAGTACCAAATTAACAACACAGTTAAAATGTACTGTATTATTTATTTACCTTGAAATATAATAATACTAACATACAAAACGTTGTATATATTTACAAAACTCTGCATTTTGTTATTTTGTATTTTATTGTCCATGAGCAAATAGCAATAGTGTACAAGGTTAACACAAAAACATAGATAAGATACATCATACTTCTGATTTATATTTTTTATTTAACTCAAGTAGAAGTATGTCACCATGAATATTGAGATTGACAGCATGACAATATAATGAAGTTTGTTTATACACTAGGTTGGCGACCGAATTTAAAAAAAAAAACACTATTATTAAAAATACGAGTAGTATTATTTCTTCTGACCAAGACGCTACATTCGTCATTTATTACCAAATGGATGTCTTTTAGTATACTCAAAACAACACTATTACGGGATTTCATGAAAGCATGGCTAAATTACTCGAACGCATTAAGCCGACCATTATTTTGTGTACTCTATTTGGATATGGATTGCCTTATGCAAATACGAAAGAAGCATCGTTACAGTATTGGCTGTTATTAATGGCGAACATCGCATTTACTTCTTTTACGGTCTTAAGTATTTTTTTTAGAACTCATGCCGCGAAATTGGAAACCACGGTTGTTATAAATTTGGTCAATGTTTCGGTAAGAGTTTTAACTCCACTAATTTCAATGATTTTAATGTGTCTCAATAGAAAAATCATATACAGTTCTATACAATCGTTAAATAACCTTATTCCATCCATTGAACGCACTTCGTTATCACCATATTCGTGGTTTTTTTATAGTTGGATATTATTGAGTGTTTCGGTAGATTATGTAAATTTGTTCGCAGTCGTAATATCTACAAATTTTAATTACACCATGGTGGACTTCTACATAACCTTTTTTCAAAATATCTGGCATGCTATACCCATAGCTCAGTACGCGGTAATGATTTCGTTGATCCATCACGGTATACAGAAACTAAATGATAATATTACCACGATTAATGAATGGAAATTAAGTCGAACGAGATGGAAGGAGCTAAAGAACTCGGCTGAATACCTTACCAATTCCGTATTTGGTTTAGCTATATTATTATTTATATGGTCATCCTTGGGCGACGTTTTATTTTTCTGTATGGTTAGTTACCATTCATTTCAAGCCAATAACAAATATCGTTCTTATACCTTTGTTCTCACGTCTATGTGTCGATCAGGATTCGTCGTTCTACTATTTCAAATCTGCAACAATTGCAAAACAGAGGTAGGTAATAAGTTATTACTTTACAATTTTACATTGTAATTGAAGTTTAATCATATCCTGCAAATATTATTCTGGGCCTTCCGCATTGAATAAGCAGTGTATTTTCTATATTAATGACCAATTTATAAGTCATTACTTACAATTTCTGATATGTTTTTTTATAGTTAGTATGTTATGTTGCGACTATGAGACGAACATCACTTTACACCTTTTGTTCGCTTATTTAATGTATATGTTTTATGATTTGAAGTATTGTTACTTTATCAATAAACCATATCATGATGGCCGCGTTAGGCCTTTAAGTCCTGTTAAGCTACATGACAAAAGTGTAGTCAGTATAATATACCGTATTAATACTCGTATACAATTATTTGTTATAATTAGTTCTTTATTTTGCTTAAAAATTAAGTTTTTAAAATTGTGTTTTTAGTTTTTACAAATAATATAAAATGTTTATGAGATAATGTAACTGTTAGTATAAACTGTGAAGATTTCTAAATTACAATAACTATTAATTTTAATTAAATAAGATGCAATATCACATTTTAATTGCTTGTAAAATCCGTGTATCAGGATATTTACTTTTCTAAACAATTATAACGTGTGTGATCATTTTGTGTTAATTTTGTATAATTTAAATTTTACGCTAATACTGTAATTATTATTAACACTTGCATTTGAATATACCTGTACTATAGTGTACATTATTCTTTATTCGTACATAAATTATGTTTACAGGTAATGAAAACACTTGCGGTTCTTAATGATATTAAGACAAATTCTGCATCGGATTTAAAAACAGTAGGCTATTCAAATTAATTAATTTTATGGATAATGTTAAATTATTTACAATGAATAAAATCAATCATTAAATACCAAAACTGTCATATGAGGCAGACGTATGAAATTAAAAAAAAACAAAAAGTGCTCTCCGACCTGATCTAAATCAAGTATACTGTTTAACCTTGAAACTTAAGAGAATAAGTTTTCCAAATTGTCTAAATTCTATTTTGTATTTACCCATTTGTTTCCACAATAGGTAATTTTAATTCTGTTAGTTTCAACTCACGGTGTAATATGAAATGACTCTATCCATTGTAAATTATTTAACTAAATTCAGAATAGTATCATTATTAATAAACATCATTCGTTTAGGTTCAGTATGTTTCGCTGTATATGTTACATAACGGTTTTAAACTTACACCCTATCATATTATAGAATTGACAAACAAACAATTATTAACTGTAAGTAAGACCGATTTTATTAATATTTATATTTTAAATGATAATTTTATTTTTTAATATTTAAGATATACACGGTGTTGGCAGTTTTTTTAGTGTTTCAACTTCAAATGAATCTATTGGATATCAGAGAAATATATTTTTTTAGTTTTTAAAAGATTTGATATCAAAATAACAATTTGATAGTTAAAGATACGAAGAGCAGATTCGAACTGAGGAAGTTTTACAATAATAATAATAATGTGTTTTGATTTTAAGCTAAATCGTTGTACAACTTTAATATAGTACTGTATTAATAAATTGTATAACTTAAAATTTTGATTTAAAAACACTTTTTAAATTATTTCTAATTGAGAAATAAATGTTTGTTTTTATTTAACAGTTAAATATCTTAACTAAAAATGAGTATCTACTATCTATAGTATAGCTAGATCCTAATAGACAATAGTATCAACATTACAAATGTATTATGCAAGCTAAAAATTACAAACATATATTTCTATAAAAGAAAATGACAACGTATAAAATGAATTAACAATTACCTAACATAGGTTTTATACGCAATTGTCTAAGTACGGATAGATACATTTAACGTAAGACACTCATTTTCTTGGAAAATAATTAGCTTTACCAACGTCTGGGAACTCTGAGCCTTTCTTCATACTGGGTAAGGGTTTTCGCTCTGATGCTACCTGTAGACTATATCCTTATATATATATATATTATATAAAAATCTCGAGTCACGATGTTTGCTAGCGATAAACTCCGAAACTACTCACTGATATTGATGACATTTTTTACACTTTATGTAATTTGGTCCAACTTATGAGATAGGATAGGATAGATAGGAAAACTTGGAAAAGGTGCCCGACAAGATATGGTTTCACATTTTATAGTTGCCCATGTTTCAATTGTATTTCTTAACCCGTGCGAAGTCGGTTACTTATTTATTTAGTTATATATATATATATATATACTTAACCACTACCATATTACTTGCCACTTAACACAAGATAACCGAATATTAATAGCTAACAAATGTAAAAAGCACTTAAACAAATCAAACATCGTGTATTGTATCACGTTCAAATGGTATCTGGTTTAGTCTGTCACGCAAAATTGGAACTATGAATATAACGTGGACGCTGCTTGTTTGCAGCTTTTCAGTAGCTTGCAATGCTATATTAAAATCGCCACACAAACTGAATAACATAATAGAGCAAGTTAACCGAGCGGGTGCATCATGGACAGTAAGTTCTTAAGTTTTTTAATTTATTGTTTTGTTTAAAGTGGGTGGTATTTTATGTACTACTTAGTTTTGCATTATTAAGGGGAACGGAAAGCGTACATTTTTTTACAAATATAGACTAAAACGCGGAGTCACTTTTTGAAGTGTCTACCGAACCGGTTTTAATAATTTTTTTTTTTGTTTTATAGTTTAATATCTTCTCTATGGGGGCTAAAAGGGGCAGATATTTTATTTTTGTTTTCAAAAAATATTTATAAGCATTATAACATTATCAACATCATAAGCATTATAATTACTTTTTTAATCACTAAATCAAAAATCGCCCTTTTAACCCCCATAAAAATAAATAAATTAAAAAAAAACTTTTTTAAAAACATGCTTTTCTTAGCTCGCTACTAAAAATAGTAAAAAGTAAAAAAAAATTTATAAAAAGAAAAATTTACCAATCAATTGTAGCATATTTTATTTAAAATGTCAATTACTTTGAAAACAACCGAAAATTAACTACAATTTTAAATAATGTTAAACATCTTTAATTTTTTACTAAAAAAAAAAGCGTGGGCCCTATTCAACAAAGTCCCTAATAAATTTATCAGATAATGTTTTATATTGTAATTTAAATTTAGTTTAATATTTGTGTGTGACACATACATTTCATAATAACTCAATGAATTTGGACTTTGTTGCCCACGCTTTTCTTTTTAGACAAAAATTAAAGATGTTTAACATTATTTAAAATTATAGTTAATTTTCGGTTGTTTTCAAAGTAATTGACATTTTTAATAAAATATGCTACTAATGATTGGTAAATTGTTCTTGTTATAAAATTATTTTTTACTTTTTAGTTCACTTTTTACTATTTTTAGTAGCGAGCTAAAGAAAGGCATGTAGTTAAAGCTTCGCATAAAATTTTTTTTTAAAATCTGTTCAATAGATTAGCCAGAAAATGACCTCTACGAAAGTCACTTTTTATCAAATTTTCGTCATTACTCGGAGAAAAATAATTTTAAAAGTATTATAATTAGAAAATTGTAATATGTGTTCGCCTTGAAATTAGTAGACTTATGAAAAATGGCTATTAGTTAAATTATTGTCAAATATTGCCTATCCTTTGCCCCTTAATAAATAGCACTTTCCGTTCCACTTAACAGAAATCAACTTAAATGCCTCTTTTCGTTTGCCCAATTCACATTGGGGGCCTGTCCTATTTTTGGTCTTCCAGGGTCTTACAGCTAACCTATAAAACAATATTTTTATAATGCAAATGTAAATCCCACGTTTTCTTTAGTTCCAAATAACATATTTCACCTGTATTTTATTTTTGAATGGTACTTGATAATAATGTTTATCTATACTTTAATTTTTAACTATTTTTTTTAAACACGATATAACTATACTTAATTAATTCAAATATAACTTAATGACTTAACGATATTTACAAAAATGTTCATAAATCTGCTAAACCGTAATCTGGGTTTGCGCATGTTATACATATTTATTTAATTAATAATTAATGACGGACAGCAAGTAACAACTTCATTCATTCGGAACAACATGGCTCAGCTTAGTTTTTGAATGATTTCAGTTAGGTTAGGTTAGGCAAATTAAATGCAAGAAATCTACAAAAATAAAGCCACTCATGGTTTAATCTAATACAATTATTAATTAAACGTTTCAATAGGTAATTAAATAGTTTAAAGTAGCGAATAGCGATATTACTTACCGCCCTGCCTACTTATAAGATATACAGTAAAGTAGTAGAAATATTTCGCAAGACGCTAAATATTACTTCAAATGTACATTTAAATACTAGTAATAATCTCTTGGTTATTATTTGATAATTTTTATTAAGCGTTTACAAACGACAACAATATTATAGGATTCACTATACAAGTATAAAATTGTTCAGATATTTTTTTTTTCATATGTTTAAACTTTAAATAGCGCTTACCTACTTTCTAGTTAACCAGGGTGTTAGCTTTAACAGTTAAATATTGATAAAATTAAAATAATATATATCAAATGGTTCTCGTATCTTTTACGTCCTATAACCGATATAACATTATATAGCTTTCGCAATACAGCTTGTTTTTAACATGCTATTATACTTTTAATAATATTCAAAATATTTATAGCTTTCAGTGAAACACATAATATAAGCATATCCATATAACGTGTTCACATTTCAGGCTGGCGTCAACCGTTTTAATACAGATGACCATATACACCTAGTAGGTACTGTGCACGGAGGAGCTAGTTCCCATGTACAAATAGACCACAATGAATACTTCCGAGGCGCAGACTGTGAAGACAACAACGATCAAGATGACCAATCGAACACTGAAGAATTTTTCGACGCTCGAGACGAATGGTTTCACTGCCCATCGTTATGGCACGTTTGGAACCAAGGGAACTGCGCCGCCGATTGGGTGGGTACAATTTATGTACTTAATCTAGATACTTGGGTCTATTTTTAAATGATATCTAAAGAGACACAGACGCTAGTTGAATCTATACAGCTCCAAGCAGTGTGTGAAAACGAACTTTATACCTACCACACTACCAAGAAAAAACTGAATATAAAAAACAAACAAAAAGTATTTAAACAACAATTTCGGTTAAAAATCCGGTTTTCCAATAACACAGACGACAATTTTAACTCGGCGGATTCTAGCAGAGATGAGAAGTAGTTTACTCGCAATTGTCATTCAACGCTGTTGCACAATCGGGTTGCTAACAAAATAAGTTGACCTAATAATTTCGCTACTAGATCTATTAACTAAACTAAGAAAAACCATTTAAATTTTAATGTAACAATTAACAAACTAGTCAATACTGTAAAAAGATACATTATAACTCGCTGCGTAAAATTTATTAAAAACGAGATGGACTGTTGGGCAGATGAACTCAATTTAATAAAATGTTATTGAATGTGTTGAATTAAGTAGAATATTGCGCTTAATTTGCCCATTAAGCATGTTAAAATACCTATTTATGTATTATTCTGCATTTGCTTTACAGGCGATATCGGTGGTTTCAGCAATTACTGATCAGATATGCATAGCTTCCAAAGGAAAAATAACATCTCTTTATTCGCCCCAAAAAATAGTGTCTTGTTGCGAAGATTGTGGCAACGGTTGCCTAGGAGGATACGTAAAAGAGGCATGGCAATACTGGCTCAAGAGAGGAGTGGTCACCGGAGGTGATTATCAGAGTAATGAGGTAAATCACACAATATTACTTTTACGGTTTTCCCAACATCCGAGCACAATAGTATCGTTCATTCGGCAGAAAATTAATGGAATACCAATGAAATACATATTTTGTACCAAATATACATAATTTCTTCTTCCTAACTACTCGGTATTTGATTACATATTATTACATAATATGATTTTTTATTATGCCAAAAGGGATGTCAACCGTGGTTAACACCGCCATGCAATTCTACGAGTACGGGTTCGGGCACTGTACTCGGAGCTTATCCCAATTGCGCCAACGAGAAACCGACCACTGCCACGTGTGATTTGACCTGTTATAATAAAAACTACAACAAAACGTACGTAGAAGACATAGTTAAAGGTGAGAAATGCGACAATAAGATCTGTGAACGTAATTATTAGTTTTGTATTAAAAAAAAATCACCTAAGTAGTTAGCATAAAACATAAACTTGAATGTTTACAGCAAAAAAAATTGGCAACCTCCCGGGGTGCGGAGCTAGGAGTTTCTTGCGGAAACACGGACCTTATGTGAGCACCATGCGAGTGTACGAAGACTTTTTGACTTACAAAACTGGTAAGCAGTGCGTATCACAATTACGATAAGTATTATGTTGAAGTAATGTTTAAGTATTTTTTTCCAGGTGTATACAAACACGTTACCGGTAAATATCTCGGATTACTATCGGTAAAAATTATCGGATGGGGTTTATGGGGAGGACAGGCGTATTGGTTGGGAGTCAACTCGTGGGGTACATCGTGGGGCGAGGATGGTTTTTTCAAAATCAAACGGTACAGTAACGAATGCTGGATCGAAAACTTTAGATACTACGGTATTCCAAATGTATAATTAAAAAGAAGTACGACGCGCGTAACCAATAATATAATCATTTTAACTTAAAACATTATTTACAGTTAAGAATATATATGTAAATGTATTATATGATATTACATGATAACAACTTATTCTAATTAAATTCAATAAAATTCGTTTGTACACATTGGTTTATTTACAAAGAAATTAGCAACAAACACGGTCACTTGTTTTTTAATTGACTGCATATCCACTCTAATCCTTGATATAATCTGAAATAATTAAATATATTTTTAACTTTCACTATGAAGTTCGGACATGTTTTTTATGTCTATTAAGTCGACGAAGATAAATACTTACCCTTCTCCTGTCAACGCACAACACGCTTGAATATGCCATTGTTGTTTTTTTATAGACGTTAAATTTAAGTGTTTGCTGATATCAGCGGCGCTCATTGCACCTTTCATGTCTTGTTTGTTGGCATAAACTAAAACAGCGGCCGAAGACAGTTCATCGTTATTTAACACCTTGTACAATTCTTCGCGACTTAAGTCTAGACGGTTTCGGTCCGTGGAGTCTATGACTACAATGACAAACTGAAACATAAAACAATGGTAAATAGTAATTACGTTATGTAAATTGATCCAGATCCAATAAAGAAACACAAAAATATACTTTGGTGTTTAAAAAACATCACGAACAAAATTTGTTAAACATTTCTGAGATATTCTAAAAAAACTAGATTCCTAAAAACAATTATGAGTGTGAGAAAATAAAAATTGAAAGTTTAGCATTCATCGATATAATAAACAGAAATATGAAATAACTTTCTAAACAAATTTGTTTTGGTAAATAAGCTCGATTCGTTTCATAACGTGAGATTTTAAAACCAGCCTATCCCGATTACAAAAAAAATCTCAAGGGTATGTTTAATTAATTTAATTTATTGTCACCTACGATGATATTAGAATACAAAAATAAATAAGAGCCGTTTGTCACATAAATGGCGTAGTAAAATAGACATAATATTCTACTATCATTCCGGGATAAAAGATTGTTTGGACTTTAAAATCCTCGAGGACGATTTTTTTGAGAAAATAAACTAGAAATGACTCTTTTTTTTCATTGCAAAATGTTCGTTGCCTTTATAACATACCTTGTGTTTTGTGTACACTATATTATGGAATAAAATTATGGAAGCCCACGGTTACTACTTAATAAAGAAAATAATTTCGTAATACAAGAATATTAAATAATATGTTGTCTTGATTTTTGACTACATATATTTAATTTAATAATACGGTTAATTCTTATCTCTCTGTTAAAAGACAATTATAGTAACTTTTTATTATCATTAGCTATAGTTTACAAACTGGACGTGCAAAATTGCGTTTTACACTTCCCACTAGATAATAAATACATATCACGATAGTTTTTACAGCACACAACATTTCGAAAACTAGAAAAGAATTAATAGATTGTGACTATAAAAAATATAAATTACAAAAAGGTACTACAATAATTGTGCATGCTAGATGATCTTAGTGTGTAGGTATAACACATGAATAGACAACTGGTAATTGACATCCTATTAGTAACCTTCCTTTTTGTCTCTCTACTAATTATTATTTCGAGGGAGATTACATAACACTCACATGAAATAGCTTAGTTTGAACAATGATGGTGTAATGATAAAAACATATTATAACGACAGACTTTATCGGATTAATTTTTTTATTCAACAGTCGAAATGACACGATTTATAATCCATCACTATTATATTATGCATTGTATACATTCTGGTTCAGGTTAAATAAAAATATGCTTTATCAACGTGTAAATACGTGCAATGTACGTCATATAAAACCGTATAAATAATTATACAGTTGTATACCGAGTTTATATCTCGTCATCACGAATTAAGAATGCCTTGTAGTAACAAGGTCAATCTATACGAATAGTTACAATTAAAAAGTCAACGACAAATAGACCATATTCTTAATGAATATAAATTATTGGTACAAAATTTTGCTTTTAACGTTATCTCGATCAGTTATTTTCTATATACCAAATTCCTATTTTAAATTACAAATTTTATAAAAACTGCATAAGTATAAAACTATATCATAACTGATAAAAATCAGTCACCAGTCAATACAGAGTGAAAAATATAATAAGAAAATGTTAAAAGCATTTATTTCAAAGAAAGTGGAGATTGCTGACTTTGCCACGCAACGCCCCAATTGTAAGCTACGTCTAAAAGTCATTGTTATAAATTATGATAATGCAACAATTATGCTACAAAGTATATCAAGAAGTATTTTAATAATTTAACAATACAATAAAAACGAATAACTTTTTAAACGAATACATTTTTTAAAACATCAGTATGTTTTAAAAAATTTTAAAAAATTTTAAATGTCAAAGATGCTCTGAACTTTTTTCAAAAACTAAAATTGCGCTCATAAGTGATTTTTATTTTTAACATCACTAATTAATCACTGGCACTCACTTAAATGATTTTAAATCGAAATATATAGATATTTAAAACAGTTTTGTATTAAATTTGTTTGCTAACAAAGTCATTGTTTATTATTCAAAAAGCCGGAAGAATGATAAATTAAAACTCTAGTTCCATCCTTCAAACATTTTTTTTTATAAACTAGAAGGTTAACTGGTAAAATAACTATTTAAACAAGTTGGATTTTCAAAGGTCACAAGCAAAATATTTCCAGTCTTACAATAAAAGAACAACTCAGTTTTCTGTAGTATAAATATCTCTGAGCATAAACAAATAAGTAAACAGGTATAACTTACAAATATAATTTGTTGAAAATAATATGTAAATATTATGTACTAAGTAATGACTTTATTTGTGTTCTATCTCTAATTTGTACTTATAAATTATAGTTACTATATTTAAATTCAAATAGTATATACTATGTCAACTGTGTCTGTGGCCAGGTACTCAAAAATCAGTATTATTATCCAAATTTTCAAAAATTCTTATCTCGTCTTGGTTTGAGGAAAAAAAATTGTAAAAAATCAACCTTTTTATGACAGCTAACTAAGTGTATACAACATTTTAGAAAAATCCAAGATTAAATTGGATACTAGGGAGATTCAGAACCCCCTCCTCTAGACTATTGTTTATTTGTGCTACAGGGTTTTATATTGGAAAATCATAGGCAAACAAGGATAAACAGTTGTATACAAATAAATGTCGCGTTGTCAGAGTCAAGACAGTCAACAGAAAGGTAGTATGCACCCTATATATTATAGCTAGGTTTTTATACAGACATTAGCGGTTTAGCTTATACATTTTTTTATTTATTTAATTATTTTTAAATGTATTTTCTTGATATTAGGATGCACCCGGCACACCCTGTAGTTCCTATGGAGGACAGGACATAACAGGATAATCACAAAACATAAAAGTATGTAGCAATATTGACAACCAACAACGGGCCACAATTTACCTTATCCATTTAAAATAAAGTATTTACAAAAAATATTTGTAGATTTAGTATTACGTTAATAAATGAACTTTATTAGATACATACTTCACAAACCATTTTAAAAAAAGAAGTAGTACCTATTAGGTTTATTTAACTTGATTTTAATTTTTTTTTTTTTTTTACAATACTAAAAGACAACTAATGCTATAAAATATTATTTTTAATAATATTTGACATTATAATGAAGCCCATGACATGCTGAGTAATGACATTCTAAAAATGTGTTTGCAAAATTGTTGTAGGTTTTCTGCAGTTTTGGAGAAAGACGGTTTTTTTAACATCTATCCTAGTACCACTAGTCGTAACTGTATGCAATTTCTTATCAATAGTAGTGTTACTCAAATAATTAGATCCAGAAGAAAAGTTATTAAACCTATAGATACTAAGAAAACCCGTTATTGTATACCCATAACCCATTACATTCTTAGCTTTGCATTGAAATAGACATATATTTAAGTTTAACAAACTAAAAAACATTTTTTTTTTTATTCTACGACCGTTTTAGGTTGGTTAGACAACTCTTGCTCCACAAGAGACAAGGTCGCCATCCTGGGGCTATGGGTATGATACAATGGTTTCCCACTGCCTTTTGCGCCATTCGGGTAGCCATTTATATCTCCAGACGGTTGCCCGCCTAGCTAGAGAAACAACTAGCGACCAAGATTTAAACCACAGCTAGTGCGTAGAAGCACTGCGGCGGTAACCCTCTCAGCCACGGACATTTAAAAACCATATACACATATTATTGTTTTTTTCAAATAATATTATATAAAAGACATTTTATCGTTAATACCTGTAACAAATGTTACTGTTAATAAAATTCTTAGTTTCCATAGAAGCAAAAAATTATTTGTTATTTGTTGCGCTTATTTATCCACTTGTAAGAATATAAACTATAATCATTCCTATAACAGTGTTAACAGTGAATCATAAAACTATTTATAATTTGCAGTTGTGTTTCAATTTAAATCCAATCTAAATTATGAGTTGTAATTTTTTTTTTTTAATCCTATAGCACAATCACCCTAAGATATATATTTAAAAGTGTTATTGTTACTAGTAATAGAATTGATTTGGAAGTTCCAATAATTAAAATTTAGTATAAATGATTCAAATAATAACTATTTGATTTAAACCAATCCTAATATCTACTACTATACTACTCTCTTGATAAATAGTCTGAAATGTATCATTGCTATGAATAATAAGATTGATGTTATTGATATTGATGTTTATTCATAATTAAATAAAACCTATTGATATAATATACAACTGATAGCATTTAATGCCATTAGACAAAAGAATATATATTTTTTTATTTTAATTTTATAATTATCTGAACTTCACGCTTAAGCTGCCCTTACATAATCAATATTGTTGATAGTATTTTAGATACTGATATTAATATTGATCATGTAATGTGCATACTAATGAAGTGACACTGTGAAAATTCAATTTTGATGACTGATGAAAAAATTGGATATCGAGCCTTTAGTTTTTTTTTAATAATAATATTGATTGTGGATAGTAGGTAGTAACAGTTCATCAGTATAATTTTGTATATTATAATACTTTGTGATGGTCTAACGTAACTAGCATACAAAACATTTGCGAACATGTTCCCAGGGATGGATGTTCAGTTCTCTGTTGGTATATTGAAGATCAAAGATATATTAGTAGGAATGTACACACAAGTATGCATAAGAATTCATATAATTAATTAACGTTTGATTATGTTTTGCATGACAGTATGGCTTTATATTATTAATTGTTTTAGGTGTATAGACTAATATTGATTAGTAGAATCCAGAACATACCCACAATAAGTAATATTAAGGGATTAGAATTTCAGTAAGATAAATGATGAATAAATAGTAATGGGTGCACCTACCTCAGTGTTACAATAGTAAGTAGACCAGGCCGCTCTAAGTGATTGTTGACCCCCTAGATCCCACATAATGAAATGTATATTATTCCAAACAACTTCTTCGACATTGGACCCTATAGTTGGTGATGTATGCACGACTTCATTCATCAGGAATTGATATAATATAGTTGTCTTGCCAGCGTTATCAAGACCAATAATGACGATCTTGTGTTCTACAAGTGTAAATTACAATTATTATTATGAATTAGCAAATTAAAAATCTTTGCAATTACTGAATTTCTAACCTTCAGTGCCAAAATAGCTCCAGATTTTTGAAAACAAAAGACCCATAGTTTGTGTGTTGAGACGCAAAGTAACTGTAAATAAAATAAATTTAAAAATGAAGTAGGCGTTACGTGCCGTACCAATTATTGGAGAAAACGACGGTAACGGCGGCAAGGATTGGCGCACTTTTCATTTCGAGCGCGTTATTTTTGAATATATTATACGTTTTAATAAAATATTTGTCCTGCTTTTCTCTTTAATTTAACTGACTACCGAGTGTTATGGAGTCCACTCAGCTAGCCCACTTTCACTTTACACGAGGACGACGGAGGAAATAGTAACACCAACGATATAGTACACAATCGCTGTCGGATTTTACACTGAGACCTGAGTTTCAACTTGGCACAGAGTTCGGTCCAAATCACTGGAGGTCATTGCGTTTGTCGACTACGATGATGATAGTGGTAATAATGATGATAATAATAATTAAACGGCCGAACGGGTGTCATCTAAACGACTATACGCGGACAACAATAATAATTGCTTATTATTATAGTTTAGTAATAACGTGTAAATTAATATTATCACTTGCGTACTACGGCCGACAGCTGAAGTAGTTTATGTTTTTGTTTTATAATATTATTATATCTAATACGGGTAAACGCGATAACCGAGTGTGATAAATTACAATATTGTGGAGGGAGTGAACTGCAGTGGACAATATGCAGTATGCATCGATGCACGTCGCGGTATGCTGTTATGAATTTATAAATTGCAGAGGGGATTTTTGTCGCGGTGACAGTTATCACTACTGTTATTTCATGTGATAACAAGATTCTCACAAACACAGTAACCTGGTTTCAACCATATACATAGACCTATTAACAAATAACACGGCTGTAGATAGACATACTTATCTACTGGCTAAAGCCGGGACCAATACTAATATTACAATTTATTTACATAACATATTATATAATAATAATTTCTATTACATATTATTATATATTTATTACCTAGCCTGCTTATTACTTAAGTAAGAAAATCCATAGAGTATGCTTCAGAGTTCAAACATTCGAAATAAATCTACAATTCGTATAGGTACTCTTAATTTGCTTTACTCGTATTTTAATTTGGGTAGCAAAGTCCATATTGGCACATCTTGAAATAATCCCTAATACTAATACAACTCGGTTATTTAATTATTTCTGTAAAAATAAGTATAATTTCTTTTAAATCTTTATTTTTAAAAAGTGTATCTTACTTCTTAGCTCTGTTACCACGATAAACAGGAAAAAAACTTCCTCCGACAACACAGGGAGAAAGCATTTCAAAACCCATAATTTATTTTTAATACCCTAAATCGAAGTAGTTTACATAAAATAGACCAATTTTTATTTTATTTCATTAGAAAAAATTTGAATTTAAATTGGCCGGACTTATATGTTTCTCAAAGGAATGCATTGTTTAGATCGATATTTAAGACGGAGCGTGTTTCTATTATAAACGGCTAATCCAAATCACTTTTTAGAACGGAAAAAACTTCTTAACAAGAGGTGTTTCTCCATAAAATATGTTTCTACACTCTAAAACTTATAGAATCAAAGACAACAAAAAACGATATTGGCTAAAAGACGTTTCCAGCCTTCTGAGGATTTTTTTTTATTAATTTAAGGTTATATCTAAAAAGTAGTATTTGAACTAATTTGACTATTTTTCAACGCGCGGTATTTAAATGATGAAAATCATGTCTATAGAATAATACACAACTCTCAACGATGAATCCTACGATGCGAATTTGTGAACGACTTACTCTGTTGGTTAGGTGTATTTGATATTCGAAAGTGTTATACTATAGTCTATATTCATATTAGGTATGGACGTATGGTATCTGAAGTATCGCAATTTATCTTACAGGTAAACATAGTTTTTATTATATACAATACCGCAACCAGAAATGTATTTTAAGAAAGATGGCATCAGTTATTATAGTTAAATAGGTATTTTACAATGGTCAACAGTTTGCGTAGCCACTTCAGACTACAAATATTTATAAAAAAAAATAAGATTTCGGGAAGGAAGGGCACATGTACCTGGTGACCCCTTCTTAGCTACAGCACTGTTACCTATTATAATTGATTTATGTCTAAATGTCATAATATAAGTATCGGAAATATGATAATAATCAGTTGTCCTAAAAATAACATTTATAAATTCGGAAATCTGGACAATTTGGAATTATAAAATCCATAATATATTCCCATCATCTGTTATTAAACCATCATAATTAGTTATAGTTATTTATAAATAAAAATTACAACGATTGATTTTAGTTTTAATAATTTTGTTTTAAATTATAATATTTTAATTAATAGTTATTAAAACCAATTTAGAAAACACAAACTTCAATCATCTGCCTGGCGTTACATAATATATAACTGTAGGTAATGAGTAATAAATAATTAGTGTTAAAACTTTCATGGACTGAATTGTTAATTTGTTCATTTTCGGATTATTAGCTGTCGTTTCGGACCCATTGCAGGGTTCATTGATACCTAAGTATTATACCGTTAAAATATAAATATCTGCAAATCCAATTATTGTTTGTGTCTTAAAAATCTTATTTAAAAATTGCATCATATTATTAGTATTTGTGATTTTATTAATAAAATATACCTAATAAAAGGTATGGTTTATACCTTATCCGATTCTTAAAAAATAAAAATAATATTTGATTACTTAAAATATTAAATATTATAAAGAATCAGAAAACATTTTTTATTTATGCTACTACTGTATCTAATCGTAAATACTAAACACCTAATAATACATATTAAAAATATAATATTATCATTTAAAACATTTTTGGATATTCAATATTTCCTACCATAGTTTACTTACTAATTCTCTTCAAAATTAAAACACTGTTTATCATGTAAATAGTATACTTTGATCAAATTACGTGAATCAATTGAACCTCTAATGATACTTTCAGAATAAATAGACCACGCAATAGTGAACTAATTAAACTGTATAACACAATCTACTGTAAGCTGTTTAATGTTTTGGATAAGTGAAAAATATTGTAAATGTACATTGTACGCCGATGGTCTGATAAAAAATTAGTTAGCAATAAAGAATCCCAATTATTATGTTATATAATAAATAAAGGAATAAGGTGTCTATATTATTTAATGTTTTACTAAAATGTGTTAAAATCTAACATTTTAATAAATATTAAACAGACATATTATTATTATTATTGCAACTCGAAGATGGTAAACAAATATTTCCATATTTTAAAAATAATTTATCATGTTTTGGCTAGAAATTTACAGAGATTGAGTGCTCTGTTCAAGGGTCAAGTCTCCATAACGTTGCTAATATAATGTCGACATACTTTTTTGAACAACTTTCATAACCAACGAATTTTATATTCTAATAATATATAAGGAAAATTAAATCTAATATAGAAGCTTTAATACTGTAACACAAGAATTCATTATGTATGTACAAATCAAGGATAATATTTAAGACATTTTTTAATGTACTAATGTAAAATATAACTAATCAAAAATCATTACAGAATAATTGAACAGTTTTACGAAGACATTTTACAATGAACTATTTTTGGTGTATGTATAATATGCAATATACAATTGCTGTTGTCATTGTCCTAAAATTATTTTAACTTACCAATACATATAACATTTAACAATAATGACCTTATATAACTTATTGTCAATGAATAATATGAACATTAATTTGACTTTAAAAACAGTAAGATATACCTAATTCACTTTTATTATTTTTCATTATTTATTCAAAATAAATACTATTGATGTCTGTAAATAGTAAAACAAAATTAATTTACAAAGGAGTTTTCTGATTCAATATCGTAAGAACTGAACTCTCTTGATGAGAACAACAACAAAAAAACCGATATAAATTTTCTACCACAAAATGTTTTAAAATTACAGATATTTTAAATTACTAACCCTATTAGTCTATTCACATGGCAAAAGCATTTTTGGACGGGGATTGAAATTTAAGAGTGAAAAAAGTTACAGTTTACAATGAAATTCATATCAGTACATGTATTTAAGCAGCCTTTGCCTTACTGACTAATTCCTTTAACTTCTCAGTAGATAAGGACTTGGGGCGTTCAATAGGTAGACCAAGACCGCGGTCCCAGACTAATGAAGCTAATACTCCTAAAGCACGAGATACTCCAAACAATACTGTATAATAGTTCATTTCTTTCAAGCCATAGTACTGAAAAAATAATACAAATTTTCGTCAACAACTTTCAATTTAAAAACCAACTTATATAAAACATCATACTTGTAACAAAACTCCTGAATGAGCATCTACATTTGGCCACGGGTTCTTGACCTTACCAAGGTCATTAAGAACTGGAGGGACGACATCAAATACTTGAGAAACAAGTTTAAACAACGGGTCTTTGGGCAAATGTTTTAAAGCAAATTCACGTTGGCACGTGTAACGAGGATCAGTTTTACGCAAAACAGCATGTCCATAACCTGGTACTACTTGTCCGCTTTTTAATGTTTTCAAAATAAATTCTTTGAGTTGATCATTAGTTACAGAGTCACCAACTTCTTTGCGTAATTTTTGCAACCAAATCAAAACCTAAAACAATTGATTAAACATATTTATTTAATAACAAACAAGAAATCTTAGTAATGGTTAGTTACTTTTTCATTATTTTTTATATAAGAGATAAAAATATGAATTTAATTATATTTTTCGTATACTATATTTAACATAATATATTTAAATAACATTAATTATTTGTTATCTTTATTTTATGATACAAAATGTTATACTCCGGACATTTTAAGAAGGTACCTGCGCGGCTTACCGAAACTCATCAATCGACGCCTAGGTCCTATCGGTATGCACATTAGGTGGTGCCGAACTATGACGATGTTGCAGGGTGGAAAACAGTCGCCCCCAACTCACCGAGGTACCTTTTTAAAGTGTCCGTAGTATATATTATCAAACTGTTATTAGGTATTTTTCTGTTAAGTGTTATACCTTAAATCATATTTATTTGGATATTATCTAAATTTGCTATACTGATTCATTATTGGAGTCAAATAAGCTTTGATTACATACATTTTATTTTTATTCTTTTTCATTCTCGTTTTAATGGATAATATTTAATAAACAGGCTTACGCTCAGTACCACGGACCAAAAATTGTGTTAATTTATTTATTTATTTCTATTATTTCCCTTTATTATTTTTATCTTATAAATTCTTATAATTTGCATATTCCTGATTTTATATTTATATTTTAGAAGTACTGTTATATAATCAAAAGTATTCATTAAAATATTAATTACCTCTTGGTTAGCAAGTCCATGTAATGGACCGGCCAGACCACACATACCAGCACAGAAAGAAAGGTATGGATCAGATAAAGCTGATCCTACTAAATGAGTTGTGTGAGCAGACACGTTTCCACCTTCATGGTCAGAATGAATTGTTAAATACAGGCGCATGAGTTCAACAAATTCTTCTGAATTGTTAGCACCCAACATTGATGTGAAGTTGGCACTCCAATCACGTTCTGTATCGACTGTACCGACTTGCTTACCACCATGGTATACATTTCTATAGATTGTGGCTGCAATAACGGGCAACTTGGCAATTAAATCCATTGCGTCTTCATATGTGTACTAAGAAAAAAAAGTTTTGTAAAAGATTAATGAATCATGTTGAGTTTAATTAAATGTCATATTAATTTGTGTTTTCATAATGTGAAACTTGTCAGAACAATTTTTTTTAAATTTTGTATAAGTGAAAATAGATTTTGAAAAGCAATTGTCATTTAAAACATAAGTCGCATTTATATTTTATTACAAAATATTAAAATTTAACGTAGTGTTGTTAGTTAATTATTAACCTGATGTTTAATTTACTTACGTTAACTAAATAAAACAATTATGTTGTATAACTATTTTAAAAATATTTTAGTAAATTAATCGCTTATATATCCTAACCCCTATGTACTAAACCATAAAAATGAACCTATTTGACAGATGTAATCCAAATTTAAAATGTGGCAATATAATCTAAAGAATTAATGAATTAATCTTATATATTGATATAAAAACGGATTATACCCCAATTAAGGATAATTTCCTTAGAGCTTTATAATAGTTCAATTCAAATACTTTTTATATTAATCAAAAATGATTTATAATAAACAAAATGTACTAAAAAAATGAACATTCCTACTCCAAAATTATTATTTTAAATTAAAATTGTAATTGGGCTTGCCTGTTTAATCATAATAAATAAATTATATAATATATCTGAGTGTAGATACCTATTGAAATGAATAAAGTAGTTGAATAAAATGTAAATAATAAATGTATATAACCCTATTAATGTTGTGACGATGAAAACCTAATCTAATTGGTTTAAATGTTGACCATCTAAACCAAAACAAAATTATATACTTTAAAGAATTAAGCTAAAACAATAAAAAAATACTGATAATACATTTAATTATTGAATAGATTAAAATATATAATAAAAATAAAACCAGAGCTCGTAAATATTTAATTTGTTGTGCATACACAAAAATGTTAAATGTTAAAAAATGAATGTATTATGTTTGTTTTTTAAAAAACATTTTCAAGCCCTGAATAAAACATTATACTTTATACTCGATTCAATTTAAGAATGAACAACTCTCATACATGCAGATTGAGCCACCGAAAACCATTGGACTTCTCAAACATTCTGTCAATCATTCATCAAGCCGTTAATGACACTGTCATCACTGCCCCGCCGTGCATAAACATTGAGGCGTGATATCTGTTATTTTGCTGTATATTATCATTGTTGTAGAATTAAGCTTGCATCTAATTTTTATGAACAATACAAGTTCCCAACAATAGTTTTACATAATTATTCAACATTTTTTCATTTCTTTTGCAGTGGTTTAATTAAAAAAAATAATAACCACTTAGACCACTGCACTGTTTGTGGCAGCTCATTAGAAAGCTTAAGGGCTCATACACTATGATCAACGGTTTTACTTGTCGGTTAAAATCAAAATTTGACAGATATAAAAATTGTCGTGTTTTGTCGTCGGTTTTGACTGGCGTGTTTTATTGTGACAATGAAAACTAATGTATTTCATTGTAGTACAGTAGTAGTATGGGTCGCTTAACAATGCAAGTCGTGTAGAGGCTGAGCGGTTCATTCTTAGGTTGAATAGAGTAATGTACAACAGATTGTGATGTAAAGTAACAAGTTAGAAAAATTACTAAACAACAAATAATTTATTGGAAACAGATACATCAGATAGGTCATACGTTGCAAATTACCCATAGGAATCAAATTTTGATTGTTAAATTTAACTACTCAACTAATAAAAATGTTTGAAAATGGATGAAGCCTAACTGATATCTAAGTTTAAATTAAATATAACATATAAACAATTTGTTATTTGTCAAATCATAATTTGTATAAAAACTGCAAAAAAACGATATTAAGTTATGAATCAACTCACCTCCCAGTATTGTGATTTATGAACTCCTTTGGTGTAAGCTTCTACGAATTTGCTTTCGGTGTTTAGCGAAGCCACAGAAACTGCTAACTGAGTCATTGGGTGAACAGTATTTGGAAGATTGTTAAGCATGGTTACCACGTGAGAAGGTAATTCAGCTCGCTCAGCCCAAGTTTTAGATAACCATTTCACTTGCTCTTCAGTCGGAATGTCCCCAGTAATTAATAACCAAAATAAGCCTTCAGGCAAAGGCTCTGAACCGCCAGGTGCCTTTGGTAACAGTTTTTGGCATTCAGGTATAGAATAACCACGGAAGCGAATACCTTCATCGGCGTCTAACACAGATGTCTCGGTAACCAAGGCTTTGATACCTCTCATACCACCATACATCTAAAAAAAAGATAATAAAAAAATGTATTAGTTGATATAATAAATAAAAACTTTAATTTTACAAAAAGATAAATGTTTTTGCAATAATATACCATGTCTAAAGTCACATCACCAACAACAGTTGATCCATGTTGCTTTCGAAAAGCTTTGATTTCCTCTCCACTCTGTTTTAATTTCTCAGCCACAATAGACTTGAGATCAGTTGATGTGCAGGCCATTGTACGAGAAGCTGTCCATAATGGAGCAGCGACCTACAGAAAATACAAATTATTAACATGGTATAACTAACTTTTAATATATTGTCTGCCGTATAGCTGGCGACAGACGCACAGTTGTTTATTATTATACTGCCGTCGATAAAATCTGGTTAACCTTCATGAAATGTATGTTTGTGTTATCTTTTGCCAATTTCACATTGTCATATTAAAGGTAATACACAGTTCAAATTTATTATCTCCTCAACGCCATGGTATAATTTTATTAGTCATTGAAATAGTTTTATCAAATTTTATTTTATTTCAGATTACAAAAACAGTAGAAGTATGGCCGCCCTCAGTCTTGTGATCTCCTCAGAATAATGTTTTGCGGCTGTAAATTTGGTATGGCAGTCAATGTGTTAAGAACTTAAATACTAAAAATTTAAAATAAGCTTTATAACTAGAAATATATTACACAGGATTAATGGAATATCAGAAATCATTTGTATAGGTCTCCTTACTCCAGTTTGTAATAATACTTCATATTAATTACATGCTTAAAAAAAAAATAGTATATTTATATCAAGTTACATAAAATCTTAAATAACCAATGTTTAACATAAGAGAAATGAATTTTAATTATGAAATAATATATCTAAGACTCAGTATAATAAATTTAATAGAATACTAAACATATAATTAATTAATTTATATTTATAATATAAATACGATAAAAAAATTAACTAGTACTTTTGTATTGTTAATTTCTGATAAGATAATATTAAATATCAACTTGAACCTTCTCTTTAAATTAACTGTAAATTGGTTCAAATCTATTAGAAATCTCAACTCACTCTCTTTAATATGTTTAATGTCCGTTATTCCCGCCAATCGGGGCTTAGACAGTTTAGACCAGTGGCCGAGATTTGAACCGGCAACCGAGCGTTGATACACTGTCCCCTTATCTCACTCCGCACTTAGTATTAGAAATCTCAACAATTAATGTAAAAGCTTATGCGATTTATTATTTGTCAATATTTTATTCTATGTTTATGATGTATAATGTATATAATTTTAAAAATACCATTAAAATTATAATGCTAATAATAATAGTTTAATAAGAGTTACAGTACTCACAATTATTATGTACTTTTTAAAAAAATGTAATAAAGCAAAATCGCCTAGAAGTTTAGAAAATTATACCTAGTTTCAAATGTTAACAATTAACAGTGAGGTGCTAAAATATATAATTAATAAAAGCTAAATTAATTATAAAGTACTTAAAATAGGAACACATGACACACATCAGATATTTGTTACCACCTATATAATTTAGGGAATTTAATTAAAAACATGACCTTAAATATTAAAATATTATGATTAGATCTAAAACTTTGTATTAATAAAAAATTAAATACTCATTAAATGTGCCAAATTTTTATTTATTTTGAGCCTAAAGGAAACTATCTCAAGGTTAGTTGAGGTCATCGCTAAATAACCTAGTAGACGATTCATTCTAGGTTAAATTTATTTAATCATTTTTTACTATCTGTTCATGTGATCTTATTCATGAAATATAATTTCTTTAGTTATGCCCTGTGAAATATTTGTAACATATAAATAGAATCTATTTCCTTGCAAATTTGTTGTGACCTCTAGGTTTGAGTTTCGTGTTACTATTATAAGTAGATATCTCAAAAATATATTATGTAATCGAACTTGAGTTACTAATTATAAGATAACGAATTAAAATTACGGTGAATAGAACAAAATTTTAAAAACCGTTCGAAAAAATATTCTGTTATCATTCAAAAAGTCTTCATTATCTGATCGAATCATAAATATCTCCTCAAAACGCAGACGGAGTATGCCGAATAAATAGGTACATTATTATAATAAATTTATGGTACCTGACTGATCTCGAGCAATTTCGTCGCCGTAGTCCTAACCAGACTCATTTTCGTTGATGGGTATACTGGTAGTACGTCCTTACTGCAAAAAAAAAAAATTAAATCGCTACGGTTAGCCAATGTCAAATCAAAAAAATAATGATTAATAGGTATAAGACGTTTGTAGTCGTGTGAATAAAATAAAATAAATAATAGTTTGGTAAACAATAATATTATTATTGTATATTTGAATAGTATTTTTAACATATATATAATTACCCGAAATGTTATTATGCGAATTTGAACACGATGTGGACGGACGACACGCAAATATGGCGATGCTCCGGGATGCAGGTCTGACGAGTAAAAGACCGCTGCCCGTTTCGCGCTCGCGCCCCGCGGATCTCGGTGTCGTAGGCATGCAGATAGGTGGACGGCGACTTCCCTACCGGCTCCCACACACACTACGGTGTACATCCCAGTGGTGCCAAGAAGACGCATCAAATTATAGTGAGCGTCTTGGACACTGTATTGTACCGCGGTGGTTGGCTACACTGTGCTCAGCGACCGCGGAGGATGCATACATATCATACCGCCAAAATATGCAAAATACTAGCACGTCAGGACGTTTTTATAATTACTAGAATTCATGAGCCAATGTACATTTTGACCGCGAGACGCCCATCCTTTTTCAATGTCACGCGGTTATCCCAACATAAATATTGCACAGTATTTATATAGGGTACCTAACCTTAATAATATATTATACACGGGCAATTGTCTGTACGACTACAGTCACGTTTGGCCGGTTCCTAGAGGTTAGATATCCAACCAGTATGCGTGAGTTGTGACCGCGCCGTACTCGAGTCTCGGTGTCTAGACTCTTGTGCATAATTATAGCTCAAACTTAATCTAACCTACCCGAAATTTAATCTCAAGTGTGAGTCACAACACCATTTTTGACTTCATTAAAAACGTCTCGGGGAAAATATTTTTGAAGAAATTCCGTAATGATATAATTTTTTTGTTATTTTTTTCTTTTTCAGTAGATTAAGTAGGTGTCAATTTATTTATAGGTAAGAATTAAGATAATAAAATATAAAAGATTTAAATATTACAACCACAAGTACAGTAAGTATTCAGTATGATAATTAATAAAATTAGTAAATACCTAGTAATAAATAGTGTACCATATAGATGCGTCAATAATTATAAACACGCATTTTAAGTTATTAATAATTTTGAAAATATTTATCTATTATAATTTTGATATCACTTGGTATAAGAATTAAGATTATACAAAAACTTTTCGATTATATTATAGGCAAATTAATTTTTAAATTTGGCATAATATAATATGCTACATACTTCATAATATTAAATGTATACCTACATACATCGGTCATATACATAAATAAATTCTATTATATTATAATTATGTTCTGATAACATAAAAATAATTATTTTGATAGCTTAGTATCAATTGCTGAATTTTAAAGGTCATAGCCATTAATAAATAATAAGGTAAATGTTAAATAAATTGTACCTTATAGTAAAGATAACTATTGATAATTAGTACATTATATTAGGTATGTTTTTTCAAAGTGACCCTTCATTTACGTTTTTTTTTGTACCATACTAATTAGCACTACAAAATACTCGATTAATGACATAATCGGTTAACCGCAAAGTATAAAAATATCCATAAAAATAAGCAATCAAAGACGTACATCTATAATCCGTAGTCCCAATTAAATTTTTATTGACGGATAGGTACCGGATTGAATCAGTTGAAAACAATTTTTTGATTGCTTAACACTAGGGTTGATAGAATAATGGATGCCTGACGGAATTGATACATAATATATTTGGGTGGTCCTTATATTAGTTTTTTTAAATTCCACGTTGGATAGGTATCAAAAAGCTCCAAATGTTTAAAAAAAAGTCTCTAATTTTTTCATATTTTTATTTTATTCCCTTAGTCTCCCTGTTTGCACACCAAATGTATGTCACTCGGCAATGGTCGGCGCTGTATACATATATTATATGTATGTATATAATTATTACATAATTATAATATAATAGAATTTATTTATGTATATGACCGATGTATGTAGGTATACATTTAATATTATGAAGTATGTAGCATATTATATTATGCCAAATTTAAAAATTAATTTGCCTATAATATAATCGAAAAGTATATTAATTGACGTGCAAACAGGGAGAGAAATATTTTTTCAATATTTGGAGCCGAATGACGGACATGCAACGCCATGTTACATTTAAGGACCACCCTAATATAAATTAAATATTCTTATTTTATTTCTAACTTTTTTATTGTCTTTGTAAACCTTTTAACTTTTAAAATTTGAGTTTATTTACATGTTTAAGTTACGATGGTACATAAATAATTTTACATTAACCATTTTACATTTGTTGTTTTATGTTTAAGTAAAGAGCTAACTATTTATTTTATACGCTTTGAATGTGTTCTAAACGTATGTAAAGCATTTTTGTTGTATGATATTCAACACATTCATTTATTTAACAAGATAAATATTTTAATTCCAGCAATAATGAACCTCAAATTTAATATCCCAGATATCACACCGACTATCGAGTACTTAATAATATACAGTAAAAACTTTTTTTTTTCGGAAGAAGATTTATTACTTTTCCATATGTTGTATATAAAATATATAAATTAATACAAAAACACAACCGTCTACCATTATATTAGTCAGTCCTTGTCGTTTTAATACTAATAATTTTGTACTAAACTGTTAAATAGATATTAAATTCATGTTTTTAGATGAGTTTTCTTCCTTTAAGCTCGGAAGAGCTGTCAGAGTATTTAATTTTACCTGTGCGCTTAATTCTTCCACGAGTATTTTAAAATTCATAAAGTGGATATTTTTTCCAATAAAATATAGAAGAAGGAAATCGCCAATCTAAAACCAAATCAAATGACAATTCTATAATACTATTATCATTAATTATTTGTAGTATAATCAGGTAAGCAGGTGTAGGTAAACATATAACTTTGAATACGTACTTGTAATTTTTTAATAAGATCTGTCAATTCGTATTTATTGTTTGTAAACTTCAGCATTTTAACTAGTTGATTTCTTTTTATAACCGAAAGTGTTATGTATGCAAATCTATATAACAATGCTAAATTCGATAAAATTGCTATAACTATAAACCAAAACCACAAGAATAAGTATATTTTTTCGTTGAGGTTATTTTGAGAAAGAATACACAGGGCGTCATTGTTTTGAATGCTGCCAGATGGTCCATACTTGTAGAAAACGCACTTTGTAATTTTAGGAAAAACATTTTCCATTGGACTATTATCAACTGAATGAATGTCATGACCCTGATTATACTTCAGTATTTCAAGTCCATATGTGAGAAATGTACCCCCTAAAAACGTATTGGTAATGTAGATATTTCCGAAAATAATGACCATGTTGAACACTTCACATAAAAAGTACCTATACGCGTAGGTATTGTGTGTGTGACGACTGTACAAGCAATACTGAACCTAAAAATATAGAATACACGTTGTAATATATAATACATAATTTATTTTTGTTAAGTTCAAACGAAAATATGTTAGTAGTTCGTTTAAGTCTATCCAGTTAGTTATGTAAAACTTTAGTTAAAGTGATATTCGTTAAATTAAAATTTTATGATATATTTTCATGTATATTTTTAAGTACAACTGTACTGGATTTAATATGAAACAACATATTTTTTCGCTCAAATTATTAACTAAAATACACTATATTCAGGTGAATTGAAGAGTCTTGACTCATAATTCGAATAAAGTTTGTTAAATTTTGTTTTTTAAAACTCAAAGTGTTCGCGTACGCGGTGTTAACACCGTGATGTATTGTACTTTTTGAATCCAGAAATGACACGGCGGTATAACACCGCAGCGTGACCATCAATGAGATGTTTTAAGACGCGTCTGCTGAAGGTTAAGGATTGTTACAGATTTATACCACTATACCAATCTATTAATTTTCGTTTTCCTATCAGCAACGGTATCCATGTGGTGACCACGCATCCCTTCTGTTATCATACGAATTTTTCCTCCTTCCCATATTTTCCATAACCAATGTGGCACGTAAAACGCTATGGCTTGTAAAAACAACATAAACGGCACCCATTGGTAGTACGAATGACGTCGAATGCATTTCTTATCAACTTGTCCAACGCTATGAAGTGGGTCAAATCGTACTGTATCCTCTGGTCTAACAACTGTAAAAGTACTTGATACCCAACAGTACTTATTTATAGCTTTTTGAATGTCAGGCTTTTTCGAAAATGTTGATATACATTCTATTGGCTCACCTTAAAATATAAAAATTACTATTATTATTGATTTAGTATTGATGAAGTATAATTAAAAATTATATATAAGTTTTTGAAAAACGTGAACAACATTATCGATCATCGTAATAATTAATAATATGAAAATAAGCAATTTAAAAACGTATGTTAATAAAATATTTTAAATATTTTTTTACGGGAACAATGTTTTAAAATCCATAATAATATGCCATTCCAAGTATTTAATAAAGTTTACATGTCCTCTGCTAGAGGACTTTAAGCATTATAAATTTAAATCTTTGGCTTCCATAATTATACGCAATTTGTAGAAGACTATTTGTTCTCTATTGCTTTACAAAACTATATAAAAAAAAAATGTAATTAAATATACCATTGATATAATATAGAGTCTAGACTCAAGGGCCCCAGTCCCGGTCCCAGTCTTACTTATCAGTCCCAGATCCCGTTCCATCAGTTAAAAGCTTGCCCAGAATCGTGGTACATAGAATCGGCCTGTTCCTTTAATCATTACCTACCATTTGTTCGAGTACCGTGGTTACCATGGTTACAAATCAAATGTTTATTTTGGGTTAGCAACGAAAAATATGTCGTATTTAAAGTACAATATTCGTGTTTGAGGCCACTCTTAGGGGTGGAATTTTCAAAAAGTACTATGCTAGAAACCTTTGTAAGGAGTGTACTCAACAACTTCTCAAAGTTTCATGGCGATCGGATGAATGGTGTACTAATGCATAAAGGACAAACAAACAGAAATTAATTTTTATATATATAAATATTATATAAAAATAAATTTCTGTTTGTTTACATATATATATATATATATGTAAGCAAACTTGTGTCTTCTGAAGTTTGCATTTGTATTCATAACATACAACTAAATAATATAATTTAGATTATCTAGTAAATGTATTATATATAGCTAAATATTATTACTGTTATGCAGTGTTTTATTAAAAAAATTGTATTTTATTTAAAAATGTACGTACGTACATCAGAAATCAGAAAATAATTTTTCAGTTAAGATCATAAAAACGGTAGCAGTTATGAAGATAAAAAAAAGTAGGACAAACCTATTAAGCTGTTCGCTGTAACTAATATACAGAATGTAAACAAGACATTGGTTGTTAGTTTGTAATGACATTGAAACAGATAGTTATCAATTACAGGTCTATCATTGCAAACCTTAAATGGCTTGCTTATAACTTTTAAAGCTGTTATCAGAACCATTTTAAAACTTAATATTTTCTTAAGAGTTGCAAATCCTTCAGCAAAACCCTGTAAAAAATTCATTATTCAATTAGTTAATAATAATCATAATAATAATAATAAGTAATAGTTATAATAGGATCAACTGGGGTAGTTGTAAGCAAATGTAGATTTTTTTTTAATTAATTGACAATTTTAAATCAATATTATTAATTATAAAATGTTAATATACTATAATATAATATAATAATAAAAATATCAAATTTGTTGGTCTTTTTCACAATTTTTCACATTTACATAAAAAAACCTCACTTAATAACTGTAATAAAATAATAATTCATAATCAAGATTTAACAATTTTTCAATAATTAAATATTAATCAGAATAATTTATATTGTTGTTTTGAAAATAACGTCCTAATTTAAATAAGTTAAATTTTATAGGGAAATAAATTAAAAAAATTTTAACATTTGTGTTGCGTACAAATATAGATAAATTACGAATAATACGATATTTACTGTTGACTGTATAAATTAATTATTCATGACATCTAAACCGCGAATAAACTTTTTTCAAAAATATGCACTTAAGAGTTTAAGACATATTTTTTCGGATGAAACGATGAAGACAAATTCGCAATAGCCATACACAAATAACTAAAAATTCATCAGTATACCGCTGCTAGGATTATGTACTTAACCACAATTATACATTATATTAACCCGTTGAGTAAAAAATCTTTTTAAGCCCATATGGTTGAAAAAACAGAAGGAAAAAAGTCCTAACCGTTATGTGGTATATAATTGGGTATGCATTTCTATATACATGAGTGCATGTTATGTTGTATACATTTTTCTAAAAGTAATTTAAGATTGAATAAAAGCATTGATTATAAAATCAATGATTAAATAAACAAGTACGTAGTTTAATATCTCGTCTAATATTTTATTATAATTTTGGGTTTTATAAAATAATTGTTCCACCTTAATGTTTACCTAAGACAAGGTAATATGTTACCTAATTTATTAATTTGTTATTATTATTTATTTGTACTAAAATCATTATAATTAAGGGGATTCCATGCAATCTGTTTTTAAGGAGTTTTGTATAGGCAATACTTAAGAAAAAAAGTGGTTTTAATAAATAAAGACCATGTCAATTAATTTACCGGTTAATAATTTGTACAAGCTTCAAGGTATTATTTTAAATTAAAATATTTTTGTCTATGAGTAAAAGCCATTTTGGTTTATTCAAGACTTTGGTCTGGCTTTTGAGCCAGACAAAATTTCGACTACATAAGATGGTCCAATTACAATTTTGTAAAAAGATTCTAGTTCTTTGGTTACTTTACTATTTTTGATAGGAAACTGATTTTTATTTAAAAATGTCAGTTTCTTGTAATTAAATAAATTTAATTTGAAATATTTTTAGTATTAAACCCAATTCTTTACATAAGAATGTAAAAAATTAAAAATCTGTTTCTTATATAACCTAGTAAAGTTACCGAAGAACTCGTGTATCTTTACAGAATTAAAACTTTTGTTTTTAATTTGTAAAATAATTGTCCAATTATAGAAAACATTTAATTTCTAATTTTGTTTTTGTTAGTTCTAGTAAAACTAAATTAGTGAAACTAGCGAAAAATATATTCACAAGACAAAAAAATATCTACACATACAACAAAATGTTACTAACTTTATACTAATAATTATCAACTGGTTTCAATTTTACTAAGTTTCATAAAATTGTAATTATATTCCCTTTTCTCTAAGTCTAAAATTAAGAATTAAAACATTTTTAGGTCACAAACATCATTACTACTATTAGGAAAACTACTATTAATTTTAGCGCTTTTGAACACGATTTTTTCTTTTATGGCTTACCCGAGAAGTCATTATAGTAATTATTATAAAGTATGATAAGTAAATGCTCTCAGTAAACTTTTATTTCTTTACTTTTTATTTTGTCTATTATAAATTATTGTACTTAAATAAATGGTATTACTTAAATTTTTCTCTGACTGAATAAATTATTAAAGACAATTAACTGACTTACTTGATAATTGTGTCTCACAGCTACGGTACCATCTAAAATCGAAAAGAAAAACTATTAATTTTGACTTGAAATCATTTTTAGTATAAATAAAAGCAAGGTAAGGAAACGCCATAGAACTACTAGAACGCCATAGAAATATAAACAAATAATAATCGATTATTATGTGAAACAAACTACCTATTCCAAAGAGTTTGTGAATGAGACTACAGCATTAATTTTAAGTGTTGAATACATGTGCATCAAAAATTAAACTGATTCCATTGTACAATTTAATTATAATAACGTTCATTCATCTAAAAAAATAATGACCCTATGTAGAAAAAAAACTAATATATTATTGATAAAATGTCACTCCACACATTTTGCTTAAATGCGGTAGTAAGCATAAAACTATTCATTAGACTGCAATACAAATATTTGTTTTACAAGCATGTAAAATGATTTTTGAACATTTACGCTTTGTCTTGAAGTAATGAAAAATAGTATACAGAGTGATTTTTAAATCATGGGCCAGTCAATATCTCGCTGAGTTTATTTAATTATTGAATTATTTTTTTATAGTGTTTTTATATAATGTGATCTCAATTTTCCACAAATAATTATGTTTCTACCCCCCTCCCAAACCCGGGCCTACCCAAAATGTTCGATATATTATATATAGAAAAAAAAATAATTATTAGTAAGAATAATCATTAATATCTTTGTTTATCAATGGTTTATAGTGGCCTACCCAAAAAAAAATTCCTAGCTACACCCCTGTCCCAAACTAGTTTTTCTATAGCAACTTTTGAAACTTAAACGGTAACATACATATTTTTAAAACTTTTTTAAATTAAGAATATTCTACTAAAAATTTTGACTGGTCGATAACCAGTTTTGAATAATTATTTTTGAAGTTATTGAAGTTTGCAGTTTAGGGCAGGAAGAAAGGTGCAGTGTAGTATTATTTTTATCTGCGCGCACTTCCCCTCCCGTCCTAACTTTTAAACTCTTATAACTTTAAAAATAAGTATCCAAAACTGGTTATCGACCAGTCAACATTTTTAGTAGAACATTCTTAATTTAAAAAAGTTTTAAAAATATGTATGTTACCGTTTAAGTTTCAAAAGTTGCTATAAAAAAACTAGTTTGGGAGGGGGGTAGAAACATAACAAATTGTGGAAAATTGAGATAACATTATATAAAAACACTATGACAAAAAAAAAATTTAATTATTACGAGTAATTAAACCCAGTGAGATATTAAGTGGCCAATGATAAAAAATCATCCTGTATGTAATTTTGTACTATGTCAATCGCCTAATAAGCATTGATATGTAAAAATGCATAATAGTGAAATTAGCCACACACACCTTAATAAATAAAAATAATGAACAATGGTGTGTGAATTTATTGTATAGCGCGGTTTTTGTATTGCTTTTCGTGTGATTAATTTGTGGTGTTTAATTTCATATGCTTTTTACAACATTTTAATCTAAAATCATAGTTATAAATTATAACCTAAACTTTAAATAAATTACATTAGATGTTTTAAGTCTATTCTTTGGAATACTACTCCATGCATACAAGTAATACATTTAAAACTAAAATTACAAAACAAAATTCTGTATGATATATCCATGTTTCTTTAGGCCATCTTCACACGGGGCAACTCCCTGGCGACACGACGGATACTCGAGTATCTTGTAAATCACTTCCTATATTAAGTACTAGAAAGGCACAAACGCCTGTGTCTCCCGGTTTAAGAAGTGTTTTCGAGTGTTTGAATCAAACAACTATGGCCGACCACGCCGAGTATCCTATTATCAGTAGACTATATCGCCGAGTAACTTATTATCAGTCTTTTCTTGCTCTTTAGCAGCAACAAATTAGGCGACAGTGAATGTTTTTATTAATGTAAGGATGTCAAAAGACATATCCATGTAAAAAAATTTGAGAAAATTGTTTTCATTGTAACAGACACGCAGTGTAATTTTCAAAAAAAAATCAGTGGTAGGTCGTTCATATTTGGCGTTTCTACTCTTGTATAATACTTAATCTATACTATTAAAATTATTGGGATCCAAAAATATGCTCAATAAAGTAAAATGAAAAAAAAGATGTTACCGCCCCTTATTCCGGAAACAAATTTAGACAAATTAAAACACCATTCTAAAATCAATACCTTTTGAGCTGCACATCGAAGCTAAAATAAATTGTTTCATCGACAACTGAGGTGACAACTGCACCACATTATGGCCTTGTAATAACATATACCACTTATACTTAAATTCAGTAGACAAGAAAACGGAACAGAGAATGAGTTTAGCGGAGATAAGAATGTTAAGGTGGATGAGTGGAGTGACTAGGGAAGATAGAATAAGAAATGAATACATAAGGGGCAGTCTAGGAGTTGCATCAATTGTGGAGAAAATGAGAGAGAATAGGTTGAGATGGTTCGGTCATGTTATGAGAAGAGATGAGGCAGAGGCAATGAGAGGGGTTATGAAGATGAAAGTAGAGTGGAAAAGAGGAAGACCAAAGAAAAGATGGCTGGACGGAATACAGAGTGATATGATGATAGCGGGGGTGATTGAACAAGATGTAAAAGACTGAGCTCTATGAAGGTGTAGGACTAGGGTGGCCGACCCCATGTAGTTGAGAGTGTAATGCGAAGATAAAGAAGAAAAAAAACAAGATTTATATTTAAATTCATCATTTCTGTTTTGCTTATCGTTTTAGGTTGGATAAATTTAGAATTATTTGGTGACATTTTTACACACCATTGCGGCAAAAATAAGTTATTTTAAGAATGCGCTACACAAAAGAAAAGAAGCAACACAAGTACGGATAGTAGAATATATATTGTTACAGTTTCTTGGTTTTAGACTGCCTTAGACTGTATATTTTGGTTGATAGAAATAAAATGTATGTCATGTTTACCAAAATAATGTTTGTTTTATTTACTTTCTGAATAAGAATCAATCGTAACCACTTTATAAAAAAAATGCCTCTTTTTCTTCTCCTTCTATGATCCTGTCTCTCCATTATTGTCAGGACCGTCTTCTTAGTCCAATTATGTCCGGATTCTAACTTGTGGCCAGCCTAAAAAAAATGTATTTACAAAATTAAAAATGAACTAAATTCAACCAGCGCTCAGAAAAAAAAAATATATTGGAGATAATTGGAACTGAATGGGAATTAAGGATATTAATAGGATCAGGATTAGGTATACCACGGGTTGCTAGGAAATTAAAAAGAAGGATCCTGTTAGATGCAAGGGAAGGATAATCAAATAAAAAATGTGGAAAATCGCCGACAGCTTCCTCCATATGTAAATGACAAAAAGGAACGAAGTTGAGAGACCATTTATAAGTAAAAGAATATAAAATAATAATAATAAACTAGTAATATAATTTAGTAGTATGAAATTGTGGAGAATTTCGTTCAATTTTAATAATTTGAACTGGTATATGATTTTTGATTAAGCCATTTTTTTTATTATCTATATAATTATTAAAAAATGTCCTAATATTGTCTTATTTTATGTTCCTTATTATTCAGGAACATATAATCTGGGTGTTTTTTTTTTGGTTTTATTTAAATTATGAACATTGTTTCATCGAACTACCAGATCAATAAAATAAATAACTACCCAAAACAAACTTATTATAGGTACTAATAGAATAAATACAATTATTTTCTTAATTTTGTAATTTGATAAAATATGATTTGTCAATTATTGTCACTCATACGAATACGAATGATTGAATCAACATTTAAATGTTCACTGAAAACGGCGTTAGTATAAGCAAAATGTTAATTTATATGTACGTTCTATCTATTATAGTTAGCTGCTACCACATGGTTTTGATTTTATAGTATTAATAAATCAGCGCTTGAATATGTGAGTTGCTTGAAATGGGACGTAGAAGATCAAAAATAGTCAATTATTTTTAACTTATTTGAGGACTTTAAACTACTAAATTATTTTTTTAAGAAACAATATTAATATTGTTATACATTTTTTAGAATCAATTTTTATGTACTTAAACACGCAGTTATCATTAAAGAAACTATCGCGTCTAAATACTAATTCAAAAGAGTCAATTAGTATGATGCTGATAATTAACATAACATTTAACCAAGATTATTAATGTTACTGCATGGATATAATAAATATTAAAGCAGAATCGTATATTAATGGGTTGTAGAGATCAACTGGTATAAAAAGATTAAAAACTTGTTTCAAACCGTTTTCATTATACTTATGATTTTGTTTTTTCATTTATTCTGTTGAGTAATTCGTCTTATTTTGTTACAATTTCTGCCTATGGGATTTTAATTGTCCGTCTCTAATAATTCACTTTTGTGGCTCAAGCTGTTTTGGCGCTATGCGTCTCAATAATCGTTAATGTTTTGTCAAGAAAGCCGGAATTTAATAGTCAACAGCATTATGACAGCTAGATTAATTGTTAATTTATTAAACAAAATTTATTTTAACTCACCAATTGTTTTGATTGCAAAATAGATTCATCTACGGGGCACCTTACCGCTTACCACACATATTGACGTCATTGGAGTGTATAGTATAAGAGTAGTAGAACTACAAGCTACCGTTTTTTTAAAATATCAAAACGTATAGACTTCTTCCTTGAAAGTTGAAACTAATTACTAATAATATTATCATACTTACCTCATTGACTCGAGTTTTTTTATTTGAAAAATTAGAAAACAAAGTATTCTGATTTTTATTTAAGTATGTATAATTATTATCAGCAGTCTTTATTTTTGATATACAGAAAAAAAAATCATGCACATTCCACAGGGAGATTTACAATTGCGCAGAGACAGGAATCATACGCATTAATAACATGTCTCTTATCTTAGTACGAACAAAAATACAAATATTGGCATCACAGATCATCACAACCGTCAGAGCGCGTTTTTTATCAGTGACGCCAATAGGTATTTATAAATCCGGTTCCAAATTCCAAGAGACAAATTGTGGGAAACCCGTATTCTGTCTGTCTGTTATCCGAAAACAATAATAAAATTAAGTCTATCCACGAATAAGCGAAAAAAATAATCTTAGTGTTAAAAAAAAAAAACAATTTAGATTGTCAATATTATAATGAAGTATACAGAAACTGTAAAAAAAATATTAATAAAGGGACCTATCTCCCATATCCTTCCTCAGTAAATACGCCACTTTTGCAGAGGTTGAAGCTGTAAAAACCACGACTGAACCAGAATGATTTATTTAGGTTGATATTATTTGGATTATATAATATATATATATATATTCATTATGGTTACAGTTTTGTCCTTATGTGGATAATTTTCAGATGCATAGTACATGTCTTTAGTTTTATGCAAACGTTTCGGGCTGTTGGAGCCCATTTTCGGAGCGATATAATAACCGCTGTCGTGACTATATTGACTGGCTCGCTTGTTTCCTACAGCCTACTGCAACCATGTATGCATTCCACGTCCTTGTAAGCATCTTATCATCTCGACTAGGAGGTGTTCGAGACCCCCTGGTGTCATGTCAACCAGGTGCAAATTCTTTAATATAATATATATATATATATATATATACGTATAGTGTAGTCTTTTACAATTTTTACTTTTATATTTTATATTGAAACATAACAACTAAGTTACTTCTTAGTTACTATTTTAGGGAACCCATTATCTGAAAATATTTCAAACGGTCTTACATTGATTGTAATGATGATCTTATTGCAATCGATGTAAGAACTTGTACTGATCGTACAAGCTTCTAATGATTCTTCTGGACTCTGGAGTCAATATAATTTTTTATTATAGAATTACATTTAGTTGATATTGACTATATACTTTATATTTCTAAACAAAAATTGTATATAGGTATTAATATTTCTTTAAAACTCAGTTTGATTAGGTTTTTTAAATTTTCCTATACTCTTAGAACCATTATTGATTATTCTATACAATTATTTTTTTATTTAGCTGGTATAAGCTAAGTATCACGTATATCATGATACATGATATTTTGTATCGATGTGTCTTTCATAATTTTTACAAGATGAGAAATTTTTAACACGTTTGAAATGTACATATTCATTATTTCGATAACGGTTCAAACCGAAATAATAATATGGGTTAATATTTATTACGGGTTTTCATTAAACATTAGTACCATTTCAGGTTATAGAGATTTTGGTTTTTGGAGTTCACACAGGTTAATTCCAGTCAGGGTTAAAGTTAGTTGGTAAAGATTAATACAGTCAGAATTTTGCATTATTAGAATAAAACGTTATCTAAATAATAATTTAAATAACAAATTATTCGAGTAAAAGTAATTCGAATAATTCCAAACTTTTATTTCAAACAATTATTCGAATACGAATTTGCAAAACTCTGATTACAATAATGCAACTTAATAATGATATAAATCCCTATGATCTTCTTTTACACATAATTCGAAGGAAATACTTATAATACCCAACAAAATCCCAATATAATCAACGTATTATAGAATAAGACATTTTTCATAAGTCATACTCACACCATTTTTAAATTCAGACATCTAATTTGTCGTCGCTTAATCGTTCGCCTTGCTTAATAATAATAAATTGTCCAATTATACGCCACGTATGAGAAATTGGTAGAATCTGTCTTAAATAAATGCTATTGAATTACTGATCATAATTCAAAATCTATAGAATATTGAAATGTGTCACCGGGTCACTATAATCAAATATAATTTACATATAGTGCACAATTATTAATGGTTTCCATAATTAATTTGATGATGATCATTTTTACTGTGTTGCAAATTGGCTAGTTTTTTTTTTGCTATTAAATAGAGAACATGTTACAAGAATGTTTTTGTTCAGTACTACTAAAGTAAATAAATAGATGAAACAAGTATTTTTTAATTTGCGACAGTATATTATATGCAATTTGTGGGCAAAACGATGTGGTACATACTTTTAATACTTATCAACACTGAATAAATCAAGGATCATTTATCGGACTTACAGCTTAAATATAATCTCATTTTTGCTCAGGTCCACACATTTCTTTGTTTTGACAATACAAATGGGTATTGAATAAATAAACATAATAGCATCGGCTCATCGGAATGGGCAACAAACTATTTGAGATGAAAACAACATAAATTGTGATTTGCGGTGATTTTAAAGAGGAACATATTTTACCGAAACGTGGTGAGTTCTAAAAAAAACTATCCATATCTTATCGGCAATTAATTGTATTAATAGCTTCTTTTACAATATATAAAAATGATGTGCAGATTTGTGGTTACTATTCAATAACAGTGCAATTCTAAATTTAAATTATACATAATATGTATATATGTGTATATATCTAAATATCTATAATTATTTATATATAGTTTAAATATTGCAAATATAACAATTAACAGTATATTATATAATGATAGATAGTAGTTATGCTAAAGTTGAATAAAATTGTAAAATATTAAAAAAATAAAACAAAAACATTAATTGATGACATTTTTGTATTGTAAAATATAATATGTTATTTTCAGAGAATATGATTACTGTTAGACAGATATTAAATGAAATATAATATCTGATATAATATATACCTAATATCTATATAATATAGACTTCGATAATTAAAACTTTTTTTCGTTTGATCGTTGTGTGCATTATAAATATACGTGTTTTTGGGAAATTAATTTAATATACTATATTATGTATATTATGTTGGTATAAAAAACATCACAATACGGCGCTCCTAAAAATCTAACTAACTGCAATTATTTTTAATTATCTAAATTTTATAAAGAATATTTCCTTACATTATCTGTTAATACTCATTACGTACAAAATATAATCACGTCTTACCTGTTAACGTTGAACTTTGCAGTAGGAGTTTTTATCGTGCTCATTGACGGATTCTCATTGTAATACCAACAAGACTCGATGAAATTATTATTATTAAACACATTTTTATTTTCATGTCTAGTTAATTTCCAATTAAGTTCGGTGCAAGTTGCTAATTGTAATTTTAGCAACTTGCTGTCGTATCATTGTGATTTACAAATTTATTTTTAAATTGTTTACAAAACAGATAAGTAATTGTTGGAACTTCATGATTTGTTATCGAGTATGACGTATATAATATTATTATGATTTTATGATCGGCACCGTTTTAGTATATCATATTATAAGTAACAATTAAATCAGTCACAATCTGTGCATTGACATAACCACCGTCAATATCCAGTCTACTGAACCACATAGCATTGAAACTTGGTAAGATTTAATTTGTATTTTTTTTTAATAAAAGGTGATATTAATTGTTTCAACATAATATATGTACAACTTACACGCAAAAAAAGCTAAACAAATATGGCAGTGTGATTAGTGATTTGTATAATATAATATGAACTTACTAAGTATATTCTAGTTTTAGTCCCTAGTAAACTAATAAAATACACTTTTAATTAACTGTTAATTAATGTTCTAACTTCTTAACAAAAGATAAATAGAAACAGCTAAAGTTTAACCGTGAGTGTTGGTTTTAACTCAAGAAGGATTTAGGTGCACAATTTATATTATATTATTTATTCAATAATTGAACTATATTATTTATACAATGCTATTACATATCATTCTATTATATTTCGGCCAGTAACAATAAAATGTTTTTTAAAAAGATCAATAGCAGGATTATTATCCATGTACTTCTTACTTAATATTTTATAGTTTTATAATCTCAAATTAAAATTATTCTACAACAATATAATAGAAAACCAAGTTACGTTAGTTATAGTCGTTATTAATGTACTTGAGTTAATGATAAAATTATAAAAATCTCAACTACTCTAACAACAGTGTTCAATAATAATAGATAGTCATGTTTAATTATAACTAGGTACAGTCATTATATAATAACTTTATATTAATATTAATTATAAATAAAACAAAAAAAATATTTTATTTAATCTACTTTGAAAGGTTTTATTATTTTAAATGAACTTATTATTGTTTTGTCATAAATATGTTTGCTATAGGTGTTGAAATGTAGTTAATATTTAGTTTAATTTATGAATAGTTAATAACAGATGTGAGATGTCAATAATACGTTGTTCATAATATCATCATCATCAAGTCCAAAATCCTAAATGTATTTAGTAACCTTATCTCACATTGGTGTTTTCAAGCAGTCGTATAAAATATTTTTTAATATATCATTCTAATTTAATACAAATTATAATGTAACACAAATATGTTGGCATTATCCATAACTACACCTAATTTGATACGGTTTTAAATAAACTACCTTTTTTTAAAATAACTGTAATTCATCTTTAATTTTAAATTATACCACAGGTATATACTATAAAATTATTCAAACCCAATTCATAGTTTTTTTCTACTTTTACACGGTCTAATGAAGATTTTTTGATTTGATTAATAAGTTATTATTGATCTTCTTCTGCTATAATGACAAAATTAAATATTGCGTTGTATATAATACACCTTTCGTTTTTTAATAAGGTTCAAAACAATACACGATAAAATAATCACAGAATAAATTGCACGTGTAATATTGACCTTTAAATTAGTGCAATATTATACAATTATGTTCAAAGTGAAATCCTTGATTAAAAAAAACATTTGTGTTGTGGAAAAAACTGATTGATAAAGCTGGTGTTACTGTTAAGTCATAGGTTTTCAAATTAGGTTAGTTTAGTAAAGTTAGGTTAGTAAAGATAAATACTATATGCTACATTAATGAGGAATTAATTAAATCGTATGTTAGCCTGACACAAACCTATAATTAAAATTATCTTAAGATAGAAGTGTTATTTTACTTTCCTTATACAAATATTGTTTATAATGATATACATTGGTTTGGCACATTTGTATTTCATTCAAAATATAAATATGCGTGATGTCATTTTTCAGATACAAACGGAATGAGATATGATAAAGTACAAGAGTTTTATCCCAGCCCAGGACAAACTGAAAGGAAGAATTTGCTTTGCTGTTATAACGATATTCGTGCTCGCGTTTTACTACTCGAAGAAGTTAACGACACGAATGTCACATGAATTGGGTGAGTAATAATTTTATCTCAGTCAAAGCTTAATCGTTATCCTCAACAGTTGTCATATACTCGTTTATATTTATAAGCTTCAATGCCTGCTTGTAACAGCGTGTAAACAACAACAACAATCATACTAATTTTCAGACATTGTGAGTACGGGACGCGTATTGCTATCAATTAACAACACCAATGAAACAACTCAGACTTCAATATTCGAAGACATTTTCATTTTCGAAGAACGCACTTTGACGATATTTATCACATCCACTGTGTCACTGTACTTATTCCTATTTTTAGGGGTAGTGTGCAATCGTTATTTGGTACCATGTATTCATATAATATCAATGAGTGAGTACTTGATAATGTTCAACACTTGAAACTCGATTTAAATAGTTATATCGGAATAAAACAAAATACTAAATAAGTAGCAGGTTTCCAAACTAGATCAAAATGTAAAAGTTTAACATTTAGCTGTTAATCAGTCGATCCAAATACACTGTTTATAACATACAACTCAAATGTTGTATGCATCAATGTATAGTAAACTTACTTTTATTTACCCACTTTAATATTATGTCACTGTATAATATAGTTTCATCCGTACTTTGACATAGCATATTTTTTCATAAAGGAATTAATTGAATATTTTATTTTCATAGCATCACATTTTAATAACACGAAAGTATTTATTATGTATTGTTATATTTATTGTAACAATGACACGAATTGTATATCAGTCAGTTGCCAGGCATCGACTTTGACCTCGTGATAATATTAATAAACCTATTAAGCGGTTAATGTTATTGTGTGTTTTTGTTTTATTGCATAACTGATCTATTCAAATTGTCTTAAAGGATTTCAAAATATTTTAATTTATTATCTTGTTTAAATAACACAATATTAATTATTAGCATTGGCATCCATAGACTAAAAAAAAATGATGGGGGATAAAAGATATCTCCAAATGTAAGCTAAATAAAGGTGTAATGTTATTTAAACCTTTAAAAACAAACTTTTTTTTATGCTGCTAAGGTAATTAGTTAATACCATGTTAATATTTATTAAATTGCCCCCCCCCCCTCAATGAGTGTTCGTGATAATGGTGGATTAAAATGTTAAAAAATATTAATAATATTGGTTACCATTCAAATTATATTACTTATTAAATAAGTGCGATCCACCACGCCGCCGTACACGTAAATGGCCCAGAGATCTTCTCAACCCAAATGTAAATATATAAATAAAAAAACCACTATCACACACTAGTTTAATAAAACATTAAATTACACATCTGAATTAGTGTCAATGGACGCCCCCTTCCCTCAAGTCGTCCAGCTTTGTAAATAAAAATTAGCCTTTACATTTTACTTATTGTATATACTAATACAGATTGTAAATACCTATTTTTAATTTTAAAAAAGTAAATAAATAAATATGTTGGTAATTAAATGATGGTTTTAGATTTAAGAATATTTAAAAAATATATTAAAATAAAAAGTAAAGTAAAACTCAGGGCATGTAATAACATGTAAAGTTTACCCAAAGCTAGGGCATAGGGCATAGGCATAAGCATAGGGCATCATAATAATTAATATAGATTTGACAACATACATGTTTAATGTATATTGTATACTATTGTTATATGCGTATATTATTTGTATATTATTATCAATATGAATTATAATACAACTATTTGGTTGTTCGATTGGTCCAGAAAGGGGCCTATCAGGGTAAAGTTTGATCACTAATTCAATGAACATAGTAAAGTTTATTTAAAAGAAAAATCTATTACAAAATGTATAATATATGTGTATATTAAGACAAAATGGATACATAATATTATTATTTTAAGGAATGAAATTAAGCCAAGATGTTGCGGGGGCGTCTGTAATGGCTGCTGCAGTTGCTTGTCCCGAATTATTTGTCAATATACTCGCAACTTTTTTTACTGAAGGTGATGTTGGAATTGGTACAGTAGTGGGGACGGGTTTATTCAATTTACTATTAGTCCCCGGCCTTTGTATACTTATGGCTGAAAATAAAGTAAGTTATGACTTGTTTAAATTAATACTCATGAAAAATTTAAGTATATTAATTTAGAAAAATACAATTTTTAAATATTATTATCGAATTATTAATTGTTGAAATTTATAAAACAATTTTATTTGAGGCAAAGAAGGCCCAAAAAGTTTTTTAAATGATGTACAAGACAATAAAAGAGTAGTATGTGTATGTATGATGGTCTTAGAAGAAATCTTTACGCTTTGTTGGTGAAGAATGTAGAGAGAAGACTTAAATCATATCTGATTATACATAATTAGAAGTAGCAAGGATAAAAGAGTAAACGTTAAATTTTATTAAATTTCAGTAAAAAACGGCTTCACGTACATACCATTTAAATAATTTTAATTTTAACTAAACTAGAACTTAAAATTATGTATATATAATTTTAATGTACACAATTGTATTTTTATTTTATGTTTTAGACTATACATCTAGAGTATTGGCCAATCACACGTGATGTCATGGCATACTTGTTAACTATTACATTATTAGTATGGACGTTAGCCGATAGTAAAGTATATGCGTATGAGGCTTTGATCTTAATTTTAGTATACGTTTTTTACTTAATAAGTAAGTAATTTTACGAATATAAATGATTGACCATTGCCTATAACTCCCAATAGTTCTTTCTTATAGCAATTATTTAAATAAACTATTCAAGCGATGTTCTCGAAGACTAGAGCCAACGACTGAAATTCAAAATGAAAATCGTCCTATTCTCCCATTAAATGGCAAGTATTGTAAAGTGATGATTCATTAATTGTTTGATTTGTCATTATTAATATCAGTATCCCCAATAACATAGGAATCGAATCAAATGGGTTCATGGTTCACGAACATATAATTTTACCAACATGGAAAGACCGGATTTGTGATTATCTTTTGTCAGTCAAAAATGTATTAGTCTGGCCTATAGTTTTAATACTAAAATTGACAGTTCCTAGCTCTAATAGTCAAGACAGAGTCTTTTGGGTGCCAATTACTATGTTTATGTGTGTGTTTTGGATTGGATGTGGATCGTTTGTCGTTGTAGAGTTAATCACTATCATAGGTAAACATTTTAAGACTGACCGAAGAAGTATTTTTAAGTCATAACTTTATCATAATTATTAGTGTAAATAAAATAAAATTTTTTTCATTTTTAGGAAATGAATTTTCAATACCCGATTCTGTCATGGGTTTAACATTATTAGCAATCGGAATGAGTGTTCCAGAAATGGTTTCTAGTATTGCCGTGGCACGTCAAGGTTTGCGACATTGTTTATTTTTTAGTTTATATACTACATAAAATATGTAAAAATTGGACAATTTTTTTTACCATTTTATTTATCCATTCACTATTTGAGTCTTACTAGTAAACTTTCAAACATAAACAATAATACATAGGTTCATACTATATAAATTATATCATACTAGTAAATGCTAGGTACATGTAGGTAACCATTTGAATTTGTCGATAACATTTTTTTTTACTTTCAACGCTCACTCTTTGCTTATAGATGATATGCCGGACATGGAATTTTCAGTACAATTAATGTTTTTTTAACTTTGTTTTAAGGCCAAGGGACAATGGCGTTATGTACTGCATTGAGTTCATCTACATTCGACGTGTTGATTTGTCTTGGTTTACCCTGGTTCGTAAAAGCAATGTGGTTTCACAAAAAGGGTTCCAGCGCATCTATAGACGTTCATTCAAGAGGACTTGATGACAGTGCTATAGCTGTCATGATTACTACAATTGGGTTTATGATATTGATGTGGGTCAAACAATTTGTACTGACTAAGCGAGTACGTAAAATGCAAGATGATCGAACTTCATTTAAGATGACATTATTATTGTGATGACTATTTAATTTTTGTACTAGACTGGAGTATTTTTCGTTTTGATGTGGTTATTGATTTGTTCTGCAATGGTTTACAACGAGTACAGGCCTACAACTTAAATGGCTACAACACGATTGCACAGTTTAGACATCAATTAACTATTTGGCACAAAGTAACTGATGAAAAGGGTAAAACGGATGGTATTGTGGGTGACAGCAGATGATTATAATATTATGTTATCAGCTACGGATTTGAAACTCTGTACCAAGTCAAAACAACCAGTTGATAATTGTACATATAAATAATTCATCTATTTTTAAAAGAAGACCGTTTTGCAATTATAATGCAATTTGAAAATATTATTATGACTAATGTAACGTTTACAACTTTAATTACAATTTAACCATGGAAATATTGTTTTTTTTTACCATCCTTGATCCTCAATATAAATAACTATCTTACTAATTTATACTATAATAAATAAAGTTTAATTAAAAAAAAAAATACCGCTAATTATTAGAATTATGGAACTAGTTTAACTTATTCTAAAATGACAAGTCAACCGTTTTTCTTGTATTTTTTAAGTACAGAGTATTAATTTCGAAAGTCCTTCTTTACTGCGCAAACATTCATTTGTAACATAAACTTAATTACCCACAGGCCAAATATTATTTGTTGTGCACATTTTAAAATGTAATTTAATGTTAAACATTAATATTAAAGAACTAAAGAACAAATCCTGCCAGCTTACCCTTAAAGAAAAGTCATTGGATCATGAATATGTCGAATGGCACTCTTAGCTTTAAACTATTGTCTTATCAAAAATCTCAAAATAATCAGTTATCCAGAAAAAAACGATTTCCACTACTACTTCACCTCATCCTCGTAACACGATTTTCATTATTCCCTCCCCATCTCCTTTGTGACACAAAAGCCTCATGCAAATTGTCGACAAACTCCCAGTCATAATACATGTCAATAAACAAAACTTTTTTTTATCCACATTTATTTAAATAAAATATATTAGGTTAGATAAAGCCTAAAGGTTTCTACATTTATTTAATTTATTATAGATATGGCTTATGGTTGTTTAAAAGTATAGGCCATTTACAAAAAAAAAATACCATGTTTTATAAGTTATATTTTGCTTTATATTTATTTATTCAAACACTAAGTATTATATTTAAAATTATTTATACATTTAAAAAAATGAATACCATTTAATGTACCCATAGAGCATCCTGAATGTCTCATTTGAAGCTCGGTAGAACTTTACATTACACCCTGTATATATATTGTCTAGTGATGAATTTGTTTAATTAATTATAATAATCTATAACATTTATCGTCTCTAATACAATAATAATGTTACAGAAATATCATAATTATCATAATTAACATTTTATTATCAATTTTTACTGTTTTTAAAATATGTATACCTGTATACTGTGTGCGCAAAAATGTATTAGTTTTATTGACCGTTAATAATCAACCGTGAAGATCACAGTTAAAGGAACCAATAAGTTTTATGTAACCCAGTATAAAAAGTTTTTCTGAATCTACATAGTATACTGTAAAGTATACCTAACATTTATTAATTACATATATCTGCGTTTTTTTATATATTTTTGGACAGGCTACAAGTTTAAAAATTCTGAACGTATCAGTCCCAAATTTCAGACATAAGCTTACTAATCTAATACTTACTTTAAAAAGCAATTTAATTTAACTAGGTAACTTCGAATTTGATCAGAATCCAGAGTGCAAACAAGTGTAGGGTCATTAAACCAGGATTGTTAAGAATTCAGATAACCGGATTTACGTAATCAGCTATTTAGTACGGTTTTACACAAAATCTGGACTATTCGGATATCCAGAATGTTTGGATAATCGGATTATTCAATATCCGGGTATGAACTTTTCGCATATTCCAGCGCCGATTGTAAACTGCGCCCAAGGCACAGGTAAATACAAAATCATCCATGTAAACTGAGCCCGAGTTGTTATCAAGTGTAAAAAGGTTACATGTAAACTGCGCTCAAGTTCATTTTAAGTCCTTATCATATAATATTATACAAAAAAAAAGTAGAACGAATAATAAAATTAGGACAAATAATAACATATTGTTGATACATATCAATTGGTGTTTTACCGCTAATATATTTATTAATTAAACTGTAATTTTTCACGTTTTTGTTTTGTTTTAGAACTTTGATATTTAAAGGTTCATTTATACTATTTAATTTAATGTATGTTCTATTTGAATTTCTTTTAACTTTTCTATAAACATAAAAATATTTGGATGAATTGTATAAAAGCCAGAATTAAAATGGGAATGGAATGACTCACATGCATTGGTGGTTAAAGTTGTTAAAGTTTGTATTTCATACCGATGATAAGAAGCTGGGCGCAGTTTACATATACCTTTTTTGAACCAAATAATAATCGGGGCACAGTTTACCTAAAACAAGGTAATTTGGGCGCAGATTACGTATGCCCTTTTCCAGATATCAGAATTGTCCGGGTATTATTTTTTGGTATTTCGTTGTTAATATTTTTTTCTATTTTAAAATAAGTAAGATGACATTAAAATAACAAACATGTAACTGGTAAATTAATTAATAGGTATTCAAATTGAGAATAACACAAAATAACGGATATTTAGATACACGAATCCGAATCCATTTTTATCTGGACTCTAATTTCCGATAGATTTATATGCGTGTGCTTCATTTGTGAGAGAAAAGTAACTAACCACCTCATATTAGAGTGATATTTTTTTATGTAAGCGATTAGCAATTGTATTGAATCTATTAAAAATGTTACATCAAAATTAACCCCTTTAAAATCCAAAATTCGGTAAAAAGATAATACGCTTTTATTCGTCGAGTCTTATATGTTAGCCTTAAGGATACCTGAAATATACACATTACGTTGAAAGCAGATTATAAGTGCTATAACAGTCAGCAGTCAACGACACAGAGGTACTAAAAAAATTATATTGATTGTAAAACCAAAACCTACGTTTCAGAAAATCTTTTTGAGTCATACAAAAAACAATTTACTATTTTAAACTACATAACTAACTAACGACCTTCGAACTCAACACTTATAACATTATGAATAATATACTGGGTGCTTACAATTTTACTTAAAGCATTTTTGACATGGATATGTCTTATGGCTGGGGGTCATTCTGGAAATTTGCGATATGTTAAGTGTCACAGTGCTGACGTCATTATCATTACGTTATTAAGTATACATATATTTATGTAACATTACTGATTAGAGATAATAGATATGGATTATGGACGGTCATTCTGAACATAAAGTTAAGAGTATCCACTCTAAACTTTTTTTTCATGAAATCTATGAATGTATGAATCTATTCATGAATGTACTTATAATAGATAAATAAGTTTTAAGAAAAATGTGTAATATACTAAATTATCAAAAATAGTTTTAGTGTTTAAGTAAAAAAAGGGTAGTTTTAGAGGGCTACTTTTTTAAGTAAAATAGTAACCTATATTTTTAATTTACCTTTACAAATGTTGTCATGAACTATGGCTGGTTAGTGGTCGATAACAAATTTTGAATAATTACTTGTAGAGTTATTTGTGTTAAACGGTACTGTCAAAAAATGGGGTCCACTAAAATTTTTTTACGCGCACTACTCTTCCGAACTTCACTTCTCATCACTATCTTTAAATGCGAATAAATCAAACAATATTTATTCACAACTGGTTATTGGCCAATTATTATTTTTATTCGATTTTTCTACATTTGATAGGTAAGCCAAATATCTGACTTTTAAACGTTTCCCTTTAAGATAATTTTACTAACATGAGCACTAAACACTTGGATCAATGGTTCGGTTTTTAGGCGGAAAATCGTCTAGTAAAAATAGATCACCACTCTTCTCTGGCGAGAATCGGGAACTTTACCCGTCCAAGATAGCAATTTCTTAAGGAAACTCCATCCTTAATCCTTTTTTTTATCCGTGCGTGTGCATCATTAAATGACCGGAGAGAGGACCAGCCCATGAGGGCATTACTTCCCCCCAACCTTAATCCTTAAAATAATTATTTGAGTAGTATAAATATCAAAAATATATTGTTAAGTAAAAATTTGATCACCCTGTATTATGTACATCGGGCATATTTCAGAACTAGTTTACGGTATTTTCAAATATTTACTTTTATTACTAGTATTAAGGGATTTTCTTTCGTTGGTTCTGTACTGATTACTGAATCTCAAAAACACTTCATTATAGTAATAAAACTATTATGTACTTGTCTATTTACTTTTACGAGACAATTACAAATGCAATTATTATAATATAACCATAAAAGATAATTAATTGCAAATGCATGAAGTTTAACTGCTTTTATGTATATGTAATAAGTTTATGATATCTAATTGTGTCATGTGTACAGATATGGTTGAAAGATAAGAAAACCATTATACAGTAATCAGTATTAAAACTATTTTTATTAAAATAAAAATGTAATACTAATTTTGTCAGATTTTAGTTAAGAGTGTACATTTCTTAAAAACTTTAATTGAGCTTTTATTTTTATTGTACAGGCGTTTTGAACGGCATGTTAACGTTAACGTTTTTTGAATAAGAGATTGGTAGAAATATAGTCATTGTCCCTCAGACCTTCTAGCAGGATCTCTGAACATTTTTTTTTTATGAAATAAAACTATCTAGCACACCTATACGTTTTTATTGCAAAATGTTTGACTCTGTGCTTAAAATAACTGCGCAAATTCGAAATATTTAAAAAAAAAAAAAAGAATAACTCATCACAATGTTTTATAATATTTTCGAACAGGAAAAATATAATATATCATGTATGTATGATATACATATATATATATATATATATATATATAATGCCTAGTTGCACGGTAAGTAATAATATGCATATTTGCGAAAAATACCTATGTGTTTAACGTGTTTATTTCGAAATATTATATTTGAATAGATATTTGTTAAAAGGACCTAAGTCACATATTTTAGTTGAATAGTAAATGGTAAAATATTTATTTTATTTTTTACAGTAAACACGTCGTTTTGTGTTATAAAAAACCTTACCACTGTATCATCTGTGTTCGTTTATAATAATTTCGAACCATATAGTCCTAAAGATGAACCGTGCAAGTGCTCCGAAACGTTGGCAGACAAGTCAATCTGTTCAAGTGGGAGTAATCGAAAAATATGTAAATAGTGTAAATTTTGAAGTATTCATAATATGTTAAAAGGTACCCATATCTATGGTATCTTTACACAAACACTTGGTGGTATTAAAAATTGTAAAAAGGATGTCACTATGTCAATGATTATTTTTGGCTATTTATAGAAAAACGATTAACAAAAATTATATGGTTTTTTTTTAAATTTAATTTCAAGTAATGATATTTAAATGAAATTATGATGGTGGATCATCTTTAAACAAAAATTAATTAAGACTAAGAGTGAAATATTTGTTTGTGTCCCCTTGAAAAGTTGCTAAAACAAGTATGTTACTAACAAATACTTATTCATTTAATTTTTGTTGTAAAATATTGTATAGTCCACTTTTCGCCGTCGCGTTGGTCCGTTAATGTCATTGGTCGGACGTCATCATTCCTCGGACGGGCTTGTGCGAAAAAACGAATAATATGTAACATTTATTTTCGAAATAGGCGAGTCTCCGAAATCTACTTGTCTCGTCCGCCTATGCAACGATAACGTATGTGTAAATCCCATGACGATAAAACATTCGATACCGAGTAAGTCGTCCGCACAGATTGTCCGCGTTCGCTTTATACGTGCGACCGACAGTACGGACTTTGGCGCGGTCGTTATAATAATAATAATAATAAGCTGTAGCCTAGTGTGGAAAATATTGACAGCGATCGGAAGGGAAGATAATAATAATATTTTATATTATACACATACAAGCGTGTGTGTGTGTGTGTGTTTGTGTGCACCCATACGGTGACCGTGAGCGTGAAAGGATACAATATCACATAGAATAACATTATCAGACAGTCATTCGGAAGACGCGCGACCGAGCCAGGATCGGTAGTCGGTGCCAGCGTGCGATTATGTACAAACTAGTGTCGGGTATTGTGCTCTTGAACGCAGCTCTCGCTTCGTCGGCGTCCACAAACCAAAACAGTTTCAGCAATGACACTGTCGTCACGGCTTCTACCCTCAACGACCGAGGTAATAAAATACAATATACCTAATACTATGATCCATAATAACGTGTAATGTGTATTATGTTTGTGCCAATTACCTACCCCCCTAGACCGTCGCCGTCGGACGGTCAGTTCAACGGAAAGCCACGAATCAAACACGGGCAGTTGGCTGAGCAGCGGTGTTTGTTTTTTCTCTACAATCGAGTAACAAGTTATTCACCTTGAGTGTACAATGTCTAGGGCCGGGAAAATTCGTCTTTGAATTTGTTGCGTTGAAAACAAATAATTGTAAATCGCCCGTTACGAAATTTGACAGTCTAGCACTGGTTAGGATTTAAATTTTATTTAATGAACAATTAAGATAATTTTGCGGTCTTTTAAACACCGAATAATTATAATGACAACATACGCGAATATTTCATTTAGCGTTAATGAATCGTTGAATATTTGATAAATTTTGTTTTTTTTTATGTTATCTGGCTTAATAAAAAAATCGACCCACATACACCGGCTTATCGCACAATTAAACTGTTACAGTATTTCATAAACAGACTTGGTCGGTACTACTAAGGCTGCACTAAGATGAAACACGCACCCTTTGAATTATGACTTTGTAATCTGAGAGACAAAGCTAATAATAAAAATAAAAATGGTCCGGTGAATTTTTTTAAACAATTTATTTATTTGTACCGGTAGTAATTCAGGAAATATTTCTGAAATCATTTTTTTTTTCGTTTCGTCGTTAATTAAATACCATTTACTAGAGACTAACTAGTCAATTTTTTCGGATTTAAATACATTTCTTTCGGGTTACCCAATTTTGACTCTGATTAAGATTTAAAATCATAATTAATGTAAGCAAAAAAAAATACATTGTCAAAAAGAATTCTTGAAAAGTAAAAAACTAGCTAACACAAAATATATATGCAATCTCCTTTGATATAAGTAATCAAACGACACAATTTAATGTAGGTATGTAGTTTAAACAGTAAATTACTACTTACAAGTCATAACCGCAGAATGCAGTTTAGGTGTGTCTATAAAAACCCAAGAAAAAAGTTTTCCTGCTTTAGGGCCGATCGAATTTTTGCTTTGTACTTTTCGGTTAACGTCCAGGAATAGAATGGCCGGGCTCGTTATTGTTTTTTGTCGCTATAATTTATTTGCTTATCTCTCTGTACAAATGTTAATGGTTTGCACACCAACAACACGTACGTTAATCACTTGTAATTACCTCTGTTTGTAATTTACCTATTGAAGTACTTATAAATGATATGCAAAAGAAAAACTACTTATTACACACATCATCGTAAGGAAAGTCGTTCGAAACACATTCGGTTTCGACTCGAAGAATCGGCACTCGTTTTGGCTTGCCCGTCCTTATAGTGCGGTGAAATAATTGTTATTATCAGCTGTATGTACCTAGTAATTACACGTTGATTATTTTTTGTTTTGTTTTGTTACTTTAAACATCATCATTATAATCAATAGCCAGTGCATTTATAAGTAGGTAGTTGTATACTTTGTTGGGTAAAAATATGGTTCTGGGCGTTGTGGCAGTTCATGAACCAAGTCGTTAAATACAAAAAATTACCAAAATAATAATTGTTATTACAAACGGCCACACGCGTGCCGATCGACTTCGCTTTCGTATTTGTATTTATAATGTTAATATTTGGTTTGTCCAAAAACATTCACCGATCCCAAAAGTGTCCAGTTTATTTCGAAATCTACATATAATCTTTTTTAAACGAAATCTATAGACATGCAATAAAGTAGTACTGGGAATGTAGGCACATAAATTGCAGTATAAACACGGTCAACAGGTTTGGATTCGAATAATCTTCCGAAATCCGAATATAATAGCGATTTAAGATAGACGGTTTATTTTTGGTCTGCCATTTTGGTAAGCGGGAGTTTATTTTCATAATGTAAATAGTCCTACATAATTCATAAACTGTGTTTAAAACAAAAAATGTATACTTTATAATAAATATTCTCACATTTTTCAATTTTTAATAAATGAGCTTTGAAGTTTTTATTTTTCATAAGGTTCCGTTAATTTTTTTATAAAATTACTTATAACTTTTTCAGTTTTTTTCCTGTGCGTGGCATTTTTTAGTACAAGATAATAGATAGAGAGTTTAATTTACACGTTTATTGGTCTGATACTAATTTTTGCCAAAAATTGACTTTAGTCGTTTTAGACCTATGTTATAGCCATTGTTGGCCATTATTTGAATATACTTTTATCTAAATTATGTATAAATAACAAATTGTCTATTATTTATACATATTTTAATTATTTACAAGGACATATTATTTAAATAACAAATTTAATCGTTATTTTTTATTCATTAAATAATTCATTTCTTGTTATTCGTTGAAAACAATTATTTATTATTTACGATAATAGTTCTGTTACGGTTACCACCAGCCATGAACAATACTATTATTACTAATAATATGTCAGGCAAATGCCATCGTTACTGTTCTATTCAAAAAGTCATTTATTAATTCATTGAAATCTACTATTTATTATTTTATTCAAATTTTTCCCAACTCTTAGCGCACCAATATTATAGGTCGATTTGCATTGTTCCAATAAATTGTATGGTTATGGTTCAATGAAGGGCAATATACACTTACTACACAATGCCAACAATGAATGATCACTGGATACACTAATACTAACACTGTTGTACGCACTGTATAATAGCTGAATAGGTACAACGGAATAAAAACCAGTCGACAAAACCTACTCTTATATGAATTGCTCGAAGCAAACAAATAACATTATATTGATTCGAATATTAATGATTTAAAAGATATATGCCTCCCAACAAATCAATAACATGCATTGTGAGCACAGTCAATTAATTATACATATATATATATATATATATATATATATTTAGTACAAAATAAAACAATATATTATTTTGTACTTAAGCAAACGCGAATTTTTATTTTTACGTAGGTTGGTCGTTTTTGCATTTTCAACGCTAATAATAATACTAGGCCACATATAATAATGTAAATTTCAAAATATTTAATTAAATCGTCGATATATTATCATAAAAATTTAATATCTCATCAAGTACATATTTGGTTCCCTGAGGTTAAAATCCTTGAATAATCTGACTTGACATGGCTGGAGATTTGTATATACTGATCTTAACTTACGTAATTTTGTCATGCCGTATGTTATAAAAATAGTAATATATTCGCAGTACACATTTAGCTTATTGTCTTATTAATTATAATTTCTATAATACAGATTAGTATATCATGTGTTTACTGTATTTTCATTTTTTACAAATTCCTCAACCGTCAATCCTTAGCGGCTGTGTTATATCTGTACTCACTTGTCTATTTGAGTTTATCTGGTGGTTAAAAGTATATTTCAGAAATTTAATAAGAGTACTGAAAGTACTGAAGTTAACGTTAAAATCTTCACTGATTAACCAAGGCAGAAAGTGATAGTTATTATTCAAAATACCTGACCCCTCTTCTGTGTATGGCAGAAGTACTAAGTGGAGAAATCTATTACTGATTGTAAATGTTTGTTTGGGGAAATGTATACAACCGTCATTATTGTTGTTAGACTATTTAGTATAGTTTACACTTTACACATAGATGATAGGCCTTATGGCGCTCTTTATATTTATTTTGTTGTTCCACGTGTGTGTTAGCCTAGCTTAGCTATCAAAAATTTGTCGGTAAAGAGTTCGTTGTACAGCTACGCGTATGGTGAGGCATTGTCCGCTGTGGTCACTTAACAGCTGTGGTAACTATACATCCCTAGTACCATTGGACATATTCACATATAACCGAAATGTTTGCTTCCGTTTACCGGTCAAATTCAACTCCGTCAGTCCTACTTCCGTTACCTACTTCCGGTATTTGCACAAATTTACTCCTACCCAAAACATCATACCGCGCGTAAAGATGTTTACACATCAATAACGAAATTTTCCTATCTCATCCATTTGTCTCAGTCATGGAAGATACTTATAATGAGAAATTAAGACGGTAAAATACTTCCTTTACCCAAGTCTGGGACAATTTTCCTGCGCAGTATTATAAAGCAATCATGCCTGTTTATTTATTCATTGGTTTTATATTGTAAAATATGTATGGTAATTGGCAACGATAATTAACAGTTAAGTGTTAACAGTCTAACAGATAAATAACAAGTCTGTGGGTAATAATATACAAATATTGATCGATAGACTAATGTAGATGTGATTCCGAACGCAGCACTTACTATACAATAATAATTTTTGTAGGGTTACTAAAAAAACAAAGGACACGGTTTTATGAGAATGGCTAGTAGCCACTGGGTATTCCGGGATAATTGCATAACGCAAAGTCATGTGACAATGTGCAGCTTGAGTGTTCCTATTATCACGTTTTTAAATAACTCAATTACTTCAAATATAGATATGTGTAGTAAAAAAAAAACCATGAAAACAACAACAACGTAATGAAATCGATTTACCTACGATTGTTGTGTACGGTGGCCACCGTGAACCTTATTCTTATTTTCTTTTTTGGCACTTGCGGAAACTAAATCAGCGGCAAGGTCGCCCTTAGTACGTTATATAAGAGAGACTAATTTCGATTATTCCGTAACAAAAACGATACCCAGAGCACCTTCGCGACAACGAATTATGTATATTCGTGTGTTAATTTTACATATTGTCACTTTGTACTGTTTCCGAAGCGCGTTTCTATAGTTTGATGACAATATATTTTTCGACAAAAATTTACCGGTAATAATTATTATTCGATTCGCCAAAGCACGTCTAAAGTCGGACGACCCGTTTAAACTTTAAACGCACCCGACGGTCGACACCGTAAAACAATAGTATTATCGCGTACAATTATTGTAGACTAAAACTATTATAAGTGCTATTTCGGCTGCAAAGGCTATTAAGTAATTTAGGTACAGCTGTTTTTGTAACGGTGCATTTTATCAGACGATATTACATCTAAATGTGTTTATACCATGTGTTAATACCATTTGGCGTAGAGTAATTTAGAATGCGTTAAAATTATTATATAAGTATTAGCTAGAATGTTAAATTTTTAAATAGTGACTTTCTTTGCAAAACTAACTCCGACTATGTGTAAGCTGATATTATTTTTATAAAGCTACACAGCGAGAAAAATAATATTAATACTTTTTCTAAGTAATAATTTTATTTGTGTTTTCCATTAACATTAAATCGGTATATATTTTATGTTTGTTAAAAAATAATAATGTGGTACCTATTTCATTTTTATGATATTGGTGCCTAACAAAGTTCTAGGCATTTGTCGCTATTATATTTCTTAAATGCAGTTGATTAGTTTTCTATTCTTAACTTTGTCTTACGACTTTATTAGATATTTGTAATAATTGCTATATTGTTGTTTACATATATACCAGCTTTGTTAAGCTTATGTTAATTTGAATTTGAATATAAATACCAATTATCTAAGTTTATATTATTATCTGCTTGGAAAACATTCAGTAATTTTTTTTAAAACCTAATTACATAGACTATTTTCTACTATAGTTGTAGTGGGTTTTGAGAAATGACAGATTAATATTCCTTTATTTGAATCAATTGGTTAAATCCAGTTATTCAAATACATAGCTTGTTTGATGATGATTAACTTTGTACCCCACAACAACATTAATAACCTATTAACCGAGGAATACAAACTGTAACAACCTGTATAAAATCGCATTTTCATTAGCTACCGGGGTGTAAATTATACCATAAATTAATATTAGTATTGTATAATGTAAATACTACAATGATTTATAATATAATATCTAGCTCATAGGCTAAAACTAACTTGCCTCTAATGTCAACAAATTAAAAAATGTCAAATAACACAAAAAAGTTTCATTTTATACAAGTTTTTTAACACGACAATATTGAAGGACGAAATCATACTTATACGAGCAATAAACTATTAAGCCTACCAAAGTATAGACATTTAAAATAAATTAATCCTTTGTAATATAATAATAACTAAATTAATCTAACCGATTAGCTAGAAATTAGAGTATTCTAATAATAAAAATGATTTCACTAAAACATATATGTATTTAAATAATTTGTATTTGTTATTCTAACGCAGCTATAATTGCCATTTTATATTTTATAATTGAATATGACTCGGTTTTACTACTTTATTTATAGGTAATGGAAAACACACCTAGTATCTAATTATAGTCGCTCCGCTTTTTCATTATTTGCGCATATTTATTTTTATGCTACTAAATAGTAAATTTACTTAATATCTTTCATTATGAGATTTTTTTATAATTTTATATTCAAATACTCTATAAAATAAAACGTCGTGGTGTGGCAGAGGGTTACTGCTGCAGTGTTTCTGCGCACTAGCCGTCGTTCGAATCTCGGGCTGGCCGTTTCTCCAGCTGGGCGGGTAACCGTCTGGATAGAGAAAAGGCCACCCGACTGGTGCGGAAGGCAACGGGAAACAACCCCACATAAATCACTTCCCCAGGATAGCAAGAGTCGTTTAAACCGACTACTAACTGGTCATAGACAAAAAAAAAATAAAAATAAAAGACTACTAGTTTTTTGAAAACTAATATGCAATATTTTTTTGTGAGTAGTATTATTAATGTAGTCAATTCCGTTCCTCGCGGTATGCTCTAAGAGAAAAAATATTAATGAGTTTTCAGTTTAATATGCTTTTTACAGAAAATAGAAATTTACAGACAAAGATCAAATAAATGATTGATTTCAAAAAAAATATGAACTACGTCCCAAATCCCAATAATGGTTTTTACATTTTGGGATAACTTAACTACTTAATACAACATAATTGTATTACAATTTAATATTGCCTTCTCGATGTTTTCAATGAGGCTTGTTCGGTATATTTCAAGTGTTAAACTATAATTAACCTATTAATTATGTTTAACAGCTACTATAAATTCATAAACACTTCATATACATACAATAATGTTACAATAATGTTACAATTCAATTACAACTTCACCTCTGTAGGTGTATATCAGTACATCTGTATAATAGTTGTTATTTTTATCAGTAACGTCATTTTATATAGTTAAGATAAAGACTTCTATCGAGATTTTAAAGTTTTATCTTCAAGTTTTCTAAAACTGCTAAAGGATCCAAAATTTAATTTGTGAAAAATAATTCTGTGAAAGTTCGCAATAATACCATTTTTCTACGTAAGACTTAAACTTTAAAAAGAATAAACTTGTTTTTATTTACCACGGCACCTCGACAAAACTACTCGACCAATGCATAACGTATAAAAACAGTCCTTGAATGAATAATTTTCCAATACCTTTAAAATAACTAATCTATAAAATTTAAAAACTTTAACTAGTTCCATTTTTATAATGTTTTTTATATTAAGCAAATGTTATAAATTTTTAAAAAAAATTTTTTTACTATACTTCTTTTTAGACATTTGCTTATTAATATTGGATTTTTCAAAACTTAAAATAACAGAACCTATTGTTTTTCTTATAAATCTGGATTTATATTTTAAAGAGAACCGAATAAATGACAATATTATTTCTTTTTTTATTATATTTTACGAAACTATTAAAAAATAAAATTATTAAGATATGACTTAAAACTAATTAAAAAATTGTTTTAAGAAACTAATGTTATTTTGCATTTTAAACTAGACACGACCTCATACGTAGACAAAATACGTTGATACAGGCTAATTTGTTCCCTCTGTCAAGTTCTTTAATGTGTATAGTTAAACTTAAATTTTGTTATGGGATATGGCTTAAGCAATTATTAGGACAGGTAATACAAATTATATAAAAATATAGATTCCAGTATACTATTTGATACGAGCCCTTAACACATAATAAAAAGAAAAACGCAAATTTATATGTGATTTTTTTTAAGTAATGACAATTACTGTGCGTAAACACATAAAACGCATTTAGTGTCGTAGTTATAATTTTGCTATAGGTCATATAGGTTGAGGGGGTCGGCTTAGAAAATAATATGCTAAGCACCTTCGTCACCCCTGGTTGTTATTTAAATAGTGTACTTATAAAATATAAGAAGTAAATATTTTATTTCTCTTTTATCAATTTTAGAAATGTACGCCTCAATAAAAATACTGTCGTACAACTCTCGGACATTAGAATAATATATTATGATACTAATTTAAAGAGTTCAGAGTGCTTTCTGGTTGCGGCATTCATACGGTCATGGTGAGTCGTGACTTGTATTTAAAACTTGTTTGCGCTCATGATCGTTGCAAAATTGATCGGCAGTGAATTCCATTACGATCAGATTGGAATGTATAATTATAGTTTATGTAGTTCAATACATATTAATACGCAATTATTTATGTGTGTTATGCTAATGCGTGTATACAGTGTACGCCTACTTTAGGTTTGAAATGTTCTGCCTGGTATGATTCCTACACTATTCTTCTCCATTTTTCTCCGTCTTCTCTTGCCTTTTTGTTATACTCAGTTCCTTGCAGATCTCTGAAACAAAGTTTTTCTCATTACATCATAATATATTATAAAAAAAAATGCGAACAGTTAAGAAGCTCTCATCTTCTCTTGCCGAAACTTCATATAATAATCACCAACTTTTGAATTGAATTATTTCAGAAAATTTCGCGATCAGCAATTTTAACAGCAGCAATTTGGTCCAATGCGAAAACGCCAGTCATTCGATCGATGACTTCCCGCCGGACTACTTCACAGATGAACAAAGACGACACGGCGCTGTTCTCGTACACATTTTGGTGGCTTTTTACGGATTCGTTTTCATAGCGTTCGTTTGTAACGATTACTTCTTGCCGTCAGTATTTTGCATATGTTTAGGTAAGCCTATATTACTTAGATATAGTACCATGATAGCGAATCGCCTACTAAAAATATTTAACAGCTTAGGCCTGTTTACAACAACAACAATGATAATAATAATAACAACAATTAAGTTTTAATGTACCAACGACGCATAATAATATAAAAAGTAACAATGTGGCTAGGCCTAGCCCACAGGTACCTACTCTGACAGTGACAAGAAACTCACAAAAAAATTGTGGGTGTTATAGTTTAATGTAATCATAACGTAAATACACCGATGCGATGTTGATATAATGATATAGTGTATTTAATGCGTTTTAAACATACGGATAATAATGAATAATGATACCTACTAATAAAAAATCATTAAGCATATTATCATTTATATGTTATTTTTCGCGTCTATAGTAATTGTTAATATTATATTATTATTTGTTATTACATTATGCGTTCTAAGCAATTTTGAAAAGAAAGTGAAGTTCATACTGCTAGCTACAGCAGTTAAAATAAATGAATTACAATAGCTGCAGTTAAGTATAATTTACTCAACCTGAGCGACATATTTTAATTAGACTTTTTCAGAGGTGTACATAATATATGTATTGTTTTTCTGCGTATCCATTGTCATTTGTCTTGTCCCGCCTAATATGGATTGACCACCATAATTATTGTTATAATATGTTTATAGTTTTTCAGGAAACCGGAAAAAGCTCCGTGTAAGATTTAAATTTTACTTACTAACTACCGAAATATAATATTATTTTTTTACTGTATTTGTACAGTCGTTTTGCACATTTAAAATAAGAAAATTAAAAAAACAATTTTTTTTGTGATTCTCCCTGAAACAAATAAAATTTATCTATTCCCGTTAAGTCCCAGGCAGAGTAAAATGTGAATTATACCCGGAACTTTGTACAGACCCCTGGTATTATTCACATATAATGCATTTATAACTTTTTTCTTCTAATAAATGTATGTTTTTAAATTACGTTTGGAAACATTCAAACGTTTTTTAAACTGGATGTTTATCAGCCATCAGGAGCCGTGGTTTTTAAAGTATCTGAGCGTACGGCAGTACGATAGGCCAAGTTCCAGCAATGTCAGTATATCTTTACACGAACCAATTCACCCAGTTTTTCTAACCCACATATCTCTCTGTTTCCTATTAAGATAAGCTTTTGAAATTTGAAACGTAGATTAAGTTTGCTTAGCTTAGGATACTGTAAAAAATTGAGTCCTTAATAGAAAGCATTTTCAAAAGGGGAGAATTTCATTTTTGTTATTGACTCATCATCAAAATTATAAAACATTTCCCTTATATGTAGAAACGTGAAATTTGGCACAAAAGAAGGTCTTTTAGTGTAACTAAAGAGAAAAATCTAAAAGTTGCAATTTTTGTCAAAATTAATCTCGCTTTAGGGAGTGTAGTTCTAAATGCATGATGCGACGTGCATAAATATTGCTTAATTAGATTAGCACGGGTTTTTATTAATTAACCATAGATTACCGCTCCGTCGAAACTCACATTATCTTTCATTCTCATTCTCTGTAATTGACAGTAAATACTTATCAAACATAATGTTTTCTTGTTTTCAATAATAATTTTATTGTATTTTATTTCATTAATCGGTTATGAAATACGGAATATTTTAATAATCGTAATAATATCATTATTTAATTCAGTCTATATATACTCTATACCCGTGTTATTCTTCGTCGGAGAATTCGTTTGTTCATTCTAAGTATAAAAAAAATAGCAAGTGCCGCTTTTCTAAGAAAAATTGTATTGGAGCAAAATCTTCGTTACGGCCGCGTGAATCAAACGCGCAGGTCTCTGTTCCCAATGTTCAAATGATCCCACCAATGCCTCGTAAAAAATTAACACTATACTGAAGCCAGCAAAAAGGAATGATATCTCCAACAAAAACCTAACAGTGAAAAAAGGCCAAGTTCTCCAGATCCTCTCCCAAAAATGTCAGCCTATCAAAATAGTGATATCTACATTGTATCAAAGGCTCATGAAAGTAGGAATGAAGTGAGGTTATGAACTAAAAAAATAGCAGACTTGGCCACAATGTAGATATTACTATTTTGGTAAGCTGACTTTTTTGGGAGGCAGTCTGGAACTTGGCCCTTTTTCACTGGTAGGTTTTTGTTGGAGATGGATATTTTTTCGACTTGTATTGCGGGTGACTGTGTTGCAGATGGAATGATGTGTACATGACTTATTATTAAAATACAACTAAAGGTTCTTTTATTGATTATAAATTATTATAAATGAATGGCGTTATTATCCCTGTGGATAAGGGAGAAAGAATTCTTCCAAGGGTTTCACAGCTGTCGTAAAAGGCGACTAAAGTGTCGTTGAGGCCGAACGCTAAGTGGCCTTTCTACAGGACCACTTCACTTGACACAGCGCTACTAGTCGGTCCGTGGTCGTAGGGTAGACCTTCGGGGTGAACAACTAATACCAAGGGTACGCTTGAATGGCGTTATGCAGATTTTAGTTTAACTAGTGTGGTATACACTAGTTAAACTAAAATCTCGATTTTTTTTTGTGGGTTGGTTGCTTTCTGCATAACGCTATTCAATTGTAAAGGGTTTTAAGAAAAATTATCTATATATTTTATAAGTAGCGTACATAATATATTAATCGAAGTGTTTTTATCTTGATTATAGATTTAGGTATTTCACCAGACGTGGCCGGAGCGACGTTCATGGCCACGGCCACGTGCGCCCCAGAGCTTTTCGTCAGCGTCATCGGCACGTTCCTGACAGAGTCCGATCTGGGCGTCGGCACGGTCGTGGGAAGCGCGGTGTACAATACGTTGGGCGTTTCGGCGTGCGCCGGACTGGCGGCCAGGAAGGCCATCGAGTTGGAAAAGTGGCCACTAATCCGGGACAGTGGCGTATACGTGGTGTCTGTTATGATTCTGGCCGCCGTCGTCGTAGACGGCGTGATCATGTGGTACGAGGCGTTCCTAATGCTAGTCATGTATTTCGGGTACTTTCTGTTGATGTTCACTCAGGGAAAGCTCAAGACAGCCGCTAAAAAGTTGAAAAACAAAAACTCATTTCGATCCTGTAAGTCTATAACCGTATGGCGATATCTGTGGTAGAATGTCACAACACAAATTTATATGTCACTTTTCCCAATTCTAGGAAGATACAATAACTGAAGTATTTGATTTTAATACTAAAATTGTAAAAAAGTTTTGTTATTATCTATCGATATCAAACATAATATTATATTCTTTATGATACCAGCAATTTCACAAAAACTGAAAAAAATATTATTTTTGGTTAATATATGTATATTGTATAATATGCTGTGAGTAATGGGAGAAAGAGAAATCGAATCAAACTATTTATTTTGACGTATGAGCAAAATTTATTTTTAAATATTAGCTTCCATGTTTATAACTAGAGTTTGATAATAAAAAAACATACCATATTTTGACGCTTTGTAAAATATTGTGTAAAATATTTTTTAAAACACATCAGATAAGTTTTAACTTATAGATACATCGAAATTGGCAAAAAGAGACAATATATCAACTTCTGCCATCCTACCACAGATATACACCACCTTGCATTATATACTTAGCCCAATCACGCATCATACATACCTACACCTACTAACTTTGGTACCTACAGGTGCTGCACCACACCATTTAATAAAATATTAACCTCGGCACATAATGTCGATACTGCACCAGTTTGATTTTGAATGCCATCATTATATTGGTTTTATTTTAAAAATTATAATAATTTTGCATGTTACCTTGATGCTTTTGGTTAATATATATTTTGTTTCTAGGCGTATAATTAAAAAGAATATTACGCCTGGCCAGGCCTCTAAAGACATTAACTATATTATATTATACTTAAGGATTGCAATTATTATTATAGCGGTAATCCTTGAAATATTAGTACCCAAAGTCGAACATATTATTTCATTATTCATTATTGAGATTCAAAATTAGTCTTTATTACAAACATCGTAGTGTTTTCGATATCATAATTTACTCGCATACGGGTTTAAATGCAGACCTTGGTCAAGAAAAATGAGTTAAGTATTCAATACACATGAGTTTATAACAAATTAGGATCTTTATAATGATTAATGACCATTAATCTGCTCCAGTAGTTCATACTTTAATTCTATTACCAAATAAAATTAAAAACAATATAATACTAAATAAATAGGTAAGCAAAGGCAAACAATTTAATTTGAAAAATATGATATATTAAAGCTAAAAAACACTTAATATGAGTTAAAACTTAATGTGTGTCTTATATTAAGAGTAACCAAATAAAAACCAATATATTGCTTACGTGACCTCTACACTATCATCTATAAAGGAGTATTATAAAGGCAATTTTTCAATAAAACAACATTAGATTAAAATTTGTTAACTCATAAATTAACACAGTAATAAAGTATCTACTTTAATATTTTTTTAATTATTAATGCATACAGGCCCTGTTTTGGTATAAAAACATGTTTCTACCTCTAACAGTACTTTTCTAAGAATACTCCGATGTAAGTTTGAAAAAAATATTTTAATTCTTCATAACATTTACAAGGTATATAAATCATGGCACATATAGAGACTCTTTACGTAACACACTAAATATTTAGCTAGGAAAAGTAATATCATCTCGGTTGAGATTATCAGAAAACTTTTATGTGATACGATGAACGAGACTAAATTACGCTCACTAGTTATATTCTTTTCTGGATTAGAGTCCACAACAAATATTATATGTGTTTTAGTGAGGTCGTTATCGAAATCATTTAAAAACTAAATAGGTACATGTGTATATTATACCAAGTAGTATTGTTTTGAATGTAATATACTAAGTATACTTAAATACTTTATCTTAAGAATATTTAAAAAAAATAGCAATAAAGATAACACGGATGACAGTATCATAAACTTTAACGTTTTACTTCATAAACTTTATACTCATTTGTATCTTATCATATCTTGTGGCCTCGTGGAAGTATTTAAACAATAGATTACCAATATTCTCCTGAACTAGAGGTTACACTGAAAGTTCTTGCATCTTTTAAAATGTAATAATGTTTAATGTTTATAACAAAAAAAAAAATACACATTAAAATGATTAACATAACTTAAAGTGTTACATCTCACTTTAAAGTGCATAAAACTGTAATGAGTTTGTTATTAAGTACACATTTAAGAAAATAATATAAGATAATTTTTACAAGACGTGTAAATTCTCAGTGTAATAGTCATAAAATGTAAATCTTACGGAAAAAAAGTTAATCAGTAGGTAATAAATAAATAAAATAATTATTTTATATTATTGATAATTAATAGTTATTTAATTTATTAAAATGTATGAACTTAGATGAACACATCTAAGAGTCCAAACGTCGTATAAAGTAGATCAGTGAATAGAATGCAAAATATTGTAATCTAAGTCTACCAAAATCTGGGAAATGGAAATTTTCGACTTAATACACTTTTGCTCTGAGGTACGGATATATATTTTTAATCTATATGCTATAGAGTATTATTTTTGTGGCTAAGGGTTTATTTAAATATTTTATAATACATAACCACGAGTGTTGCTTAAGTTTTTTCTATATTTGTATTCAAAATAAATGTAATTAGTAATTAACAATAATATACTTATTCGTACTCTAAAATAGTTGGGAATCTTCAAGTATAAGGTTTATTTTATTATTTTTATTCGTCACTTTTTAAGAATCAATAATTTATCTTTATTTTTCATTGATTAGGTAATACAATTAAAATACATTTTGTAAAATAATAATCATATAAATTACTATTCTTATTCATTTTTATTTATTAACAACAAATATTATTCGGATAGCTTAAAAGAATATGTAACTATTAATGTAATTAAATCTAATCAAATCGACTTCACGATCACACGTCATTGACAGGTGTCCAAATTAAATGTTATCGTTCGTTATGCATTGTCTCGTAGTTCTCAAGCATGTTGCCATACCGGAGATAGCATCCTCCTTAATTATTATAATAATAGTGACCTTCATCACGTTTAAATGTATGTTGTAGTTTAGTTTTTAAAGAAACATAAACACCCGTTTATAAAGTAATAATTAATACAATGAAAATTACAATGGGCCTGTAGGTGTTATTAAGTTATAGGACAGTTTTGTTTTTTAAATAACTGGTTTTGTTAATTTTATAACGACGTGTTATTTTTCACTTCCTGATCTTGAAGTTGAAAAATATTTCTTTTTTTTCTATATTTTTTTAAAATTACACTGTTTTTTAGTCGTGATACTTTAATAGGGCGTCGCACCACCTATTTTTAAGGAGTAAAGTATAGGCAATTTTTTTACAAAATCGCTCAATAGGTACATAGTTTAGAAATAACCACTATTTTAATATTTTTAAATGACTGTAACTTTTCAAAAAATGAATTGCCCTCCGGAATATTGTTCTCTTATAATGGGTGCTTTTACTCTAAAACAAAAATTAAGCGAGTTATTTTCAGTTGGCGTAAACATGTTTTTACTACTGAAAATCACCGGTGCGACGCCCTCTTAAGTACACATTTTCGTACATATAGGATTAGTAATTTAGGTACTTAAAATGTACTTATAACAACTGGCTGTGAATCAAATATTCAGAAACATTTATCTTTAAATTAAATAAGTAATATAAATTTTGGAAATAATTTTTGAAGATTTTTAATTAATTATGTATAATTTTTATTTGTATGATAAAAAACTTTTGATGATTTTCCATATTTATACCTTTGGATGCAATTATTTGTATGTATTTATTAATGTTTTATAATAATGTGATCTATAATTAATTTTTAACTACTTAAATAAAAACGTATTGACACATACAGCATTAAAAAAACTGTCGTAAATATATAGGTATGTACCTAAAATATATTAATACCTAAATATATAGGTATTAATATATTAATATATTATATACACTAAATTCAAATATTTTAAACCAACCATAATGAAGAAAAATAGTTAAAAACGTTCTAAATAGACGCTACTATAAAATAAAGTATTATTAATAACATCTATATAACACTATGTAACACTATATGTCTATAAACAACTATGTAAGATACGATACACAAAACAAAAAACATGAAGTTATAAAATAATACAATTTGCTAATAAGCAAATTTTGTAGTGTTTTATGCTAAAAAACGATGTTGAAATGTTGTATAACTTAACTTTTAACATTTTTTGTTGTTGTGATTTGCATACTAAAAATATAGTAAAAAAAGAAAGTATGCATTTTTAAACTTGTATTGAAGTTTTGAATAACATCTTTATTTTATTATTTTTTAAAAAACTGAAACTATATTTAAAAAAGTTAATTTAAACGCGTTTTAAAAGACAATAAAACAAAGTAGGTAATATATATTATGTTTGTACTGAATTAACTTGTTTTGGGGAATGGTAATAAGTGATATTTTCGTTTTCAAGTTAGTTTGCACTTTGTCATTCTACACTAAGAATTTCGTAATGCACATTTGAGATGTTGTACTGCTCACAAAAATAAGGACTACCAAGTAATATCTGTGTGTTTTTTTTCAGTATTTTTTTTTAACGACACATTTAAATATTTAATATTAGTAAAATGACAATAATGTCATTATATAACTTATATGTTGTGTGTACAAATGTACAACAAATGAGTGTGTACAAATTGCGTAATCAATTATTCGCCGTCTATAGTCTAGACGAATTAATAAAACATAAATATATTCTTATGAAATGTTGTAGATTATACATATATCATAGTGCAAAAAAAGATACGGTATTACTGTTACAGTGGTAAAAAGTGAAAACTTGTGAACACATTCATCGACTGCATTACTGTATTGCATGGATTTGACACTGCACGTTAATGTAAATACGGATCGGGTTGGTTGTTTATAAGACTTACGCTTTAAATCACCATTAATATATTTTTATTTAAACATTGACGCAACTAGAGGATTTCTGAGAAAGTTCAGACCTTTTAAAAACTCCGAAAATTCCATCAGAATGCGAGTAAAAATCATAAACCATACTCGGGGGCTATGCCTGAGATGTTTTTGAAGCCTGAACGAGTTTAGAAGGATTCAAACTTTCCTAGTCCCCGTCTAGATGCACCAATGTATTCAAATCAAACAATACTAATTTACTAATCTGTTGCTTTGAAATTATGCACCCTGAGAGCAGTCGAGATAACGTTTTGCGCCGGGGATCATTTACTAGACTTGTTCGTGGTATTTTTTTTTTTCAACAGCAACAAATTCAGTGAAACCACCGGCGTTTGACATTGGGTATGGCGTTTACCGTTCATTTTATTTTACCGAGTATGTTCCACCAGCAAAACCTAACCAAACATCGGTGACTTCAAAAAATGGCAATCCGGCGGACGAAGGAGAGCAAGGTACGACCCGCAATAGTAATCTTCTTCCGTTAAACGAACCGATTATTACGGAATGTTCAACTGTTTGTTTGTTTTATATTTAAGTTTCTCCCATATGGAAAAGACCAAAAGGCAACGCTCTGGCAACCACGTGGTGGTTGTTTTCACTGCCTGTGGCGTTTTTGTTAGGAATGACGATACCAGATTGCCGGACCAAACGGAAAGTCTATCCGTTAACGTTCATAATGTGCATCATATGGATAGGCATTAGCTCGTACCTAGTGTCTTGGATGTTAACTATATGTGGTGAGTGTTGACAAGAGAAATATTGATTTACTATTTAAAATTAATTTAATAGCATAATATCTAATTGATCATTTCCAGGAGATACGTTTCATATTAGCGACATCGTGATGGGCATAGCGGTGTTGGCAGCCGGCGGGAGTATACCCGAAGCCGTATCCAGTGTAATAAATGCACTTAATGGTAATAAAGAAATCAACATTAATGTTCTTTTTCTTCCTCTTCGCATTTTTTAATCGCGCCAAAATGCGTCTATGTCAAAATTGAAATAAATTATACATCCTAATTTTTTATATGTAGGTACTTACATTTGAGTACTAAAAAACTAATGTTTTAATACAAACTTAAAACCAAAACTAATTATCCGAAATCATTTTTCTTAAATAATTCTACTAGGCTTATAGTTTTTAATTTTAGACAGTTAGAAAAATAACTTAAAACATAGAACAATTAAAAGACATTTCACGTTATACCTATAGTTGTTTTAGAAATTTTTTATTTTTCTTAAAGTGATGATTATTAGTTTTAGAGAAAAGGCTACTCATTTATCAATTTATTCTTCAGAAAAGTTTTATGTTGTTATTAGTTAGTTGACGTTTCAAACCTTACATTGAGTATAGTCATGGACCCTGCGATGGGTCCAAAACGTCAATTAACTAATGACAACATGGATAAATCTGAAAATGATTAAATTAACCATTTTGTTTGATAGGAGTTGGATCTATGAGTATCAGCAACGCTCTTGGTGGTAATACATTAGACATTTTGCTATGTCTGGGCCTACCGTGGTACATCAAAACATTGTTGCCAGCATCCATGAATGGTGGACCAGTAAAAATGGAGTCAAGCGATTTGTTTTTCAACTGTATGTGTATGATTGTCAGCGTCGTGGTGTTAAATTTTGCAGCTGCTGCTAACGGATTTAAAATGTATAAAACTTTTGGGATCATATGCCTTGTTGGTCACGTAGTCATCATTACAACGTTTATAATAATTGGGCTAAATTTCGTTAAAGCACCGGTTGAAGGACAATGCTTAAATTGATTGGTCGAATGATGGTGTAATATTTAATTTATATAAATTAAATGTAACATGAAAACATTCAAATGGTTTCTTAAATACATAAAACAACTTAAATGTACTTCATTTCAACTCTTGCTTGCAAGTCAATAGAAATATTAGACAATAGTAAATTTTTATTACATAATATCATAATAATCAGTTAATACATTTCATTAATTTGCTGTGCCAAAATTAAATTTACTATTTAAATTTTATAAGATATTATACGTTTAATACAAATATTAATATTAATTTTTATTATTAAATAGGAGTTTGTTGTTTTAATATTTTTGATAGTAAATAATCTGTTATTTTTAAATGCATTAACTTCGTAACTATTATGCAATGTGTTAAATAGTATTAAGACTGACAAAATCTTAGTTAAAAATATTTTAGATATTATTTTTATGATAACTAGTATTTTAATTAACCTGGATTATAAGTTATAACAATATTTTAAATTATGTTTGTGATTCAGTTTTATGAATTACTATCAAAATTTTTACTTATTTTAAATATTAGTAATATGACGTATCCATAAAATAACAAAAAATGTAATTCATCTTTAAACAAATAATATAATTGCATGTAATAAAATATCAACACGAGTCTGTCATATCAAAAAAAATTGTTCGTGGTCTATCTCTACAGTGGGAAAGCTCTTTGTTAATCCTTGCATACATGCCTTCAATTTTAACCTTTGTTTCTTGGTCTGGTGACATCAGTGTTCCTATTGGATCACTGGCTGGTGCTCTTGTGTAACAGAGTAGTTTTCCACTAAAAAAAGTACAAAAACAAGTATTAGAAACAGTTTTTGGGCTTTCATTCTTATATTTATACTTTCTAACAAATCTAAATTATTATGGAAAGCAAAAAACAAGTTCGAAAAGTAGGGTCAAGGTCGGGGCAAGTCTTTAGGAAGTATTAGAACTGAAAGTGTAAAACAAAAAAATTATGTAGAACTATAGATGGTAAAAATGAATCAAAATAAATTAGAGAAATCATATTAAAAAAAATCGACAAAACATAAACGCCAGAAAACACCACAATGAAGTGATCAAAATTAGCACTTTTATTGAGACCCGTGTAGACATACAACATAAGTATTTCATATAACATTTATAACTAGAAAACAAATTATTTTTGTCCAAACATCTTGATCAGCCAATCGAATTGTGCAACTCATTCGATTATATTTATAAATTAATTTAAATGAAGAATTTCATAAAGAACATTTTCAAAATAAAACTTACTCTTTAAGATCTTTCATGAAAGTTTTAGCAGCATTCTGTTGATCAGGTTTACCATGTCTATTAATTAAACTATTTCGTTTTGCCTTGACTTTAAGTACCTCAGTATAATCTTGAGTATTTTCCACGTTTATATCATACATTAATTTCAACTATAAAATTATATATATATAAGTATTAGTTCAAAAATTTATAATTTTATGTTACTTTATAATCAAACCTGATTTTTATTTATGTATGGCAGTATAAGAGCGCATATTTTGGTAGGTACTACATTTTGTAACTCAACATCCAAAGCATGTTTCAATAATAAACGGCCATCGCCAGGTTTATCCAACACTGTTTTTGCACCAATACAACTCCAGGGAAGTAGCTCAATTTTGGCATCACTGAATGGATACACGCCTACTTCCCTAAAATGATTAATAGTAAGTATATTAACTAATACATTGTATATATTTATTAAGTTATTACTGAGTTTTTTTTGAGGGCACAGGCTCATCGCCACTGGTATATTTCCACTTGAGAGTATCTACAACACAAGACTTTCCTACTTTAGGCATGCCAACAACTCCCACTGTTATCCCCAAGATTGGCGCGTTGACAGCGTTAAGTAAATAGTTCCAAACAATGGTTTCTCCAAAACATTTATTAGCTTCTTTCTTTTTGATTCTGGCTAAGAAATTTGGATCTTTAGCGCTGGTCTTGGGTGTATTTCTTACTTCTCGACTAGCTCTGAATGGAATCGTTGGGGCTATTTTACTAAAATAATCTACCCAACCGGATACCACTGATTTTGGAACTAAATCAATTTTGTTTAACAAAATAATTCGTTTTTTATCGGGATTTTCTGCAAAGCATTCTTCAATTTCTTTTGAGCGAGTTGCTAATGGATCCCTAATGTCTAGTACTTCTAAAACTACATCACACATTGAAATTATCTAGAACATTTAAGAAATACAATCATAAAAAGTCAAATGTGCTACCTAAATATTAAATAAATAATAGTAAATTTACTCTATTGTAATCTTTATTAGCATATCTATCTTCTCTAGTTTCTTTCTCGAGCCACTTTTGCCTAAATGGTAAAGCTGATGTTTTCTTCTTTTCATTTTGTGGTATACTGTCCATGGCAGCAAAATTCGCCATTCTTATTTCTCTTTCTTTTCTTTTTGTTTCATTAAGTTGCTCAATTATTTCTTCTTTGAATGGACACATATTTGGAGCAATAATCATACTATTTTTTGTTTCTGAAAAAATTGCCAATAGTAAAATACATTTAAATGCTATACAAAAAAAAAAACTTAAGTTTAAATCAAGAAAAAATATTTTATAAATTGTACTATTAATAGATATCCACTTTTTACAAACACAAGAACATTTCAGTTGCCTAACAAAAAAAATACACTTCAGTTTAAAAAAAAAACATAAGGCATTAGTGTTATTTTTTATTTGGCAGTAAGTAAAACATTTCAGTTTTTGAGCGTCTATATAATGGTTATAGCAAAATTCAAGTATTTAACCATTGTTATGTAAAATTGAAATACATAAATGTTATTGGATTTTTTTCTGTTAATTTGAATTTGACCTTACATTTTCTGTAATACTCAAATTTGCTTTTATAATTAGCCTCTTTTGTTTCAAACAGAATTTTCTAATAATTTTTTTTCTTTTAATAAAAAAACTTAATTTATACATTTATTTAAAACCACCAGTTCTGAATTCATTCAAAACAAATAGAATAAGAAAACCTCTATTTGAAATATATTTAAAAAATAATAATTTATATATACAGAAAATACTACAAAACAATGTTTTTTAATACTTAAAAGGCGATTTAAAAAATAACTAGACACATCAGAAAACGTCTACCAAAAAGTCAATTTCAGTAAAATATATAATAATATGCTGTTTAGTTTATATAAAAATTTATGATCTTTGAATTTTTTCAAACTATTTATAAACCATTAAACCATATGAATGTTGTAGTATTTTTATGCTTTGAAATATTAATTTGATAATTTTTGGATACATTGATTCCCACTACGAGTATCGACGTAACTCGGTGGTGGTTTTTGTGGTGATGCAAGTGAGGCAGTGCCAAAAATAATTTTGTTTATTTTATAATGATACTATTTTAAGTTTTGTTCATACATTTTAATTTATAATATTTAAAATAGCCTGAACAAGATCCTAGAATGGCTGCACTTGCACAGGGTACTGTTGATGCCTGATAGACGGCCGTCGCTCGTCTGCCATCATATGGCCATAATTTGTTATTTAATAAAATTTACAGATTTTGTTATAAAAGGTTTATGTCAAAGATTATAATTTATTTGTTTTACATAAAATAAAATTACTAAAATTGTCAGAATTAATAATTTTTCAAGGATTAAAAAAAAGAAAATAATGTGTTTTCCTTGTATTTTTAAAAGTAAGTACCATATTTCATTTGATGAATATACCATTTTGTTAAGTATAAAAACGTAAATAAGCAAAAAAAAAATCCAATTTTTTTACCTATTAAAAAATAAAAACAATAGATGTATTTTAAGTTACAATCGTGTTTTTAGCATTAAAATATTTTGAAAAAAAAAAATAAAATTGAATAAAATTAATTAGGCTATAAATTGGATTTGTTTTATATCGATTGAGACATAAGAGCATACAGGTTTTATTTCATCATCAGAATCTTATATAAAAATGTAGCCAAATATCGGAGCTGAACGAATAGGGAGGCGTTACATCCCCTCCATAATCTTTCAAAATTTTAATTTTAATTGTCGTTTACAATTCATAACAAGGTTAATAATAACATATATTTTACTCTGCAACATCTATGATTTTGATACAAAATATGATTTTTTGTTTTAAGAATAAAGAAGTTACAGTTGCTCAGAAAACATGCTTTATTTTATGACCCTTATATATTATTACTATCAGCAGCATTTTAATTTACAGTAATATCTAGGTAAATAAGGATGAGGAAATGTTAATTATCTGTGGAATAATAAAAGTACCTAATAGTTTACATATTATGTAAGCTATGTGTAAGAATAAACTAGTGGACAATTACTCTTTTTTGGATTTTTCTTTTCCTCTCGCCTCTTTTTTCGATTGTGCTCGCGTACTTTTTTTGCTACCTTGTATTTGGTACGACATAACAACCTCTTCGACTGTTTCCCTGTAAAACGTAAAGCCGTTCATTCATTAAATGTTTTCAAAATTAAAATAATATTAAACAATATGAATGACGGTCACTTACTTTTTTTTGGTAAAGCCATCGTTGTTCCCGAATGTAAGATTAATACGTGTTAGCAATTAGTGTAATTTATTATTGTTAAATTAAAATAACTAACGAATACTACAACATAATATTTTAATGATTGCAACTTAATATGAAAACAAACAGAGCCAAGTACATGCAAATTTAAATGTGATTTGAAATTATAACCTCAAAAATTAAGGTGCTGGCAATCTAATCAAAAATTCTTAAGCTTTGTCAGGGTGATTGGAGTCTGATAAACAAAAATCCCTTTAGAGTCCAGACTAGCATCTCGTTATCTGTTCAATGCGGCCGTACTGTAAAACTTACAACAGCTGTTTAATGTAAACAAAAGGTCCGGAACGCGATTGGAGGACGTCGGTCATATGATTTAGACCCTTCTACTTTTTTGTTCGTTCGGTCTCACTCGCTCCCACGTTACAATACTTTGTATATCTGTATAGAAATATATATATATATATATATATTGTATGGATATATATTTATATACAAACGTGTGTATATACTATATTTCTAATACGCTGGCACGGAGAAAATACAAAATTGTTTTTTTTATTTATACTTGAGAACGTGTGCACCTACGTCGGCCATATTGTTGCCATTAGTCCCGTTTTTGGATTAATTATTTCAGGTACGGCTTAAAAATTAACGTTTACACAGAAACCCTTTAATAACTGCACTAGACCTAAAACGTAGGTGAGAAATGCAATAACAGCGAGCGTGCGGCCCTCCCGAACTACGCCATAACGATATCCACTGTTTACTTCTTCGTTATCCACTTTCAGCTTTTGTATCTATACCACGGCTCGTCCGTGATCAACAGGATTTACAGACATAATATTTCGTTCGAACGTTTTGTTGGAATTTTCGGCGGATAAAAAAACGGTTCATCACCAATTCTCGGTGCTCATACCCATCATGTTTGTTAGGTTATGTTTGCTTTGTTGTCACTATTTTGAATGTTCAGTGTATAGTAATTGTGGATTATTGTATTTCGATAGATTTCCTTAAAGTTCGTCATCGATTCTCTAACATCGTGCTGTTATTATAGTAAATTGTTACTAAAAGTCTACCACTTTCATTAATCGCTTATTGCATTTGTGGATCTTTAATTTAGGTACTCTATCCCCATTGCTATTTCGCGCTTTTTAATTTTTTATCCTTACTTTTTTATTCTATCCACTACTGTTAAATTGTTACTGTTACACGATCAACAGGTTTAAAATTACATTTAATTAATCTTAAACAACAATTTTCTTGGCTTGTTTCAGCTATACGCGTTCATACTACTTTAAAAGGGTGAAATCATGACGGATTCCATAAAGTTTGGGCCAGAATGGTAAGTACGCTTGCATCTCATTCCTTTATTGAATTGAAATTTTGTTAACACAAATCTCAGTTCTTTATCAAATCTGTTGGAAGTTAGTTTTTGATTTTTTACTTTCGATAAATTTTTAATGTGATGTTTATTTAAACAATTCAGGTTAGTTTATTCAAAGTTTTCTAAGCTATTATGTATTTTGTGAGTGTTTTGAAAAGTAATAGTTATACCTTTTGCTGTTTATTGTTAATTGTGAAATGTAGGATCATTTAATTGAACCTATAAATAAGTTACAAGTAAAGAAAAAAAAAATTATAAACCAAAATTATAACTTTTTTGTTAGAGATTTAAAATTATGGTTATACATTTATTATGACTGATATACCTAAATTTTCATCGATTGAGCAATCAATTGATTATTAAATGTAATTGCTTTTAAATTTTAAGTACATTTTTAACAACATATTACCTCTTATAAGTAGTTAAACTGTATCAAATTATATGTGTAAATGTATTTTTTATTTATAAAAATAAAACGTTAAGATATTATATATTTAAATTTATATCTTGTGATTACAGGTTAAGAAATATGTCTCAGGGCATATCTAAGCCTCAGCTTGCGGAACATCGCTATGGTAGAGAAGAGATGTTGGCTTTGTTTGATATTTCATCATGTAATGTTCCACCAGAATCGCTTAAGGAATTGTCTATGGTTTATAGTGAAAAACCTCAAACACCATTATCTTTACAGCAAATGTCTGAAGAAGAAACTGTAAGAATTTGAAATTATTTTTATATGTTGACATAGATTTAATTCAATGCTTTCTGGTGATTGCAGAGACTTTGGAATCGAGGCATAAACAGTGATACTATCGTCAGAGCATCTGTGCGAACACCTGGTGGTAGAGGTACTGCTATTGAAGTACGGGGGGGCAGTACGAGTGCTAGAGGGAGAGGAGGGCGTGGTGGTTATTATTATAATACTACACGGCCTGGCTATGAAGAAGGTCCAGAAGGTGGAGGTTCACCAATGAATCGAGGTCCACATCGACCATTTGAGCGCCTGAACTCTGTAAGTTATTTATAAACGATTTCATTTTTATGAAGTATGTAGTTTTAATGAAAAAGTAAATTACTTCAATCTGCTTTTTCATTACAGAATGAAAGAAGCATGAATCGTAACGGTGAGTACACCAATGATTGGAGAGGAAGGGACGAATCTAATAATTGGTGGAGAAAAAATAGAGGTGGAATACATCAAGGTCAGTCTGAAGAACCTAATGGACGTTGGGGACGTACTCGCACAGATTCCTATAACAATGACAAGTGGCCCGCTGGGCGGCCAACATCAAAATATGATGAAGACGAAGGATGGGATCGTGGAGAAACAAGATGGTCAAATAATACTAACACTAATGAAAGACGGAAACTTGATTGGGGAGAAACTTTGCCCGAATGGTAATTATTTTGCCATTTAATTTTTGTTAAAAACCCATATTTAATAACAAATTCTGTTGATTAGGGCTGTTGACAATCCTGGTGAAAAAGGAGGAAGTTTTGATTCATCTGGTGCTTTTCATGACAACCATTTTGAAGAAGATCATCATTATGATGTAGAAGAACAATCTCGTAATGTAAGAATTTTAAAGAAAACAATTTTAATTATCTACTACATTTTTTAAGTTTATATATATTATAAAAGGATCATGAATATGAAGAAAACAATGATGTTAATGTTAACAATAAAGAAAGCTCTACAATTTCTCCCATTAAACAGTTAAATGGCCAAGAAAAAGAAGGTATAATGTTTGGGTTTTTATTACAATGATCTTAACTAAATTGTTATTTTTAATATTCAGAAATAGCATCAACTTCAATGTCTACTTCACCATCACAAACCGAAGAAGTACCATCCTCGCCAGAGCGTTTTAAAACTATAAGACAACAGCACCAAAACAATATAAATTCTCATACTGTAAAAGAATCTTTAATACAAAATGAGCACAACAGATTAAATCATCCTGAATCTGTACAAATTCATCATGTTCAACAGGATAATCCTGTAATTCATAGTAAGAGTAGTCCAGCAGTACCATTGATGTCTGATTGTCAGCCAAATAAAATGGATAACATAAATAATGTTAGAGATATGTCTATCATTAATAGTCATTTGGATAATTCAAATATCAATCCCATTCATCGATCCACAAGTATGAATACATTTTTATTAGTGAGATAATCGCTTTTATTTAGGTGTAGAATAATTGTGAATAGCTATATACTTTTTTGAATATCCTATTTTTGTTTGTAGAAGTTGTAAGTTCTAACAGAACATATTGTATGTATAATATATGAGAGGTCTGTCCTGATTTAAATAAATGGTACCAGAACGGTCCATACCATTAAAAAATACTCTATATACAGACTGGACGGACTCGTAAAATATTATTGTGTAATTTGAACCAACCAAGCCCAAACTAAAATTAGGCTATTGAAACCTAGACCAATTTTTGTCCTATTTTAAACGTTTTATTAAGAAGCCCAGCCCGGACTGGACAATACTAAATTGACAAAATATTGAGAAAGTGTATTTTTAGGAAGTGGTGGTGCATTTAAATCTGTTTTCACAAAATAAATTCATTTTGCAGAATTAGATTTAAATCAAGACGTTAGAATAAAAAAAAATTAAATTATTTAATTTAATTAAAAAAAAACATTTGCAGTTGTAGCTAGATAACTTGGGACCAGCGGTGGTGCGAAAACACTAAGCCAGAGGTTCTCTGTATCCTGTGGATTTTTTTTTATGTCTTATGCCTTGTAGAAGCATAGTTAATAGTTTTATTTTTATTTATATTTTATAATAGTATTAACAATAATATGATAATAATAAAGAACTGTTGCAGCCGAACCATGAGCGTCTTAGCAGACGGATGGTTGAGCAAAAAAACTAGTTTATGATACACTTACTGATAAACGCCGCCACCACCGCTGTGCCAATATATCTGGCAACAACTGTACAATCCTGGAAATATTTTAATAATTCCTATTATAATTTAATTATCTGTGATTATTTTAGGTTTAAATACTAATGCTAACCATCGAATAGATACTATGGATGCTGAAGCAGAATCTATGGTATCTAGATTAACCAGTGACAACTTCAAAATTGGAACCTCAACACATCAAACGAGTAACAAATGGTTCTATAGAGATCCCCAAGGAGATGTTCAGGGTTGGTGATAAAATACTTTAAATATTAAATTTATGTAAAAAATAATTAATTCAATTTTATAGGTCCGTTTTTGACATCTGAAATGACTGAATGGTACAGCTTAGGATACTTCCACGATAATATGTTAATGGTAAAGAGGTCATGTGATGAACATTTTTACTCTTTGGGCGATCTTGTAAGACTTAAAGGAAATCTACCATTTTCTGATACGCCATTTACGGTACTTAATTATATTTTTAGATTTAACCCAAGTGAGTAATTGAAGTGTTACATTTTTTCTTTAGGAACATGATGTAAAAATGAGTGCTCGAATAGGAGTACAACAACCACCTCAACATAATCCATTTACAATGAATGATTCTATGGTTCTTCAACAACAACAGCACCAACATTACCAATACAGACAGTTGTATTTAAAGTAACTTCTTACTATATTGTTGAAAGTTGTTTTATTATATTAATAAACATAAATGTATTTATTAGACAAAGAGAAATAGCTATACAAAATGCAGTTCACCAATTATCTCAATCTGAAAGATGGAATACTTTATCACCTATTGAACAACAACAGGTATTGAACGAGTTTTACCTAATAAGGCATTTTGCATCAATTATTTTTTTTGTTTATATCTAGTTGATTATGCATCACATCCGTAATGTTGAAGCAAACACAACCATTCCTCCAATTTATGCCGCACCTATTCTTCCTCAACCTCAACCCACTTTACACCCTTTGAATCCACCTACTAATAATAATATTATGGTAATGTTATCACAAATGCAACAACAACAGCAGCAGCAACACCAACATTTTAATCATGTAAGTTTAAATTAAATAAGACATTTTGTAAATAAAACACTTACCAACATAATATGTTTATAGCAGATTGACCCGAAACATAATGTTCATGGTATTCCACCTTCTCAACCTATCAACCAGCAACTGGATCCATTGCACTCGTTAGTACAAAGTATGGGTGGCTTAAAAACATCTACTCCGCCACCAGTAAATATTCCTCTCCATCATCAAAGTTCAAATGTTATTCGACCAAATAGTACACAATCAGAAAGCAATCCTATTTCAGATTTATTAAGACAATTAGGTGCACCTCAAGATAAACCTCTTAAGGTAATAATGAAATTTATATAAGATAACCTGTGTTAGATAAATACTTAGCAGTTACTAGGTAAAGTTATTAGAATTTCAAAATAAAAACTGAAGATGAGATGTAATGTAATGTTATTTATATCTACATGCACCACTCATCCACACTGCCTTCCTCGCCTAAACTAAAAATGCTAAACTTAAAAATAATTTATTCAAAAATGAATATCGACTGTTCATTAATTTAATTTTAGGTATTATTTTGCTTTTAATAGATGATTCAAGTATATGTGTTGCTATGTTTTAACTTTTAATAATTACCCTTTAAGAAAATATTTGCTTACTTATTTTTACTTATTTTTTACTCAATTTTTTATAAGTCAATATAATAAGGATTTTATTATAAACTTCAACATAATTATTTAGTTGAAAAATTCATTATAACATAATATTTTAATTTGAATAACTTTTTTTTTTTTTATAAATTGCTTCTTAAGTATTAAAAAAATAAGAATCATGATATTTTCTATAAGCTGTGATAGAAATACATAGATATGTATTTGTACTGATATAGTTAATAATTCCATACATTTTTAGTATAGTAACAGTATAACATATTTACTGTCTCTTTTGTAGTTCAAATCATAATGATCTGCACAAAAGTTGATAAGAATAGTTTCAGCGAGTAAAATCATATTGTCAATGTATCTTGCTGCTTGTTGCAAAACTTAATTTAAAAATAACTTTTTATAAGTAATAAGGATTATATGCTACAATATTAGGTCGCCGAAACAAGTGTATGGGGCATAGAGTTTCCTGGTTCTGATAAACAAAAAATAAATGGTCCAGTTGGAATTGGTGGCTGGCAGTCGGTTCCTTCAGCTGAACAATCTCATCAAACACCTGGAGTTTTATGGGGATCTGGGGAATATACAAAGATTATTGGTGCTGATCATCAAGCTATTGTTCGTAAATATATATATTTTTTAAATAAAATTAAAAATTAAAAAAAATGTTCTATTACAGGAAGAGGCTATAAAAGAGGAAGCAAGACGAAGTGATGAAGCAAGAAAAAAAGAAATAATGTACTTCAATTTTATTATAGTTTTTTAGAAAGAAAATGTAGTAATAATTGGTATACTTGTAGGAAACAAAATGAACAGTTAAGAAAACGAGAAGAAATGATGGAGAAAGAATTGAAAAAAAAACACGAATTTGAAAAGGCTAAATTAGAAGAGGAAAAGAAAAAAGTAAATGAATATGCTCAATTTCTATAACTTTGTCATTATAAACTCTTATATAATTTAAGGAAGAAGCACGTAAACATAAAGAACACGAGAAAAAAATAAGAGAAGAAGCAGAAAAGAAAAAATTAGAAAAAAAGAGGCTTGAAGAAGAACAAGCAAAAAGACGTGACCATGAAAAAAAAATTAAAGAGGAGAAAGAAAGAAGACTGTTGGAAGAGAAAAAGAAAGAAGAAGAAAAACGAATTCATGAAGAAGAGAAAAAAAAGTAAGTAGAGTAATGTGTTTTTTAATTTGATAAAATATCTTTATCTTAGTAATTCAGTACATTGCATTACAAAAGTTATATGTATAATTTTACACTAGTCGAGATGGTAATGAATAAGAGGTATAGGTAGATATAAGAAGTCGATGGATATGATAAATGAAGACAGAGGTATGTGGAGTAACTAAACAATTAGAGATTTGTAGAGAGAGCGGATTTGGCTGGCTAACTCCATTTATATGGGTTAATGCTAGTTTTTTTACACTATTTATACTACAAATATGTATACTAATAATATTTAATTAAACTAATTTGGATACATTGGTTTTAACAGAAGAGCTGAGATAAAAAAGAAAGAAGAACAGAGAAAAAAGGAGGAACAAAAAAAGAAAGAGGAACAAAAACGTAAAGATGAAACTAAAAAACAAGATCAGAAAAAAAAAGATGATGATCAAAAGAAAAAGCAAGATTCCTCTAAACCAAATCATTCAGTTCCTATTGTGACAGAGCCACAAAAAGTTAGTTTTAGTGGTTAATTTTATTGATTTATACTTAAATTACTTAAATTTGAAAGTTACTGATATTTCTTATTATCGTATATTATATAATAGAAAAAGAAAAAAGATCCTCAGACTGTTGCACATAATGGTGTAGAAACTGCTTCTGCGCCGTGGGCTGCAGCTGATCAAAAGAAAGCAGTGCAGGTCAAGTCAATGGCTGAGATCCAAGCAGAAGAACAGAAACGTGAACAACTGATGAAACAAAAAGAACGTGAACGAACAGAACGCGAGATGTCTCTAATAGCTATGGAACAGGCCAAACAGGAAAAAGCCAGAGCTAATGTCAAAATGCAATCATGGTCAACTGTGATAGCTAAAAATGTTCCACAACCCCAGTCTGCGAGTAACAATTCTGTATGGGGGCCAGCTACCCAATCTAGTATGTTTTATTGTATTTTTTTTTATTGTTACACATTTTAATGACACTAACTGTTCTATAGATAACGACAAACAGCCACTTACTCCAAAGCCTAGTAAAGTATCAGCTACCACTAATAACAATAAAAGTAATCTCAAAAGCAATGTAAAAACAGCCAGTCAAGTTGCTCAGAACAGTGTGATGAAAAAAGCAATAGAAAATCGTGGGGAAAATAATAACTGTAATGATGAATTTAGTCAGTGGTGCTGTAAACATCTTGCAACTATTAACAAAAACACTATTGATAGTAATTATTTTCACTTATTTTTTACAAAAATGTATTTTAATTATGTAATGATATGAAATGTTGTTAATTTTCAGTTCCTACATTTGTTACATTCTTAAAGGATGTTGAGTCTGAATATGAAGTAAAAGACTACATTCAGAGTTATCTGGGTGACAATAAAGAAGTTCGAGAATTTGTTAAACAATTTTTTGATAAAAGATTAAAGATTCAAAACAAACAAAAAGGTTCTGATTTTGTTGAAATGAAGGTATGTTATTTTAATTATATCCAATAATAATTTTGTTAGCAGAAGATATTGGTTTGATATTGACATGTGTGTTTTTGAAGTTCTAACTTTTATTTTTTTTTTTTGATCTTGCTCAAATTGATTAAAAAATTGCATTAGGTTATTTAAGAGGTTACTTAAGTATATTTATAGTCGAAAAAGTACTATAGTTGTTTTCAATAATATACTTAATATTTTGTATTAGACATTTATTTAGCATGTCCCTATCTAATCATAGTTCGACATCCAAAAATGTATTTAAATCGTTTCTGTAAAAGTTTAGGACTTTAATACACATTATTAACAATAACAGTAGTTAAGAAGTTAAATCATTGTCAAACATCTTGTTATATTAAGAAGTTTTCTTAATATCAGTCATGGTTAAAATATACGGGTTATTGCACATTGTCTCGAATTGTTATCTTCAGAAATAAAATGACAGTTTAACAGGATATTAATTTTACTGTTTACTTCACTATCACTATATATATATATATATATTACTGTGTACTTTAGGGTGGTTCTTATTTGCACGACTTCCGAATTTCAATTGTGTGCTGCCCCCCCATTCGACTAAAAAAAATATTGTATATGTTTTTATTGCTTCAGAACCATTGCATTTAATTTAATATGCATCATTTATACTTTTTTTTCAGAGTAAAAACAAAAAAAGAAATAAAATGGTCCCTCTAGATAATAAAGTTCTTGGTTTCAATGTGGTCGCTTCGGAACGCATCAATGTCGGAGAACTAGACCTTGGTGAATAGGGGTGATCACTTAAGTGATGACATACCAACAAGTTGTTTTGTTCGTCATCTTGGTTGTTTTTTAGGAACGATTTAGGTCTTTGCGAATTTAAAGAAACAATTTTTAATTGAGTATTAAATATGTCCATGTTTCTCGTTGAAATTTTTTTTTTATTGATAAATATATATATTTAATTAAATAAATTTCTTTTTATGATCATTTTTTTTTTTGTAAATAGTAAATAATTAATAATATTACTCTTGTTAAATTTCTAGATGAATGTTGTCGTATTTTTTGTACAGGTTATTGCACATAGGTGTTAATATTGATAATTACATTGACTGTACAAATGATTTCCCTACCCCATTTCCAAATCGCCTTAAATTATTAATTATTATATTGTATATAAAGTATAATTACAATAATAATTATAATTGAATTGCATATATAATGCATATGAGCATTTATATGTTATATAATTACAAATAAATTAAATTTTTTATAATAAAAAAATTGTATGTATGATTATTATTATACACACCAAGAAAGAATACCTAAAATGTATTTTGTAACTGAATCAGCCATTAAAAAAATTATTTTATCGCCAATGTGAACTAAATTGATTTCATATTTAAGAGGACTATTTTCTCTTGTTAAAAATGTTACAGGTGGGTTTAAGAGAAAAAAACACTTACAAATAAAGAGAAAAATGGCTCCTATTGAGCTATTAGTTTAATTAATAATGTTAAATTTATATATGGAAAATATGTTTTTTTTTTGGAGGCCATTAATAAAGCCATTAAAATGAGGCCATTTAAAGGCTTGGCAGGAGTTATAGGCCCGAATTTATATTCCAGCTTTTGTTATAATAGGACTACGGGTATGAATAAAACTAACCACTGCAACAGAAAGTGCAATACACTTCCGGGATTTGTAACCTTGATAAGAGTATTATCAAAGTTTAGAAATTGCACCTAATCTTTAAAGTTTATAAGTATTTTATACAGTATTAAAGGCGATTTTACTAAAATAATTCGAAATTTATAAAAAAAAAATAATATTAAATTATTGTTTGAGTGGCTTACCTCAATAGACTAACGACTAGAAAACTATTTTAATCACTAGATATAACTAGGATTATTTAATGTTCCGTTATAATTTTAACAATCATATAATCATACAACAAATAATTTAATGATGCCTATTCAAGTAATAGAGCATTTAAATGAAAGGCAAGCCTTCACACTCAACCGACACTAGATCCCCACAATATTTTTTAATTAAACTGACAAAATAGTTATTATGTTTTAGTTATATAAAGGACTATACCTACAGTTATGCCTTCTTTAAAATGTTTTAGGTATTTGCGCCACTGTATTTACTATTTTAAAACTATTATAAAATTAATAATTAAATTTTTTAGACTTTCATTTATAAGAAAAGAAAAACCCAAATGCGAGGAGATTTGAAATGCTGGCATTTTTTTTTTATAAATAGGTATATATATAAAATAGTGGTTCTAGCTTGGCCAATTGCCAAGTATAGTTTTCTAATTTATTTGTAGCAAGGTAATCAAATAGTTAAAATTTAATATGAATTTATTTATAGTTAATGATTAATGACATAATGAAGTCGATTGTTAATAAACCTTAGATCGAGTTAAATTTAAAATATAAAAAAAAAAAATTAGGCATACACATATATATTAGTTATTGTGGTTCAATAAGGGATCAGACAGGCTAAAGGGACAAAGCATGGTCGATTGGAAATTTGGCACCACTGTGCCACCCCCCAGCTGTTATTTTAAATTACATTTACACTGCGATCCATAGAACGGCACAAAGTTCATAATGTTGTTCATTTGTCCCTTAACCATTTTAGCGGCATTTAGTCTTCAGTGAAATTTTAAGATGATTGCTTCAAAAGGATTGCAGCTGGTTAGAAATTTTTCAGCAACAGCAGCACGAAACAGTCATGCATATGGCGGACCTGGATCAAATTTGCCATTCGATGTTTACAGCAAGTATAAGTTTACTGCTCTTCTAGCTCTATTTTTTAGTTCAGGGTTTGGACTTCCATTTTTAATGGTGAGGTTCATCAAACGAAGAGGCATGTAATGCAATACTTTCAACAAATCATAATTACGTAGCACACTTAAAAATTTATTTGTAAATAATATTGCTCAACATTTTTAATTTTGAACCTGTTTGTTATGAAATAAAATATTATTTATTAATACCTACATTTATTATTTTAAAGATGTTACTATTTATTTGTGTACTCTTAAACAAATTCAAACTAAAATCATTATTATTATTTGGTAAAAAAATGTTGCAACATGTGATATTGAATAAATATGCTTGAGAAAACTTTTTTTTATTATAAATGAATAAAATTATTGGTGATATTTACTTATGATATTTTTAAATTAGTTATCAATTATAACAAAATTAGAAAAATATGGTGTCCTAAGTCCTTCCTCTTAAAGTTAAACAAAGAAGCGAAAAATTAAAAACTTCAAGTAAAATAGTGCAAAATAAAAAAATTAATTATATTTATCATTAACGTTTTAACAAGTATATTTGTTATCAAAACTTGATATTTGTTAGTAGCAATGTGTACAGATGATAATGTATTAAAATTATAAATTGTAACTATTTAATATTATGATAGTAATTTTCAAAGCTAATTTTATAAAACACCTATAATCAAGCTTAAATTATATAAGGAGTCAATAGAATGTGAAATGTTAAATGAACAAACCTAGAGCAAGAATAAGCATTTAATTATAAAATGGATTGTATGTTATCCAGTGGGCTCGTGTTTGGTTCTTATCGTCTTCATGACTTGTAAACAAAGATTTAAATACATTAGTTGCAGATTCGTCCTTGGCAATACTGTGGGTGATTTTTGCTTTTTTGTAAATGGGATCTTCAAGTTTTCGGCAGTTGGTGACTACATTTGACGTACTTGTTCCTGCTGCACTAGCGGTCCCTAAAAAAACCAAATTTTTTTTTTAGTTATTTAGACTGATAAATATTATAATTTACTTACGTTTAGTTTGTTCTTTTTTCAAATTATAATCAACGTTAGTTTGAGTTTTTTCAGTTTTTATTTTCAACTCAAAATTGGTTTTTTCAACTTTAATTATATCAGTCATTTTTTGTAGGTTAGGTTTTTTATCATTAATTACATCATTAGTTGACTCAACTAGATTGGCATCTTTTGCTACAAATTCTTGTTTAATATGTTTATTTTTTTTACTTTTAAGCTTTTCTTTCCGTTTTACTAATCTAGACTTCATTAAATCAATATCATCTGTTGTCGGATTTAGTATAACAATATCATCTTCTTCATAATCAGCTACACAATTTACACATTTGTTGTCGGCTCCTAATTTTAAACCTCTTTCAGACATAACACAGCCACATTTCCATAAAAAACAGAACTTAGAACGATCATTCATCTCCAAACCAACCAAAGGACAAATATGAGGTGAAACATGATCGTCCATATATCCACCAACATTCTGCGCTTTTCCTTTAAAAGCTGGATTAGGAGTCAATTTTAGTTCTTTGATATCCTGAAAAAAAAAAAAACTAATATATACAAAGAGCATAATGCAACTTCTGAAGAACAATGACCCAAGTGTAAATTGATTAATAAGATAGCAAAGAATTAAATAATTAATATCTCTGGAATTTTTTTTTTACATTTACATTTGTAAAGAGGAATTTTTTCAATTTATTCTCCAGTAAAATTTGACTTCACGGTGGTAGTTGTTCTTTGGAAGCCGCAATATTAATATACATCTTACTGGTATATATATTTATTAACAAACCTTTAAACTCTTAATGTGTGCAGAAGCTTCAGGGAATTGGGTTTTATTTACTAAATGCTGCAAAACTGATTCTTTGTTGTATAAAAGACCCATACCACAGGCTACTATTGGTGGTCTTAATGCTTCTTGAGTTATATGACAATTACGCCAACGATATAATTGATCTGATGACTTGTCTTTCTAATAAAAAAAAATATTAAATTAGTAAATTATTTACGTTTTATGAATAGGTACAGTTTTTAAAACATTGCAGTTATACATTTATATTTATTATAAAATTAGACAGATTTTGAATACAATTTTTATATTTTTATAGTAAATATATGACACTAGTAATATTGACCAGTGGTGCCATACTATCTGCGGTCACAGTGTGGTTGCACTTCCCGTTCAAAAGTATAAAAAATGTAAAAAAATTATATATTTAGAAATTGTAATATATCCGGCCAACAAGTAGCTTTAATGAAACTGTGATGTGATAAGATCTTAGATGAGCGTAATTTGTATAAATGTTACACTAAACAAATATTTGAGTTGCAAATTCTACGCACATTATATCTTTAATTCTATTTTTATCAATATTTCTCCCATAATTCTTTTAATTAGCCAAAAAGTTATTTTTGGTGTGGGATTATTGCGAGTTTTATCAAAGAAAGGATGACCCTACGGTACAAGTATGTTGATTATATCAATATCATTACTATTATCCAGTTGTAAATATCATAATTTATTTATAGTAATTAATATTTTTATGTAACGATAAATTTAGTCTATCCTAATATCAAAGTAATCGAATAGTTTTTCAGCTTTAATAGGAATACACAATTTTAAAATACCAACTCCTTGTTTAATTTAATGCTAATATTTTAATTTAATATTTTAGATTTAATGGGAATCTAAAAGGTTTTGGTTTTTTTATATCTAATTTTCAGAAAAGCAATTCTTTTAATTTTCTATTGATATGTTTACATGGAGTGACTAAAACAAATTAAAATTTAAACTGCTCGAACTTAGCTTAGGTAATTATTTCAAACTGAATTATTTGAACATGTTTTAATCATTTCGTATGTACTTGGTAAATGACAATAATAATTGGGCTATTTTTTATGACACTGGTGACTTGTAGGATATGCTGTCACACAGTCAAGATGAAATTGAACTCTGTACTCTCGCACTGTAGCTTGACGCCATCTTGACCATGCCGCATTAGGATTTATTCTTTAACAATATAAATTAAGGTCATTCTCATACTTGCATAATAATGAAAAAATTATAATATAAAAATACCTGTTCTGGTTTTTTTTTTGTTCGAACTAATTCGTCCCTCTTGGGTATAGTACCTCCGTCGCATCCCATGTTGGAAAGAATTCGTAATTAAAATATTGAATGTACTGAATTATTTTATGGCGTGTGATTTAATTATATTGTTTAATATTAATTGCAGTGTTAACACTAAACATTTGATAACTAACGAATATTACAATAACAACAACAATCCCTTTGATTAAAAAAAAATGATACACTCGACTCCACAGTTCGATCTGATTGGAGAACGGCACAACTCATTATCCAAATATATCCACACGATGGACGACGTACATCTTGATAAACATCGTGATGTTCGCAATCGCAGTGTTGCCATGACTTAACGACAATGATGTTATTGGCCACGCTGCGTTGTCGGCGTATAACCTTTACGACCGCACAGTACGGCAACGTGGCCAAGATATTCCGTGCGTGTTGACGCCCGAAATTTTTGTTATTCAATTTTCCAAACCAAGTTTATTCGATGTCCGCCGTCCGCTCTTAACGTTCGTGGTTTTTCTACAAATTTTTATTAATTAGTTCGGTGTCTTTTTTACAGAAGTGATTTTTTACAATATTTTTACGTTTTTATGACATATTTGTACTTCATCTATCATTTGACCGATTATAATAAACGTATATTGTCCTAGCACCTGATTTGGAGAAAACTTGTTTATAGGTACTATTACTATATAGGTATACTATAATCTGATGTAAAAACATAGCTGTTTATTTACACCGGCATTACTTAGTATTTTTATAAGAGTTAAATAGATTTATAATTGTTTTATTTTATTACAGTGTTTAGATCTAATTAACGACAATATGCAGACCATCAAGTGTGTGGTCGTCGGTGATGGAGCCGTCGGTAAAACTTGTTTACTTATTTCATACACCACAAACAAATTTCCATCAGAATACGTTCCAACAGTGAGTAAAGTTAAAATATTTCATTTTACAATCAAATAGGCTTACATTGTAATTAAATTATTGGGTGGATATCATTTTGGATAATGACTGCTAGTATTTTTTGAGCTTTGTATTGTGCACAATTCTACTTGTTTACTGGTTTAAAAAAAGGGTTAAAATATTGTTTTTCAATTAAACTTTTAGTTACTTTTCACAATAAAAATGTGTTTTATGTATAGGTAGTCAATAAGTTTATTCATTAGTCTATAATTATACATATGTTATTTACCTTATTTGGAATGTGAAATTTTTTATGTATATATATAAACCTAAGTAGTATATATTATAGCTTCAATGGGGAGCTGAGAAGGTATTGTTTTAAATTTTTTTTTTTTGTGGACCCTTAAGATCTTTCAAATCACTGAACCGAATCCTTCATGTATCAAGTCTATAGATCAAAAATCTTACTTGAAAGAAAATTTAAAAGGTTCATTTCTCCTTTTGTAAAATTAAGAAAACACCCAAAAAATGTATATAATTTTCAACTTGAAATTACGGTGCTTTATCACTTTTATATAAATAGTTAAATTAGTACCAAATTTACATGGAATATTCTTTATTTTATTATTTTGTTAATTTCCCTAATGGTAACAACGGCAACAATTTATTAAGGAAGACAGACAATCAACCATAATCCAACCAATTATTTAAAATATAATTCTAAGTACATTAAGCATTATTATCATTACTATATTAGATATTTTTATTTTCTCCAACTACAATTTTTCATTGAAGCGTCTATTTGAGTGATTTAACTACTTGAGTTATAATAAATCCTGTTGACCTGTTTCCTCCATTGCTCCAATATGCTCTATCCCCACTGTACTGACTTTTTCATTTTATTTTTTACACAATCTAATATAGCAGCAAAATATGATTCTCCTTGAACCTTTTCTCTTCTACGCATATAAATTAATTTTTTTTTATTTTGTAGTTTAACTCATTCTTTCCCCTAATTTTTTTTGCTGAATTTAATCTAAAATTGTATGTGCTTATTGTGCTTACTGGGAAATACAGCACTGATATTTGTACACAAAATGTAGTAGGCTATTGAGTATTAGGTATCTCCTATTGTTATATTATGTGACTCAATTTATCAAAAAAAAAAGACTATGTGACACTCATGCTTTATCTATGCTTTCATTATCATTTATTAGATTTTGAATAAATACAAAATAATGAATATTTGAAATCAAAATAGTAGTTCAATTAGTTTAAGAATGCCCCCCTCCTTTCTGCATAAAATATAACATAACTTAATTATTATAATATTATATAGATTTCAAATACTTGTACTTAGTAAGTATGTTAATTTTGTTTGTTTGAAAATCATAATACATTGTTGATTAATGTTGTGTGATTGTTGTTTACAGGTTTTTGACAATTATGCAGTCACTGTCATGATTGGAGGAGAGCCTTACACATTAGGATTATTTGACACAGCAGGTTAGTTATTTTCTTTTTTATTACAGTAGCTTAGAGGCTGAGTGATAAAGTAGTTTTGTTGTAATAGTAATAGTTTACCTAGCTTTTCAGAGGTTATATTCATTAATAAATATCTTATGGTCAGAAAATTCTATTGTTTTTTTTTATAAAAAGTATCACTTTAACTATTTTAGTTTTTACTTGGCTTAAGCCAATAAACTGATTTGAATAAAACAAAAGTTATCATGATTTTCCTAGAGTGCTCGTAGCGAGGTTCAGTTCTGATTAAATTAGATATAGTTTAGCAAATCTTCTAAAACTTTTTAATCATACAATAACTAGAAAACCTAAAGAATGTGCTGTAATTTTATGTTATGTTTTAAATAGTGGTTACTTTTGATAACTTGGTATGGAAGTAAGATAAAATTATAAAAATTATTTTATTTTAAATTACAGTTCAATTTGACTGTAATTATCTTTGTAGACCAAATAGGAGTTTTTAAATATACTGTGATATAAAAACAATAACTTATTTCCAGCAAATTAGTAAATTTAATTTGGCTAGTAGATATTTTTCAGTATTAACACTTTATTTGTTGTTCTTTCTGTATTAAATAATAATTAATGATTTTCTCTTTTTTATAAATATCTTTTATAACAACTTATCATTATGTAAAATTTAGGTAACACTTTTTTACAAAAAATAAATCCTTCAACGATCAATTTTCTATCAAATATTTTTTAATTTGTTGGTGAACTGAATTATATTAATCAAAATATTAAAATTAACTTATATATTTGTGTTATATTAATTTAATGTTGTACATTTTTAGGTCAGGAAGATTATGACCGTCTCAGACCATTGAGTTACCCACAAACAGACGTTTTTCTTGTTTGTTTTTCTGTGGTATCGCCATCATCATTTGAAAACGTTAAAGAAAAGGTATTTGTTTGTTTTTTATTTTTTTGTAGTAATAATTTATGTCATTGATTTTTAATAAACATGTAATCGTTAATGTGTATTAATTATGCTTAGTGGGTGCCAGAAATAACCCACCATTGTCAAAAAACTCCATTCCTTCTAGTTGGTACACAAATAGATCTTAGAGAAGATGCAACAACAGTAGAAAAGTTAGCAAAAAATAAACAGAAGTCTATATCTTTTGAACAAGGGGAGAAGCTAGCTAAGGAACTTAAAGCCGTCAAATATGTTGAATGTTCAGCACTAACACAGGTTAGTAAAGTTTGCTTGTTCTTATTTCTCATTATTTCTCATACAATCATGTCAGCTACACAATCCTTTTTCTCTATATCTATATATTTATCTAAATAATAGATAAATAAATTTCCTAATAGGTAATTGTTTTTAAGTCTATTGATTACTATACCTCGCGCCACGAGAGAAGTAACCCGTTGCTCGACCGAAACGCGTTCGATTCCGCGCATCGCCATCGATAGGCCACACCCACGGTCGGCGGCAGCGCTGCATATATAGGGTGTATCATAACGTAAACTCGATACAGTGTGTCACAAGGCACAAGACTCACGTCTTACGTCTTAACCACGCGCTTGCTTTTACTGTTGAACTATTACATTATTATATTATTATTATTATTATAATAATAATAATATAATAATATTATTTAAATATTTTTTAATTTTAATTTTAATTTTTTTTAGTTTTAATTAAAAATGTTTTTAATTTTAATTTTAAAATAACAAAAATATACTTATATATATTATTATTATTACATTATTTACATATTGTTGTTATTTTAAGCCGGGATGCGGCTTTCCTTTGATTATATACGAAGGTTTGGGATGCGTCATTTCTTTGCCTGTACACAAAAACCTGACCTCACTTACCTTGTTGTAAAATATGTTATAATAATAACATATTATATTTATAAATATTAATATTAATTTATAAATTAATATTAATAATTCATTAATATAATAAATTAAATATGTTATACTATCGTATGTGTTTTAAATAAATAAATAATATGTATAATTTATTAATGACAATATAATATAATCATTCTCATAATACAATCATTTATAAATATTCATTTTTATAATAAATAATATACTCTATATACAATCACTCTGTATATCGCTTGTTTCGCGCTGTATGCACGCCTCAGCGCGACACTGAATGGCACAAAGTGGGGGAAATGGGACCTTGGAACAGTCGCGGCCGTCATTCGTGATGCGCGAAACGGGTTACTTCTCTCGTGGCGCAGAGTATATTTATTAACAAACGATAGTATCAGATGTACTAAGTAATTGACAGTAATAATATACCGGGAAGATGTAAAACATGGAAACCAGTGATAAATAAATTAAAAACTGAACTGGGAACAGATGAAGTGAAGAAGGCCGGGGGTATAACAGGAACTATTGATAACAGAAATGTAAGTCAATGTAACGATAGACGGCTAATACAAAGAGGTGTGGCCTAAGAAAACAACTGGCAGCGACAAGAGGAGGAATAGAGTATTGCGGGGTATGGTATATCACCTACACCCACAGAAGCGGATCAATCAGTTTACAGGAAACCACGGTACGAGGAACATCCAACCACAGTCCTGAAGATAGAATGTGCAAGTATTCCGAAACTTCTTTGGCAGACTAGTCAAACTACTCTAATGGGAGTAATGAGGAGTAACGGTAGAGAGACCGGGAGTAATGATAGAAATTTATTTAACTAGAATTAATTAAAAATTTTAAATACTTTATTTGTTTTAACTCAAGCAAAATAATTGATTAATTTATAGTATAAAATAATTTTATGATATTATAAAGTAACATATTCACACTTCGGTAAATTGAAAAAATCATCAGTCCCAAGTGTGGTCGTCGAAACTTATATAATGGTTGCAATAAAACGAGAATAATACAAAACAAAAGAAGATTAAAAGCAGATTTTTAACCCGTCACTGGTAGTACAGCTCTGTACCATTATTTTCTTAAAGTTTGTCAAATAGTTGATAATTTTCACTGTCACATTTCTTGAAACCCCTCCTAGTAAATAATTTTCTTCAGTACACTCTAATAAGCGTTCAATTAGTATTTGTCACCTCTCAATATTGTCCATGCTTTAAAGTAAATGAAATAAATTAACTAAAATTATTATTATTATTCACTATTGGCATTTTTCTAGTTATACACTAAAAATAACTGATGTATGGAATCCTTTTGAGCGCATACGTAAATTAATATATAATTAATGTATTCTGTTTAATGGGGGAAGTCTTGATATGTATGTTTTACAAGTAAAAAATGGTGTGAGTGGACAGACATTTATTTTATCTTATTTGCAATAAAACCATTATCGAGAAAGAACTGACAGGAGCCACAAACTTTTTTCTGATTTAAAAAAATGTTTAAAACATTAAATCAATCAAATTGTTAAAGATTAAACATTTTTCTGAATTAAAAACGGTAAAAATATAATTTTTTTTTTATAGTTAAATTTGTTATGAGCACTGATACAACTACCAAAGAATAGTTTAAGCTTTTAAAAAAATGTGTATACATTTTTTTTTGGTATTTTTAATATTTTATTTATATTGTTCAAGTTAAAAATAAATCCTTTAAAGGTATTTTTAACAGTTAACAAGTTTTAGAGAGTAACCTTTAAAATTCTAACCGCATTCTACTTATTATAATGCAGTACAATTGTTGTAACCTATTTTGTTATAAGTAATGTTCACCATGTGTGTATAAACATAATATATGTATAAATATATTTGTTTTTACAAATATCTTTCAAACCATTGAACTGATTTCTTCATGTAGCAAGTATATAGATCAATAATCTTTTTTTTGTTTACAGAAAGGATTAAAAAATGTCTTTGATGAAGCTATCCTTGCAGCTTTGGAGCCTCCAGAGCCAGTTAAAAAAAGAAAGTGTGCAATATTGTAGAGCTATGGACAAACAAAACAACAAACAGGTGCGACAAATATGTCATGAAATTATATACAATTGGAAATATATAAACAATGAATAAAAATTATTTTGTTTTTACTAATATAAATATATATAAAAAAAATATATATAATTTATTATATATTTTACATGAATTATGTGCATTAAGTGTACATTATTATTAATAATGAATAAATAGTTTTTTATATGCCATATTTGATTGTGGTAGTTTATTGTATAAGACCCATTTGTTTTTATTTTATTTCAGCTCTATATTTATGTACAATTTTATTTATTTATACTTATTTTAATAATTCAAAACATTTAACTGAAAATATTTATTTTATAATTAATTTACTTTAGTCACCCATGCATAATAATCGGGCATATAGCTTGCCATATGTTTATAGATTTTATTATAATTTTTTTTTTTTTTTTATATATACTTAATTGTATAATTATTAACCATTATAATATACATATAGGTACACTAATAAACCAAATATTAAAAATTGTGTTTGTCAAATGAATCATAAATAATTTATGGCAGCTGACAATTCAAAATTTAGATCTAATTATATATTTTCAACTAATCTTTTTTAATGCTTAGTTGTACTATTATTTTTTTATAATACTTTATCATAGACCAATTAACTTTTACTTATGTTTGCGATAATATTGTTGTACAAAAAATTCAATCCCCTTCTACCTTTTTTATGTTATTTTCGCATACCAAAGTACAAAATTATTATAATGCTATTTGCCTCTTTTTTTTTTTTTTTTTATATATATATAAGCCGGGAATAAATATTTTATTTTGTTTCATAATTGGAACAAAAATGTATTACAAGCATTATGCAACTAAAAGGATGTTGAAAAAAAAGACTTAAATATATTTAATTATTGCCTACCTCTTAGATAATTTGTTAAATAGCAGACACGGTTGTTAAAAATTTTAAAACTGTTGTAAGACTTACTTACTAGGAATACTATGTGTAAGTGATTAAAATTTAATCTTAATATTACTGGTTAAATAAATACTTTTATTTTTATTTCAAAATACTTATGATTATTACATTACTTACACATGCTGAATGTCCACTAATCATTATTTTATTTTATGACATCACTTTTATTGTTATAGGCAAATATAACAATCTAGACTGCTAAGTTTTCTTATTAGCTTTTAGTAATGCCACTTTCAAAAACTGCTGTTTTTAATAAAAGAAGAATAATAAGTTATAGGTTTCACCAATTTCCTGAATTCTCTAAATAGTCAATTTTATAATCAATCTATGATCTGTTTTACAGTTATAATAGTAATCTTACACGTAATGAGTAATTTGTGAAAAGTACTTGGTGTCTTCAGGTGGTATTAATTCAATTCATACACATTTACCCTTAGTTATCTTATTCACTGGAATATTTATTAAAATTTTGTGTATCTTTAAAGATACATCGTCAAGTTTAGGATTAAAGATATTTTATCAATATACAGGGTGGCCCACAAAGATTTGACAAATGAAATAACTTTTGTTCTAGTGAATATTTTTTATTGCACTTACCTGTTTTACTTTTTTAAGTTTTTTTTTTTCTTAAGATAGCCATTTTATTCAAAATAATTTTTAAAAAAGAATTGGTGAAAAAAAATTGTATTTTTATTCATCCGTTCAAAAGTTATATTCATTTGAAAGTGAGGATGACTGTTGACGGGAGGTGGAGTGCGGTAGAGTAAACCGCGTAGATTTATTTTTATTTGCGCGCGTTACCTAGTGGTTGTATTCTTTATCAAGCATGTTTGTAAGACTTTGGTTAATAATCAAAAACTCACGAAAACAATGATTATAAGTCAATAGTTAATAACTATCCTAATAAATAGTAGTATAACAATGTAGGTTATTTCATATTAAATTCTAGTTAGAAGTGTAGTTTTTTTACTTAATGATTAATTATTGAATATTTGGGTATTATTATTAAGACTACATACTATGTTAATGCTAGTATCATTGAGTTTAATCTATAAATAAGTTAAAAATAATAAATAATAATCGATGGCAGGTAATATGTAATATCGGTTTATCGGGTAGGTATCGTTTTTGTTTTCATATCGGTTCATGGTCATTGCAAAAAATTATGATTTTTTAATAGTTAGCGTATCGGTTTTTTATGGGCAACATACATCGGAATATCGGATATCGGTCCATCCCTACTGGTTATAAGTTAATACAAAAACTGAACATTTATTTTTAAAATGTTGGTACAAAAACATGGTGTTTACATAGTTTTTTGTTCAGCTGACTTGTACGGAACGATCACTGGTGGGAAAACCCGAATTAATTACATCAAAGTCGATACCGTAGAAACTCATACTTAAGTATTATTTTACAAAAACATCAGCTCTGGTACAATTATTTATGTAAGCGTAGCCGTCATCAATGTTCTTGTCAAACGAATCGTGTACTTCCATTGTCAGATGCCATCTCAAGCAGAACTTCTGCACGTTTCGGTAAATTCTTAAGAGCGATTCTTCATCAACGCGACCGACTAAATGTTCCGTGACGTCACACACCAAGTCTGGCGTAATATTAATTAATAAGTGATTTTTTATATTGTCCACCAGTCCGTTAGCTTTCGCGACGAAAATGAATACTTTGGCGCCGAGGTTATCGATTAGCTCCTTTAAGAATTCGTCATCCTCTAAGCCGGCAGCGGTAACAAAATTCTTCAACGCTTTAGCCAAAGCTCCGTTCCACAGTTCGACGTATTAGATCAGCCGTTTGATAATTTTTCACATTCGCTTTACACCCGATTAACAAAATATGCGTCCATAACATCGACGACAACATGATTGTTTTCAACATATTTTTAAACAGCACATGGTATTTATGAATTTCCCTGAGTCCGTTTGATAATGTCTATGACGAAATCGCCGATAGGTAGATAGATAGGTAGATAGCGTGAATCTTTTCTGCCATTTTTCTTAAGTTTTTATTCTTGACAATCCCTTTCCAAATAGTGCCAAGGAATGAATTGGTGAACCTACATTGTTTAAGTAGAGTTTATTCACGTTAAACGACTCTTTGTTGTAATGACTAACCACAAGTAAAAGACTCCTTGCCATCAAACTTTTCACCTCTTCAACGTAATCGTTAACGGCATCAAACGTCGAGTCAGCGTCGTGTAATTTACTGTATTTTTCGTAAAAATAACTGTTCTGATTTATAAGACAAAATTTGGGATTGTCTGGAACACCCACTCGCTAAATGCAACAGTTGGTCGTTTACCGTTTCGTGTGTTCTCATACAACGATTTCTATTTTAGAATACAAAAGCTAGGTTAAATAGGTTTAAAAAAATCGTTTTTTAATAACCGTAGATACATACTTAAACGAAACGTTTACACTTTTTTTTTTATATATATTGTTAAATAATTTTTAGTAAGATATACAAAATTAAATAATTAGGTACTTACTTTACAAATTTTTAAAAATTCTACTCGTCCACGTATTTTTATAAAACAATTTTTGCAAGCAATAGTTAAACCTAAAAAATACTTGGTCATCTTTTTATTATGTATAGCCCTTTTATAAAGAATTTTGTACACAAATTGTCCACAAACAACAATTTACTAACTGAAATATCTTCTAGAAAAATCTGTTTTTTCTAAATCTTTTATTCAATTATTGACTATAAATATATATATATTTTTGAAATAAATAAACTTACAAAACAAAAAAATTGTAATAATAACATTTTATTTATTTTATTAAAAAAATATTAGTTATTTTGAACTCAAGATTTAAAATTGTTGTTTGGTCAGTAGAACAATTTTAACACGAACGCAAAATCGACACTATGTTATGGAGGCGTTAATCGATAATCTCTGGGTGGTAATTAGGTGTGAAAGAGATAAGGAATGGATGGTGCTAACAGATAAGGTGTAGAGGGAATATAAATGAAATGGTAATTTTGTGTGAAGGGGATGAAAAACCGACTGATACGAGTATGAAAAAAATATATAAAAATTAAACAACTATTTAGGTCATGATTGTCATGTGGGTATAATTTTAAAAAGAAATTTCATACTATTAGTGTAATAACTTTAAATTTTAATAGGTGGATCACAAAAAAAAACGAACTTATATGCAGACATAAAACACATAATAGTTCTTTGCGGTTAAAATATCTTATAATACTAAAATTATTACTGTTTTTTTTTACTTGAATATTATGAAGCTTTTAATCTTAATTTATACGTGTATAGTAATTGTACACCTAAATAATGTAATAAAAAGAACAAGTTTGCTAATTATATTGTATTATTTCTTTTGAATGTTCTTTTCTTGATTCCTAAAATAAAATAATTTTCACAAATAAACATTAAACGTACAAATAAAATATATTGTATTAATACTCACGTGCCGTTTTCTCATTCTCTAATGCATTTGTCATGGCTTTTCTTTTTTTAATTTCAGCTAATATTCTTTGGTCTTCTTTTATTAATTTCATTATTTTATTCACTTCCCTTAAATTTTTTCTTATAAGTGGTTTTACTAAAATAAATTACATGAATTAATACGATTTCTAGACCTCCTGCTTAACGGATGTGCTATTGTACAAACTTTATCGACTTAAAATAAGAACTATAAATTATTAACCTAAAAAACGTAGAGAGGGGAAATTATGTAACTTAATGTTGTTTAGTATGTATGACACATTTATACAATTTTATAAAAAATCGATGTATAAACGTTGTCAATATTAGTTTTCACATTCGTCTCTTTATCATTTTTTAGTCTCCTTAGCAATATAAATTAATATAATATTATTTAGGAGAGAAAATGTTTATGTGATACAATGATGGTGGTCTTAGTTTTTTCCAATATGAGACATATACAATAGTGTACAAACATTTTAAAATTAAATTAAATTGACTATTGAAAATATATATTATAATCTATACTTATACTTACAAGTTTTACCAATACTCTTGTTATACATTTTTTTCAATCTGATTTTGAATTCTTTATTATTCATAGTTATTTGGTCGATGGAGCTTTGTATTATTTTAGCCATAGTTGCCAAAACGTCTTCCATTTCAGTAACACTTTGGCTGTCCTTTGGGCCATTCGGATAATGGTGCTTTGAACTTAATTTTGACATTTTCCTCTGGACAGTTTTAGTTTCTTTTTTTTTTGTCTCATATTTCTGAAATAGCGAGTCATTATATATAAATTCATGTATAGAAAACTGAGTTTTTATTATATTTGCTGTTTATTTAATTTATTTTAAATTCAATATTAGTTTCGTTAGATTATTTTTCACATATTTACACAATTTTACCTACTATCCTAATTTGATTTAAATTGACTTAGGTTACCGTACATATGATACTCAAGAAACATTATATAATAAGAATAAAACAAATAAATAGTCTATTATTACAACACCTTATTAACTTATCATTTTTAATCATATTTAGCCTAATTAGTTATTTTGCAAAATTCGACAATTCGGTGTTATTATAAATTCGAATACATCTAGTCATCACGAAGTTGTATTTGTGGTGTACATTGTACACAACAGAAAATTTCTAGTTTCTACTCCATAAAGTTGTGTTATTATATTGATATTACTTATTTACACTACCAGTACGGTCTTCGTGTTTATTGGATTAACTACAAAATAGCGTACGGTATTTTGCTTGTATACTGTACGCTTTTGTTAAATACAATATATAATTAAACGCTTAAGATATTATTAGAGTCAACATTAAACTTAACGTGTTCACTCACTGATTGTACAATGCACGATAAGGTAAGTAAAACAAAAATATTGTAAGTAAATTTCATCTTCATCTAACGTCAAATTTCTATTAGCGCTGGTATTTTTAATGTGTATGTGTGCAGTTTGTTTTCAAAGATAGTGATGAAAATCGACAGCCAGACAAATGCTGAAATTGTGGTTATTAGTTATATTATATAGCTTAATACAAGTGTAGAATATAAACCGTTTAACAAACCTAGCTTTTGTTCAGTCAATTGAATAGCAGAAATATCATTATATTACATACACTTTGTATTATAGTAAAAGTCGTTTGTGCATCAATATATTTGTTTTTTTTTTTTCAAATTAGGAACTTGGTATTTTTAACATTAGATAATTGCACTAGAAATCAATTTGTTATAAAGTAATGAGATAACTATATATTTATTTATGCTAACTGCGGTTATTGTTCACACCATTTATGGTTAACAGTTGGCGAACAACACATGTTGTTACTTATTTAAAAAAAAAACCCACATTAAGTATTAATTAGGTTTGTTTAAGTTTAACTAACTAAAATAGTATTGTTACTTAACCTATTGTCACTATAATAATATATTTTGTTAACTTTTAACTTATAGTCAAATTGTACGATTCATTGTAGAAGATGAAGCCAAACGAGTCTATAGCTTTTATCGCTGTATTAAGTCAGATCATGCTGCAGGTAAACAATACTCAAATTATTATTATTTTGTGTGGGGGTTCACAAAACTCAGTTTTTTAAGTAATCACTAAATAATTCGCATTCAGTGCGCACTATGTGGAAATGTAAAGAAAGTTTTAGTAGAAGACAAGAAAGTTGACAATTGGAATAAAAAGAGACCCGTCAATAATGAATTGAAAATGGGTAATGTGGATATAGACCGAGTGACTTCTAACATCAAAGCTCAAGATCCTAATATAAGTTATAGCAATAACGGCTTAAAGGATTTACTCCAAATTATTCAATACGTTGTTGTCGACGTGTTCAATAACACTGAATTCCGAACATTCATGACCAAGCGGTTCTTACACAATTACGTTCGGCAAGGTAAAAAAAAAGTGCTATTGCAATGTATAATTATTATTATTTATTTAATATTATATATATATATATATATGATCGTATGCAGATGAAACTTTGGTAGGTCAAAAGTAGTAAAAGTCAACTTCTTCATCCTTGAAATGGAGAAAAGTTGTAAAAAAATTGACCGGTTTTCAACCGCCAACTTTGATTTGCTTTCTTTGATATCTCTGTGAAAAAAGGTTGGATCGATTAGAAATTTTTTATAAAATATTGAGTAGGCATGCTTCTATCCACAATTTGACTAGATCGTAATTTTTCACAATGGTAAAAAATGCAGGCCTAAGTGGTTGCATGACAATTTGGTAGACTTTTTGGGGTTGTTCTCGGGTTTTGGAAAAATAAAATGGAGTAATAGCAGCATAGAGCATACCAGGGTACATTTTGCAATAGAATGAAAAATTAATTTGTAATAGTTTTAAATACAAATTTAAGCTGTAAAAATAAACGTATATTATGAGTTGTGACACACGCTACAAACAAATTAAAAATTCTCCTTAAACCTCTTGTAAATTCGCCAATAGTTTATAGAATTGATTAATATTAAAATGTAACCTCTATACAATGTTAAGCGTTTTTTTATTTTTCAGCTGATCCTTACTTTCGGAAAATCAAAAATGTCACAAAGTTAATTGATTCTAAACCAGCAAAAACTGACGCTAAAATTGATATGAATATGAAGGTTGCAAGACATGTAAGGCATGGAAAGCATGCAAATATTAATCTAAATTAAAAGTTGGAAATTCTAGTATAAATTGTTGTTTTTTTTTTTTTTACTGAGCAATAACACGTATTATGGTTACTAGAAAGGGATGACCGCTTCTTTTTACTAGACGAACTGTCGTGGCGCCAAACACGCCTTACCCACTCAACCTTATGGTTACATAATATTAACAATAAATATATATTGCATAATACACCAACCGTTAAAAATTCCAAAATAAGTACCTATTACCTGTTCTCTCTCTTTGATATAAATAGATATAAGTGTAATAAAATAATGAACTACTTAAAAACTCCTTAACCACAAAAAATAATACACTAGCGTGTACGCGCACTTCGGCAGCAATGTACTATCACTCCCCGTCTATAGCTAGTGCAGATGATACTAACATTGCTGCTGAAATACGCGTGTACGCTGAAGTGTATTGTGCGGGGCAAATATACAGCTGTAAAGGATTACACTTTTTTTAAAAACAGATCACAAAAAATATTATTAAAAAAAAAATAAAAGCAGAAAAAAATTTAAAATCATTCAGTCAATTAGTACATTAAAAAAATGTAAATTTTTTTCACGAATGCGCTATTATAAAACGAAGAATGTGCTTTTAAATAAAAACTTACATAGAAACTAATAATGATGACTTTATTAGTATGAGAGGATCCGCTGTAATATAAGGAGCCGATGAAAAAAGTGGATTAATGAATTTTTTAATTTTTTTATTAAGTTATTTATTAGATACAATATATACGATATAATGGGAAAGGAAGATGTGACGTCAATCTCTCCTACGTTCTGATGGATCCAAAGGATCCGCAGTTTATTGGATCTATACTAAAATGTGTTTTAAAAAATATTACTTGTAGCTTTTAGTAATTAGCTTGCGCTACTACTGAAGAACATTACTTTTGGTTTTAATGTATAGCTAAGAAGCTTTTACAATTATGTGTTTTTTTTGTATGTTTGCATGAAAACATTAGAGCCGCAGGATAGGTTCTTTAAGTAGCATACCTATCAATCACATAATGTATGTAGTTGCGGCCATTTGAGAGATTAAAAGTTATTAAAATAAATTCACTCATTTAACATTAAAATTCGGAATCCTGAAATAAATTAAAGATTTGTAATCTAATAACTTGATTTTTTATAAACTCACTTTAAAATGGTCGGTCAAGCCGAAAATGACACGGAACGTTTATTATACATGTACCTATCCGATAATAGCTTTAAACTAAATTTTGTTAACCCTCCCCACATAGAAATGAAGTTTGTATAGTTTTTTTCTTTATTCAAAATGGTTTTTACAACTGTCAGAAAAGTTTAGTATTTCTAATCAGTACTTTTATTTTTAACATAGTAAAGAACAATAAATATCCAACTACAGATTTATTTATTGCAAAAAAAATGTTTTTCAGTGTTTATTATTTTTAACATTACAAGCTGTAACTTCAAAAAAAAATTATTGTATCATATGTTTTTTCTTACGGGCATCTATATAGAGAGCCACTATTTTTTTCATGTTTATGAAAACAATTTTATTTACAAGAAAAATTTTTAAACATTTAGTTGTATAAATTAATGTTTTTATTATGTTTAGTGATACAAATTAATTTAACCAAATTACAAAGAGCTAATCCAAAACTTCTGTAGTTATTTAGGAATTTTTTCACCAAGTTAATAATTACAACAATGGATATTTATTCCGTTGACTCAACTTAGATTAATCGCGATGTTACTTGTCACAACTTTACGGTGTGAAAATAATTAAAAAATAAAAGTAATGTTTTATGTGAGTAATAATTATTTTTTGTGTATAGCTATTTTTTACTCGGGTAAAAAAGTAAAGATTTTGTTTTTTTTTTTTTTTTTTAAATTGGTATGTTACCCCTCTGATAAACGGAAATTTAACAATCTATCTAATAAACTTAAAATGATTCTAGCCTCAGTTAGATCTAAAAACTTCACCAGACATCTTATTTCCTTATCATCCAATGATAACTCACTCTGGCAAAATACAAGGAAAATCCTTCGATCCAAACCATTTGTACCTCCTCTGAAAAAAGCCGACGGTACTTGGGCCATCAGTGATCTAGAAAAAGCCAACCTATATCGCCACCACTTAACGGCTACCTTCCAACCACACTATAATGTTATATGTCCAAACCAAATTGAAAAAGTAGGCAGTTTCCTCTCCTGCTCTTTACCCATGACTTTACCTCCTAAACACATTAGGCCAAGTGAAGTTAAACACGCAATTCAAAAATCTGCTAAACGAAAAACCCCAGGCTATGATCTAATTACTGCAGAAGTGGCAACACAACTACCAAAAAAAACTTTACTCCTACTAACTTACATTTATAACTCTATAATCAGACTCTCCTACTTTCCAATTCTATGGAAATTTTCAGTGATCATCATGGTTCTCAAGCCAGGAAAACCCCCGGACTCCCCGGAATCATATAGACCCATCAGTCTTCTTCCCTTATTTTCCAAGATTTTTGAAAAACTTATTTTAAAACGTACCCTCTCTGCCATTGAAATCAACCTCCCTAACACCCAATTTGGTTTTCGACACAATCACTCAACTATACACCAAGTGCACCGCCTTGTTGACAAAATATCATACACACTAGAAAAAAAGCTAGTATGCACGGGTGCATTCCTAGACATGGCCCAGGCCTTCGACAAAGTGTGGCATGAAGGCCTCCTCTTTAAGCTAAAATCCTTTCTTCCTCCATATTTTTATCTATTATTTAAATCCTACTTAGAAAATAGACATTTCGCCGTACGTTCAGGTTCCTCCTTGTCTGAAATATCTTCAATTCGTGCTGGTGTGCCTCAAGGTGCTGTCGCAGCCCCTTTATTATTTAATCTTTTTACCTCAGATCAGCCCACAACACCTTACACCACTACCGGTGACTTTGCCGATGATAAAGCTCTTCTAGCCCTCCACGCCGATCCTGTAACGGCGTCAAACTTCATCCAAAATCACCTAAATTATCACCTATTATCAACATGGTATAAAGATTGGGGGATAAAAATCAACGAGACTAAATCCATCCACTGCACATTCACTTTAAAACAAACAGACTGCCCTCATATTTATCTCAATAACATACCCCTTCCAACCGCTCAAAATGTTCGATACCTGGGTTTACACCTAGACCGGCGTCTTACTTGGGCAACTCATATCCACGCTAAGCGTCTCGTCTTAAACAACCGCCTCCGTCAATTACGCTTCCTTCTAACAACAAAACACCTCAACCTCCAAAACAAACTTTTAATTTACAAACTACTCCTCAAACCCATTTGGACCTATGGCATCCAGCTATGGGGAGCTGCCAAACCATCCAATATCTATAAAATACAAACATTTCAAAATAAATGTCTCCGTCTATTAACAAAAGCCCCATTTTACGTCTCCAATGATACCCTCCACAAAGATCTCTCCATCCCAACAGTCCTTAACTCTGCCAAAACCTTCTACAAACGCCTACACTCCAAAACCTTTAGCCATAAAAACCCCCTGATCTCGGAACTATCCGTGCACACAATCCCTGGTGACCCCAGAAGGCGCCTAAAGCGAACGTGGTGTCGCGATCTATTGGTTGACTAATCCACGATCTCACACGTCATGAAGTACCAGCTCTGGCTGGCCTCTAACAATATATCATTATATATTTGCCTACCATGTAATTTATCCTTTGTTCTTATTGTAATTACATTTATTACAGATTGTACAAATTCTAAATAAAAAACAAAAAAAAAAAAAAAATTGGTATGTTGATGTAATAAAACTATACAAAATAAAATAATTCCATGTACACCCGCATTGATTACAAACACACCAGTAGTGAAATTGCCTATACGTGTAGCCGTTTTATCTAAAACGGCAAATGTGACAGAAGTATTCTATGCAATACTAGATTTAAAAATCTGTTTAGTTCCATGTTTTTTTAAAAAAATACTATTTTTATCTTTATAAATAGTGTTAATAAATAAACACAAATTGGTGGTACATCCATTATATATAAATATATGTACTAAAAAATCAATAAATTATTCCAAAGTACAGTCCTCTTGTGATATTATAATATATATAATATTAACACATTTTAATTTCATACAAATTATCCAAAATTGTCTTAATGCAATAATAAATACAATTAATATGCATATACTCGTATGTCTTGTTGCGTCATAGAACTGAAAAGAAAATCGAATTTTTTGTAGTATATTCAAATCTATACATTGAATTTAGGATAATGTATTTTGCGTCCAAATACAATATTTCATGGTTTGACATTACCTGAATTACGGTTGTAAACGACAATATTTTATTACAAAATTCAATTGTCAATGGTAACGGATAAGAACGATTTTCAATATAAGTGCAAACATATTTCATATTCATATGCATTTTCCACTGTGAAATAATTTATGGCTATCTTGAATTCTTATTATAATATGAATAGAATACTACTACACACTTTTGTGCTGATATGTTTATTTTTTTTTATTACTTAAGTTATGGGTTTATTCTAGTTTTTTTTCTTATGGAATGACAAAAAAAAAACATGCATTTTTATAGTTTCATTTATAAGAGCTTGGATTTCTATATCGTATTATTAATATTATAGTATCAATTAATCATAGGTATATTAAGTTTGTTATTCAATTGTTTAATGTATTGAAGAACACTAATTGTGTATCGCGCAACATTTAAATACAAATGTCAATTGGGCTGACAATTAAGTTTTATTAAGTTTTTATTTAAACTATCAAAATAGCTTAATTTACAATATTTTCTTAATTTATGGATTAGAGAAATTCTCGATGGATTTATTGAATACAAGTGAAAGTATTTCAAAATAAATTCGAACCCAAAATATATGATAATATTGCTATGTTCTTATGTAAATAGGTATATATTTTATTATTTGCAGTTGTTATGACTACCTAATAAGTTTTATAAATGACATTGACTTAATGACATTTAGACACAAAGGTTTTGAATTATAATATAATGACAAA